AATTAGGTTATTATAATAATTCTCTTTATTATTTTTTTAGACTTTTTTATTATTTCTTATTATAATTTTATTATCTTTATTAAGTAATTATAATAATTTTAAGGTTTAATTTAATAATAACCTTAGTAATAGGTTTTAATAATAATTCTTATTTTAATTATATCTTAATATAATCTATAAGGTTTATATAATTAAGTTTTTAGGGTTAGGTTATTTAATATATTTAGTCTTTCTTATTATTCTAAGTAATTTTATTTTTCTTAGCTTATTTTTTTATAAAATAGGCTTATTAATATAATATATTAATTTAATTAGGCATAGCTTTAATTTAATTATAGCTAATTTATATTATATTAAATATCTTTATTATTTAAAGAGTTATTTATAGTTTATTATTAGCTTATATAAATCTTATTTATTTTTTATTTTTAAGAAGTCTTTATTATTACTTAGGTTTATATTATCTTTCTTAGATATCTTATTATTTCTTTTTATATTTATTTACTTTATATCTTTTCTTATAATAATAATAATATTTTATATCTTAGGTCCCTTATTAAATTATTTTAAGTTTTATAGGTCTTATATAGGTTCTATAAGATATATTAGTTTATTAGGATTATCCTTAGTTAATATTAAATTAAGGTTTTTAGTAGTTTTTTTTATTATAATAGGGGTTTTAGAGTTTCTTTAAGAGAATTATTAATTATTAATTTTAATTACTTAGCTAATATAATTAATAAGGTTATTAAATTAATTTTCTTTATAAAGTTTAGCCTATATTTTTTTTTTAAGTTTATTAAAAAAAAAGAATATTAAGAGTTTTTAATATTAATTAAGCTTTAAAGTAAGCTAAAAGTATTTAATATTATATTTTAATATAAAGTATATTTATTAAAATACCTTAATTTCTCTTTTTACTTAGGCTTTTTTATTTATTATTTTAAAGGCTTATTAAAGTATAATTTTAAAGACTTTAAAGCTAGAATAAAGGTTTATAGTCTAAGGCGAGTATTTATTAAGTAATTTAATAAGGTATTCCTTTATAATAGGTTTAAATTAGGCTATAATATACTTAGTAAGATACTTAGCGATATATTAAACCTTATTAGATATTATAATAAACTAAATAAGATAATAAAATATAAATATATATATATATATAAGAAATATTAATAATTTATATATAATATTATTAAATTTCTCTAATTATTTTAACTTTAAGATTTCTCTAATATCTTTACCTTTTATAATAATAATTATTATATTATTAATATTTTAGATATTTTTATAATATTATTAATTTTAGGCTTACTAAGTAATAACTATATAATTAATAAGTCCTCTAAGTTCTTTTATTTTAATAATTATAATAATAACCTAAATATAAAATTATTTAATTTCTTTATTATTATTATTTATCTCTTTATTATTATTAAAATTAGCCTAAATTAATATAATAAGGGTAAATAAATAATTAATAAGTAAAATTTATTAATAATTATTACTAAGAGTAGCTTAAGTAATTATTATATTTAATATTATTTAAGGTAATATAAGTAATCCTCTAAATAAGAGCTATTAATATATAATAATTATAGGATTCTTAAGGGATAAATTAGTTATATTAGTTTATATTAATAGAGGAGAATATTATATAGCCTCAAAAGGTAATATAAGTTATATCTAGTAATATACTTAAGGGTATTAAGTATAACTAAGTTATATTAATAGCTAAGGTAATTAGTATATAAGAAAATATAAAGAGTATATTTTATATACTTATAGTTAACCTTCTAGATTAATATTCTCTAGGTTTAATTTAGGGTAAAATTAATATTCTTAATATTTAGTCCTTAGACCGATATAGGCGATATTTAATCCCCTTAGTCCCTTACTTAGTTAGAGTATTTCTGCTATAGTTCCCTGCCTGGCTTATATTATAGCCGTAATACTAAAAGCCTAACCCTTTTATAATAAATATATAATTACTATAAGAAATTAATAAAGCTATTTATAATATTAATTTTATTTTAAAACCCCTTAGTATAATAGATTAGATTACTCTTATAAGAAGTAATAATAATATTATTTTCTAGCTTAAATTAGCTCTTATTAAGAAAAAAAAAAAAAAAAAAATAATAAGGAATTCTTTTTATTTAAGCCTCTATTATAAATACCCTTATCGCTACTAATTATACCCTTATCGCCGCGGTTATTATCTTTACTACTTAAATCCCCCTCTATACTATGCCTAATATAGCCTTAATATTATATATTAGGGATATAGAGGATTATAAGAATTATTATATAAGTAAGGGCTATATAAAAAGCTAGCCTAGAGGGCTAAAAAGATATTTTTATAGCTAAATTTATATAAGGAATTATCTAAGAAGGTAGCGGCCTTAGAGGCTTAGGCGGCGGCTTTTATTATAGCTATTATTAATATTATTAATATTATTACTTTAGGTATTACTAATAGCTTTAATTTACTCTTTTATACTTTTATAAATTACTCTAGATAGCTTTTAAAACTAAGAGACTAAAAAAGGCGGCTTTTCAAGGGGGAAATTAGGGCCCTATAATATATTATAATTTTATAGCCATATTATAATTTTGTGGCTAACGTAGCTTGCTAGGTTGGCTCGCCTGGGTCGCTAGACCCACATGAGCCAACGGGTAATGAAGCCCCCTTTCAACCGCCCAAAAGGATTCTTCCCCCACAAGTCCATATGGACTTTCCCCAAAATAAATTCGGCCCGTGTGTGAGAAGGAAGATTTGGATCGGCTCTGGTTGTAAAGCCAGTCCTCTCACTTGCGTTGTAGTCTCTGGCTCGTAACCTTTCAAATGACTTTTGCTGTGATGACCAACTCCAAGACGGAGCGATATATGGCGTCTGGTGTCGAATTCCTCGTAGAGTTTCCTCCAAATCTCCAGGACCGAGGGACCTGATACGCCAAAGGAGGTCATAGTGTAGGGTGTTTTCCCAAAGACCCGCGAGGTAGACTTCGTTGGTAAGAGCAGCATATTGCTTAGCAAGGCCTGATATAGCAGGCAAAATATCCTCTCTATACGTCCATTTCCTCTTTGTTACTGCCCAAGTTTCCACCCATCGGTCGTACAGCTCCCGTCTTTGAGAGTCGGAAAGCCGCCCTTGCGGCTTCAAACTCCATGTCATGGTGTCCCGAGCTGCGATGGGAGAAGCACCAACCGACGAGTCATAGCCATTCTCTGATCTGCTTATTCTCTTGCAAGAGAAATGACACATGCTTGTTCCGAAAAACAAGATCCGGAGTGACATGAGGCCTTCTTGCAGTGTCCAGCCCCTGGTAGCCCACGATGAGTGATCCACATCTAGATCTTTGCAATATTTCACCAGATTGATTTGAAAGTCATTCGTTGATGATGTGCTTTCGAAAAAGGTGTAGCTGCCCCGAATCCTGTGGCGGCGAGAGGATTGAAATTCGATGTCAAGCCCTTGGGGTCTTGGGCCCAAGAAGCCTTCCAAGCAAGAATTTGAGGACAAGGGGCAAATTGTGAGGATTGAAGAGTAGTAAATGTGACCCATCATCTCGATCTCCTTATCCCAGTCGTCAGAATCATCTTGGAGGATGCAGAGGGCGTCGACCCAGAGGTATTGTATGTCGAGGGCTTTGCAAACGAGAATCGCATCTCTTACCACAGGAACCATGTCCCTTAGCGGTATACCATCAAGATTCTGGGATAAATTGGACCTAATCGTCTTGGTTTGCTTTGCAGCGTCTTCCTTGGGGCCCCAGCAGTAGCTCAAAGCCGCGTACTTCAGGTCGTGATTGTTAGTGTCGGTTGTTCTCATTAGTCGCGCATCGTCTCCAGTTTTGGTTCCAACGTCGATCAACCTGGTTGGCAAGAAACCGGTCCTGGCTTCGAGATGGTTGCATTCCTCCTCGCATTGACCGAGTGTGTCCTTCATCCATCTAACGTTATGTACGTCCAATGGCATGGGTGATCGCTTCCTCTCCATGCGCAACCACGTAGCTATCTCATCTGGAGACAATTTTAGCTTTTTATATGCGTAAACAGTCCCAGAGCACTTGCCGTTTCTTGTTTCCACGTTAAAGTCAATGGCAGACAGCAAATATCCTTCTCCCGTCCCATCGAATACCTCACATCTCCAAGCCACAAGCCCATCGTCTCTGTTTTCAAACCAGGTCCGACAAGCACCCCATATATATCCTGCCCTCACATGAACAGGACCTTCAAAAGGGACTTTTTTTCGAAGAATGGCTTGCCGAAGAAACTGGCACAGCTGACAACCGGCGTCGGCTGTCTCAGCCATGGCAGGTAGACTAGGCAATTCATCTTTCCACCTTCTAGGGGGGACCCCTGCGATGAAAAATTCGGGCGTGCCTGGGGAGAAATCGCCTTCGTTGTCACCCTCATTCTCTCCCTCATCTTCATCCTCGTCCTCGTCCTCGTCCTCGTCCTCATCCTCATCCCCATATCTGGCGTAATTAAAGTAGTCTGGCTCCCGGTACCGCTCCTCATACACGTGTCGGAGAGTCGGCTTATTGTTACTGTTGCCCATTTGCCCCTCATAGAATTCATCGATGGAATCATCCAATAACACAACTAAACACCCATCGCAAAGATCAGCTGCTCCCATCTTGGAATGATTGATACGCGCGGTTGAAGCCATCGCTAGCCTGGCGCTCTTTTGGAGCTCCCACGATCGAATGGTTGGAAGACGGAAAATGGCGCACGCGTTTGAAAGAGAGTGAGAGGGGCTTTTGTATCATCTTATTGGTTGCAGAAACCGCGCCCCCATGCAAGTAGGAGCAGGCAGCAGCCTGGTTCTTGGCCGTGGGAGATATTGGGGGTGTCCTACAACTGAGAGGCTTCAGTATAAGCCACACCAGGTGAAATAGCCTATATCACTAGAAACTCGCATGAGGTCCTGAATTCTCCCCCGCGGATCTTATCCGTGATTCAATAGCCCAGAAATGGCCTCCGTGTTATTACGAGAAGGCATGCAACCCGACAAAAATCACAAAGGCAGTAAGTACGAGAAGCAGTGATTATGAGTGATATGATGTGATATATGATTGTATTACTCTCTGTTGTTGATGTTGCTTACACCCAAAGCTTCGACGCAACATGTCTGTATTCCTTTGACCCAACCATGCTAGGCTCTCTTCTCTCTTTACGAACAAATTTGCCCGGTGCCGCCATTAATTGAAGTGATATTTGTAAGATGGCGCGTTTATCGGTCCTTGTGAAGTCCGCAGCTCCGCCAATAACGTTATGCAGATCACAAAGTTGACGTTATTGACTAGTTATATATTTGCCCACCGTGCTCCCAACTCTAGACTTTGAAGCTGGAAAATGACTTTAAAAGATCTGTGCATCGTCAATCCTCACTATGAAGGTTCTCGTTGTTGGCGGCACTGGCATGATCGGCGCCACGACCGCTCTATACCTTCAATCCTTGGGCCACGAAGTTACCATCACCGGTCGCAAGCCTTCTCCACCAGCCAATGTACCTGCACTTGCAGAACTACAATATCTCCAAGGGGATTATCTTAAGCTAGAGCAAGACTTTAGCAAAGAAATCTTGGGAGCCTTTGAGGCAATTGTCTTTTCCGCTGGAACTGATGGTCGACACATCCCTCCCGAGCAGCAAGCCGAGGCAGACAAATACTACCTTGACAGCAACGGCGAAGCTGTTCCAGCCTTTGCACGCCTAGCAAGAGACGCTGGAGTCCGAATTTTGGTGAACATTGGCAGTTACACACACCACGTCGCACCAGAGCAGGTCGAGGAGGCAGCTTACGTCCGCTCGAGAAAGCAGGCCGCAGACGGAATCGTAGCTCTTGCATCACCAAGCTTTTACGCCTGCAGCCTTGATGCACCAATGATAGTCGGAAAGGTCCCAGGCATGCGCGTGCCAATATTCGAAGCGCTCGTCAACTACGCCCAGGGCAAACTCGACATTCCACCCTTTGCACCGCGTTGGGGCTCCAACATCATGTCGACGATGGCGCTTGCCGCAGCTGTCGCTGGGGCATTGGATAATGCGGCAGCCGTGAGCGGGCGGGCGATACTCTTGGGCGACGAAAATTGGACGATGGCCGAGTATTGGGGGGTGTTCTTTAAGGCGGCGGGGAGTGAGCTCAAGATTGAGGCGTTGGATGAGGATCATCCTCTGCTGCCTCGTTCTTCCATGTTTGCTGGGCAGGAGACGGTCGTGTATGAGCCCGATGCAGCGGATGTCGCCTTGTTAGGGGGATATCGCCGAGGCGACGTTGAGAGCACCATCCGGAGCATTGTACGCGAGTATACTTCATGACAATGAAAGGAAGAAACAACAGGCTAAAGAAGTCTTACCGAGTGACCCTAGTCATGCAGCACAACGTTGGGGGTCAGATTAAACTGCCTGTCTGGAGCTCAGGATCCCAGCCACAGGCCTTGATCTTAAAAAACACCTCTTCAGAACCTCTCAACGCTCTCCAAAGCTCGGCAAGGATTCCACTAGTCAGCCGATGATCACTCGAGGAGGAATCCCTACAGGGTCGCTAATCTGCACGATGCCCCGTCAACGAGGCGTTTTGACCCTCTCGTGGAGCAAAAGGCCCTGCACGAGAATCCTTGTAGGGCGGATATAACGACTTTTTAGTGCGTCGTTGGTGAACCCGAATTGGTGATTCTTTTGCGAGCTGGATACTGCGCCCAGGCACAGCCCATGATTGTGAGAGAAGATGTTTTTCTTTCTCTTCTTCTTTTCTCGTAACCAACGTCTTTCTTTTATCTTTTGCGACACGCCCTTTGCTGTGCTCTGACGACATATTCTCTCCGTTCTTTCTTTCGTTCGTTGCATCCAACTACAGCAAGGCCCACGTCGATCCCTCGAGGCACTGCCTTCCTTTCAAACTCGGACGAGATGGCGACTCATCCAGACCACTCTGGCTTGGAGGTTGATCCTGATGCGACGGCACCCGAGCTTGTTCCTCAATACGATCCTTATAACCAAACCAAAGGTTATGGAGCAGCAGCACAGGATCATCCGTATCCCTATCCAGGCCAGCCAGAGCAAAAGCCAAAGGGCCCCTTTGGCACAACCTTCTTGACGTTCGGTATCTTGGTGGCCGCAATCACGGCCCTTATTGTCGGAGGTGCTCTGGGTGGTGGCCTAGGTGCAGCACTAGCCAACTGCCAAAAGTGAGTCTTCAATTGCCTCTTCAGATACAGCTTGAATGCTAACCACATCCACAGCTCTGACTCTTCTGTCGAAGCCCTCACTCAAACTTTTACCTGCCCAACACCGACTGCCGAAGCCGATGCCGCGGCCACCGAGACCAACAACAACAGCACATACCTCCCCAAGCTCTACAATGATGTCAAGAACCTCACGATCGACTGCGAAACCAAGGGCTTCAAAAAGTACTTTACCACCCCCGGAGGCTCCAGATTCAAGTGGTACTGCGGAGTGGACGCCAGGAAATCAGCAACAAACAGCATCAGGGACATCGGCGTGGTCATTGCCTACACCATCGAGGACTGCGCTTCGGCTTGTGCTCAGATGAGGAACGCGCCCACTGGCGCTGGCGAGGACCCTGTGGGCTATCCTTGCAAGGCCGTGGTGTTCGATCGGGGAATGGCAAACGCGGTGGAGAAGTATAATGGTAATTGCTGGCTCAAATCGGACAAGAAGGCTGACAAGAACGATGTGAGATGGGTCTATAATCAACCTCATTTGTCGTACGCCGAGATGACGACATGATGTAGTTGGTGCAATGGATTTAGCCAGCGGGATAGATATTGTTTAATATGCTTAATGCACTGTCACTCAACTAGCCAAATTGAAGCTGCCAAACAAGGCTTAGTTAACGACAAGCTGGGTTGGTTCAGTTGCCTATCCAGCCTGAAGAGTAGAATTCTTTGGATCGAGTTATCGATGGACTTGAGAGCGTCTCAGCCTCGGCTCGCGGTGTTCAACCTTTTAGGAATAGGCTCCGAGAGGACTACACGTCTCAGCCCTGTCCCAATGATGCTTAAAATACACTTCTTGGCAGTCCGATGCAGGTATCCGTAATCTCGCAACACCACCAGTCCACCACCAATCGAAGCAACCCACATTGGGACCCAGCTAACGGGGTACGCCTCTTTCGGGACAGCTTTCCGAAGCGGTTCCCTGATTTCACTCAATTGGCCCTCGTGGCAAGGATAGTCATCCTCTCCAAGTGCGGCTGAATGCAGTCTCACAGGCTGTGAGAGTCACATCCGAAACCTCCGGATCACTCTGACGCGACAGGGATGACACGGCCGGCAGTGCCGATTCACATGTTTTCAGCAATTTTTCTACAGTTGGCAAGCAGTTCTGTGCATGACGGGGGGTTGATGTACTTTGGGACTTTAAAACAGCGTACCTAGACCAGCCAATGAGCTGACAATTCAAGAATTTATTTGACTCCATCACTTCATCGTCATTCCCTCACTATTGAGAGTGTTCCTCTATCTGCCTCTTACAATTTAAGCTTAGTGGTCTAATAACTACCTACCTAGTTCGTGAAGCGTGGGATGCGTACGACAATGAACACATACAATCGCTGCCGAGAGACCAGGCAAACGTGATAGCTAACCAGCAGCATTCATCTGAGCTTGAGAAACTAATTCATCACGGCTTTCTGAAGATAATTATGGTTAATACTAACTTCATACTTCAAATGCGCAGTGTGATAGTTACTTCTGATGAGATCTACGCCTTTCAACAGGGCAACGGGCAAAGTCTCGGAACCGGACACGGCCTTTCAGGCAAACTAGTATGGAAGCCGACCTTTGAAGGAAAATAAAGTTACTTCACTTTAACCTATACAGGGCCAAATTGATAAAGCAATGGGCGCCTTTAAACTATAACTCTGTCCCCTGATGAGACCATGTGAGGCCGTGATACAAGTTGAGGTAGGCGAGCGCTCTCACCATCATTACTTGAGACTACAGCATATTCAATTCAGTATTCCCCAATATCAATTATCTAAACCTTTATATACCATCATCTATATGAAGTCTTGCAAATTGTGACGAGGAAACCAAAGATACATCCAAACCCTTATGTTAGGCCCCCACTCACTGACCAACCCAGCCTCCTCTCCTCATCTCTTCCTTTGTCCATTCCTCCAGCTTCTCAGCCAGCTTTTCGTCCTTGGCCAGGCGACTCTGCCACCCAGCTTCGGCAATCCTCTGAAAGTACGTACCGCTCTGGCTCTCCTTCATCTCGGGACTGGCGACACAGAAGAGACTCGTCCACGCGCCCTTGTCACCATCCACCCTTCCTCCCAGAGCGCCAAACACTGAGAAGAATTGCCTCATGAGAGGAGGAAACTCTGCGCGATCTCCAAGGTGGCTTTCCACCAAGCCTGGGTGCACAACCGAAGTCCAGATTTCTCCCTCGCCAGCTTTGGAGCTGGGTGACCCAGGACCGTATCTCTTGTGCAACGTCTTGGCGTGGAGCACGTTGCCGAGTTTGGACTGGCCATATCGGGTTATTCCACCCTCACTGGGAAGTGAAGTATCGGCAAAGTTGATGCCTCCCTTTGGTGCCTGGTGGTGACCTGCCGAAGACAGATTCACAATCCGGACTGTGCCAGAGGGGAGACCCTCTGACGTGTTGAGCATAAGGGGTATCAAGTAAGAAGTGAAAACCCAGTGAGCGAGGTAGTTTGTCTGCCACTGGGCTTCGTACCCGTCTTTTGTCATCTCAAACGGCGTTGCCATGATGCCAGCATTGTTAACGAGCCCATGCAGCGCTGTCTCTTTTGACAGGAAGAGCTTGGCTGCAGAGACGACGGTAGACAGTGACGTATGGTCCATTTCCAAGATGGAGATATTCGCTTGAGGGTAGCGCTCTCTGATTCCAGCGGCTGCCTTTTCGCCTTTTGCGTGGGAGCGTGCGCACAGGTAGACGTGTGCCCCGTGTTGAGCGAGACGAGCAACGGTATTGTAGCCACTACAGCAGCATCGTTAGCTTAGAGAGATGTACGGGTTAGGATTAACTACTGACATGCCCGAAGTGCCACCAGTGACAATGTATACTTTTCCTGTCAGGTCAGGAAGTGAGTCAGGATGAAAAGTCATGCTGATGAAGAATACGAAAACGATCCGAAGTTGAGGGAATAGGGTAGGTGTGTGTACACGGGGGGGAAGCGATGGTTGCAGAATTGATTGGGATTGTTGAGTAGTGAGACGGATACAAAAGAATCCTTGGGAATATGCTGTTTAAATATCCAAAATCCATGCCTAATCCTCCCTCAAAAATCGGCACAGAAGTGACGCTTCAAATCATCAAGGCCACCATTGACCATCAGCATCTCGTGGTGTTTCGAAAAGAGGAAAGCCAGACGGTAAGCCAGGTGCATGAAGCTAAGACCAAAGAGGCTAAGGCTAGGATTTCGTCCAATGAGAGAAGGTATCTTGCGATCCTTCGACTGCCGGAATCAGCACCCCTGTTGACGCTGGCGTCAGCCCAAACACTCCACTTCCACGCTGCTGATGGCGCGGGCACCACGACGAGTTGCACCTGGGAAATTCATAGTTTCCCAGACTGCACCGGACATTATTTGAAGCCGAGAGTCCGATCCGTCGACATGTCATCGACTGCATCTCGGGCCCGCGGGACCCCTGTGCCGAAGCTACCAGAGGTCAGTCAGCCCGAAGGCGCATAGTGAACCAGCCCCTTGCTGAACGTTGGCAGCTTCTAGACGAGGAAGACGATTGGAGTGGAGTTACCGATGCAGCGTCACGCAGGCGGTTACAGAACAGGCTCAATGTTAGAGCATATCGTGAGTAACCTGGATGCTCAATAGCACTAGTCGCAACAGCTCATGCTCACTTTACCTTGACCAACAGGGCGGCGAAAAGCCCTCGAGTTGAAGAAGAAAGCCGCAGTTGACCAAGTTATCAAGACCGAGGCTGAGGTGCCGTGTTGGATTGAAGCTCAACAGTCCATACGCATGGTACCAGAATCAGCGGCAGCCAAAACCAATAATCCTCAGGCACCTCTAATACCCCGGATCCCCTCCTCCCAAGGCTCCATGGTGCCAACCAGGTCGCCTAAACCACGAATTACGTTCCCCCTTTCCTCTGATCACTTGATAGTTCTACTCCAATTTAATGTTCTCCGCGCATCCCTCGCCAATCGGGAGCTGGTATCACAACTTGGGAGTGCTCCTACTGCCGAATGCTCCTCCGCAGCAGAACACGTTCTTCCATATCCTACAGACCCCGGAGTTGTACCTCCATCTCTTTTACCCACAGACCTCCAACGCACGATCCCACATGAAGGCTGGGTAGATATCATACCGCACCCAGTTTGGCGCGACAACGTCCTTCTAGCGCTCGGTCACTTTGATGAAGATGCGCTTTGGTCAGATATCATGGGCGGCCTCTTTGAAGGATTTCCCCAGTCGGAGATTGAGCATCGGGGTGTTATCGCCTGGTCACCTCCGTGGGATGCGAGCGGGTGGGAGTTGTCACCAGGGTTTGTGAGGAAATGGGGCTGGTGTCTTAGAGGGTGTGAAGACATATTGGCGATAACGAATCAGTGGAGGCTGAAGAGAGGAGATGAGCCAATCATTTACGAGCTGCCGTAGTAGGATTGCCCGTTAAGGCCGCTATGAATAGCAGTAAACGTTTACAACGAGGCGTATCAAGCCACAAAGGACCGTTTTAAAATGAAACGGCTCTTAGGGGAAACAATTGGTCGCCTAACGGTCAAAAGTGCCTTGACGCGTAATACATATCAGAGTCAGCCGCATACCATCATGACAAACTTGACCTAACTCATGAGTCAGTGCTATGATTGGATGTTGGGTCTTGAGACTTCAAGTTGAGAGGCAGCCAAGAAGGTTGCAAGACTAGGCTTGCAGCCACGATGTTTTATCAATCTCGTTTACAGACATAAATAGAATCTCAAACCCAAGCCTTCTCCCCAAGCGAGTTTAAGCCACCGCCTTCAGGGTGAAGATGAAACAAAGTCACCCAGGTTTGCCTGTTTTAAGTTGCTTCACGATGCACTGACTCCTCGCCGTCTTCGTTTCAACAACTACTAACCCAAAGCGGAGCAAATTACTCGCTTTCATTGGCCGCTTCGTATTCAAACCCAGCATCCTGAATCGCAAAAACTCCACTCAGACCGTGTTTTGCTGCGCCTCCCACAGACTCGGACCGCCCATCTTTCTCCCTTTTCTCTCAGATCTAAAAGTCTTTAACAACAACGGGCCATTGCCACGGAATGTTCTCTCGCGCCAAGTAAGAGTAACGTGCAGAACCATGAGCGAATCGAAGTCTTTGCCTCGGAGACCCAAGTTCAGGCGGGCGTATGGCCCCAAAACCCGGACTGGATGCATTACCTGGTGCGTGACCCGCTCAAAACCCCAACCCCCCTTGTTCCCCGTGCCGAGGAAAGAAGCTGATAGGCGACATTTGTTGCTGGCTATAGCAAGTAAGTTACCTTGCCGCTCGATAGCTTGGCTCAGCTCTAAACCAACTCCTTCGTGCAGGATTAGACACGTGAAATGTGACGAGGAAAAGCCCATATGTCGACGATGTCGCGATAGCGGTGTCAAGTGCGATGGCTATGCTCCTCCTCCAGCTCCCAAGAAGCCAGCTCGACGACGCGATGTTTGGGTACCAGTACCAGAGTCAAAGCAAGTCATCGTGTTCCAACCCCCGTCAACACCCGGTGCCCCCATCGAGAGATACTATCTTGACCACTTCCACCACTGGACCTCCAAACAACTCACCAGCTCAACCGACATGTCCAATTTTTGGATGACCTTTGTCTTGCCTCTGGCCCACAATTGCGAACCAGTCAGATATGCAGTCTCTGCTGTTGGCGCTGCTCATCGGTTCTTTATGGCTGGTCAGGATACTCGATCCCCACTACAGCAGTTGAGAGGCTTGGCGATGCAAGAGTACAACAAAGCCATTTCACATATCGTACCCCACATGTCGATGGACTCTGCATTTAATATTCACTGTACCTTGGTCTGTTGCATCTTGTTCATCGCCTTTGAGGGCATCACAGGGAGATACCCCGAGTCCGTTCGACATCTTCGGGCCGGCAATCGTCTACTGGCCCTACCGGCCCTTGCTTCAGACACACAAGGACAACATGTCACCAGAAAGCTGACTCAAATGTTTGCCACCTTGGGAGTCGAGGCATCCATATTTCTCGAGGATAACATCCTCCCTGCTACAGACCCCCCCTACCGCGCCATCAGCGCATCTGAAGCCCCAGCTGCAACAGCATTTCGAGATCTGGATGACGCAAACTACGAGCTACGGAAATTGGACGTTGAGGCAGTGGAGACCATGGCTGAGGAGCCTTGGGAGACCTATTCAAGCGACCAAAGCCCAGACTCTGAGAAGATCATGTATGATGAGGAGACCTGGAAAGCGCTAGATCAAAAGTTTTATCACTGGAACGATCGCTTCGAGATGACAAAGTCAATGCTCCAAGAGAAACAGCCTCTGATGATAGACGCTACACAACTTGCCATCCTCACGGTGGCACAGGAATTCTGGAAGATGAGCATGACCTGGGGGCCCAACTCTCCTCCGCCCACCGAAGCAATGTCGTCTTTTCTCGACGCTTCGGACGCTCTGGCGCAGTTGGTCGTCGTCCCTGGACATCCAACATTTTCCCTCGACGGCGACCTCATATCTGGCCTCTCGTTTGTCATTTCTTATAGTGAGGATGAGCAGCTTCGAACACGTGCGCTCGACATGCTCAGGTCTCTCAATAGACGTGAAGGTATCTGGGATAGTAAGGAAGTTTTGGAGATGCACGAGGTAGCGCTATCACTCGAGGATGCCAAGGAGTGGTATGAAAAGGAGGTCCCAGGTGGGTTGCCGGGGTTTATGATGGAGGTGGCAAGGAGATCAAACAAGCTCAACCCGACGAACAACATTCTCGTCACAGCTGGGCATTATAAGGAGGATAGTCCATCAAGTGGATCATGTTAGAACATTTAAAGCGGTCATACTTGGAATCTATTCATCTCTCGTGTATATGTACAGTTCCTGAATCCACGGCATCATCTACATCATCGCCGCCGATGTCTTTTATAACCCCAACTCCAAATCAATCCCCAAAATATTTAGCCAGCCAGCTCAGCTCCCTCCTGGGGCTGGATCTCAATCAGGTTTCCATCAGGATCGGCGACAAAGATGAGAGGCTCGTTGGTGGGACCCAGCACGCTGGAGATCAGCTCCTTCTCCTCAGGGCCAAGCTGAGCGAGAGCTTCAGGGGTAAGACTGGTAGCTCCAGCGACCTTGCTTCCAAGCTCAATGGGGTCACCGTACTTCTTCAAGACGGGAATGTGAGGAAGAGAATCCAGACGATCCTGCATGGCCTTGGTGTCAGGGACGACCATGCCGATGTGCGCAAAGGTGTTGGGGGTCTCGATAGATGAATCGATGTTGTAGACGGGAACATCAACGTAGACCAGCTCGATCAATCCTTCGGCGTTGTTCTTCTCCCGGTTCATCTCAAGAGCGGTCTGGTATCCAGTCCCATTCTTTCCGCCATGAGGGTGACCCATGTAGGTGATGCTAAAGTGCTTGGAAACGTGGAGAGTGAAAAGCGTGCGGAGACCAAAGACACTAGAGTAAAAGTCGACACTAGCGGTGAGGTTCCTGACGTTGATGCAGAGATGGTTGATGAAGTAACCATTGGTGGCAAAGTCGGCGGGCTCATCAGTGCCAAGCTCGGGGTAAGGGTAAGTGATGTTGTCGTTGGCTCCTCGGGGTTGAATGTGAGGGACAGCATGGCTCAGGACAGGAGCGAGGAGCTGAGCTCCAACGAGAAGAATAGAAAGAAGGCGAACCATTGTGTAAGTTGGTTGGTTGTGAGATATGATTGGAGCGTGGTTTGGGTGTGTAAGTTGAGATTTGATGTGTGAGATGAGATCTTGCAGATGAGGTGAGATGAGATGAGATGCTGTGATGATGATAAGAAAACAAGACCAAATCAATGATCTTTATATCCTCATCTTCAACTACCTACAGCAATATCAACCTCTTCAACCTCGCCATTACATTTGGTTGGTTCCGTCACCGCTTCCGCGCGCTTACACTCCATCGCCCTTTTTTTTCGCCCTCGCTCGCTCGCGTTTCCTCGCGCCAAGCCGCGTTTCAAGAGCGATTGGCCAAGACGCGAAAAAAGCATGGATGATCCGATCCTGCGACGCTTTAGCGTGAGGCGCATCAACACTTGGTACCTAGAACTTGAGATGAAGGGATTCTCTTTGCATCCTTTGGTCTTGGGTTAAGGCTCAGCGGAGAGGCTGTAAGGCTTTAATCCTGGGGTTGGGTTGGGATCATCAAGGCTGTGATGTTGCATTCTCTCCACTTGACAGCAAATCCTCTCGGCCAAGATACCGATCTGTGTCTGTTTTCCAACATTTCACAATCTCCAATCAAGAATATGCATGAATCCTTTCGCTTTGTATTTCCTCGTTGAGTAGGCAAAAGCCGTTGGATCGAATCCTCCGCCACTTCATTTCTTCAGCTGTCATGTCACGAGGAGAGACAAAGAGAGACAAGTATTTCGGGATTTGTTTCAATTGAACTGCGCCAGGCAATTCCATCGAGACTGACTCGAGGCGCGTCCACCTCGTCCAGTCTCGGGACATCATCAATCTATGGATGCTGTTGATATCAAGATTCTATATCGCTGGTCTATTGCAAATTCCCACGTCGAAAGCTGTCGACTTCTCGCCAAATCCAAAAAAAAACGCCAAAAGATTTCATCAGTCAATCTGTTAATCCTCCTTAAACCACAGCGGCGCCGTCGTGGGCGTCGGCGTGCAGGACAGGGTTCACAGTCTCGTCAAAGAAGCACTTGAAGTCGCTGCCGAGCTCCTGTCGCAGCGCCTTCTTGACAGCCTCAAGGACGTTGGGGAAGACGCCAAAGTTGGCAGGGTTGTTCTCATCGTTGTCGCCGCCCTGGAAGACACCGGTTCGCACCAGGCACGTGTTCCAGCCGTACATGTTGCCACCGATGATGTCAGACGCAGGGTTGTCGCCAATCATGTAGATGTTTTGGGGAAGCTTCTCCTCGCCGTGGAGTTCGCCCATCCAAGAGGTGAGCACGTCGTCGGCGTACTTGTAAGTAGCCAGCTCGGGCTTGCCGTAGACGACACGCTCGAGGTCGACACCAGTGAGGGCTTTGTACATGGCCTCAAGACCGATGCGGAAAGCTCCCTGGGACATACGGGGGTTAGGGTGCTCAGTAGGGCAGAGGAGATCGCCCTGGGAGAAGTAGATGGGGATGCGCTCAGCAACGGGGTCCTCGGCGATAGTGCCAAGGCGACCGTTCTTACTGCGGAGGACATCCATGATGATCTGCATGTCGGTCGCGTAGTCCCGAGAGTCGGAGAAGACCATGATAGCCTCAATGCAGATCTTGGTAAAGTCACGAGGACGAGAGGTAGCTCGCTCCTCGTCGGTAAAGACACGGTAGGGAGCAACAGTAGGGTCCCAAGCGACAATGTCGTTGGGGACGACGATGTTGCGGAAGCCATACTGCTCAGCGACCTCGCGGCATCGGTAACCCTCGCCACCGACGACAAGGACAGTGCTGTAGTACTCGGCCAGAGCACTCATGGGTGTGTGGGACTGGATGAACTGGTCGGTGTTGACGGGGTTCTTGAGGATCTTGGAGAGCTGTTCGCAGCGGGCCTTCTCGATCTTGCCAGATCCGTTTGTGAGGAAGATGTGGGGGATCTTGATACCGAGCTCGTTGTCTCCGTTCAAGATCTCAAGAGCCTTGCGACCCTCGGGGATAAGACGGTCGCCATGGACGAGCACACCGTCAATGTCAAAGGCAAAGGCCATGTTCTTGGCCTTCTTGACCTTCTCAGCCTGGATGCTCTGAACCTGAGAAACGAGGAGCTCCCGGGTAGGCTGGATCGGGGGCATGCCCGGACGCGCAGGGAGACCGTCGGCATGGTGCACAGACGAGAGACGCGACTGACGCTTGCGGGGGATGGGGAGGGCTGTGCCGAAAGAGTTGCGGGAGGATCTGCGGTCCCTCATGGAGGGAGACACGCTGAGGTTGTGCATGTACTTGCTGGCCTCAGAGATAGCAGAGCGGGTAGCAGGCACCTCGATGGGGCCATCATCCTCAGATCCAGGAATGGCAAGGGTGTTTTCGTTGCCATTCTGGACGCTGGAGATGGAAGACATCTTTCGTAGATGGCTGGGACTCGTAGGGACGTGGAGGTCCGACTCGTCAAAGGCAGATGGGGACATTTTGTGTGGAGGTGAGGTAGAGGTAGAGGTAGAATTAGAGAGGCTGAAAATGCAAAGGAGGGATGGTTTAGGGTATCAAGAATGAGTGTATGGAGATGGAGGCATTGAGTGATGACGAATCCAGGGTCTACAGACTCGGGGAAGCGTATTTATCTATCAATCAGGCAGAGATGAGAGAGCATTATCTCGGCACGCCACGTCGGGAAAAAACTCGTTCATTGTTGATATCATCATCACCAAAATCGTCATCCAGGAGAAATCTCGAAACGGGGCTACCGACGGCATGATGTGGACCCTCGGGCACTCACCGTCAAGTTACAAGTTACACGTTATCTACGTTTTTTCCCCAAGCGAGAGTAACTTTGGACCAGAAGAACGTTCCAAGGAAAAACGACACGTTGAGAGTGCGTGCAAAACGTTTGGACCCTCCAAAGTGACGTGAGCTTCAAACGTAGAGGTATCCGCCGTGGACCCTCTTAGCTGGTTACACCATGGCGACCGAGATATGCCTCAGATGTGAGAGCTTGTCGTCGTGTTCCTTGGCGGTACAGCCGCATCAGGCGGTAGTTCCGAGAAGTGGCCGTCCCAAGTGGGCGGTGCGGAGCCGCGGCTGATACGGTATGGATCTCGCATGGTTGTCCGTATGGAACGAACGGTATCGGGATGGATCTTTGTACCTGTTGGCCGTATGTGGCCGCATGGATCTCACTGTGGTCTTATGGATCTCACTACGACCGTATCCATCTCATCCTCCGTCACGTTCCGTCTCGGTTGGCCGACCCGCCACCCTCACCGAAAGAACCCTGTGACATCATGCAGAGTAGGACCCTGGGAACTCCGTTTTCACTGTGGACCCGTTACGGGTAGGGCGGATGAGCCTCAAACATCACAAACGGTAACAATCTGGGACGATCGCCACGTATTCCCCACCCGTCGATAAGATTGCTTCCATTGTGAAGCCCGTGGTTGGCTGACATCGGTCAACCTATGACTCAAGAGGAACCCACGTAGCTCTCCTAGATAAAGTCAAAAAGCAAGGGGGCGAGTTGTTTTTGTTGCGGCTACAGTATGAAAATTGAAAAAAAAAATTGAACTCGAATTTTTTATCGTTTCTAGAAACTCGTAGTAGGCACAATGATATCATACCTAGTCCACTTTGTCTCAAAACCACCACGTTTTTGTTGAAGGATGTGATAAAGCCACCTCGCCAACAAGAGGACCCTGATAATTTATCCCGGCTACAGCGCCTTGAGGCGAAAATATCTCTTCTTCTCATTTATTAAAAGCGGTTCCGTCGATATCTGTTATCTCACGTTATCTCACTCTTCTCCCTTCCTACGCATCATATCCCTGTCATCACGAATATCGACCTACCTACCTATCCACCATGACCTCCAACACCACCACATTCACCCTCAACAACGGTGTCAAGATCCCAGGATTGGGATTTGGCACCTTTGCTAATGAGGGCGCCAAGGGTGAGACCTACAAGGCCGTCACCTGCGCTCTCAAGGCCGGATACAGGCACCTTGACTGCGCCTGGTTCTACCTCAACGAGGCAGAGGTCGGTCAGGCTGTGAGGGATTTCCTCAGTGAGAACCCCTCTGTCAAGCGAGAGGATCTCTTCATCACAACCAAGGTCTGGAACCACCTCCACGAGCCCGAGGATGTCAAGTGGTCGATGCAAAACTCGCTGTCCAACTTCGGCCTCGACTACGTCGACCTGTTCCTCGTTCACTGGCCCATTGCCGCTGAGAAGGACGCCGACAACAAGCCGAAGATTGGTCCTGATGGCAAGTACGTCATCAAGAAGGACCTCACAGAAAACCCTGAGCCTACATGGCGTGCCATGGAGGAGCTGCTGGCCAGCGGAAAGACTCGTGCTATTGGCGTCTCCAACTGGACCATCACCGGTCTGAAGAAGCTGCTGGGCTTTGCCAAGGTCAAGCCTGCTGTCAACCAGATTGAGATCCACCCCTTCCTCCCCAACACCGAACTTGTCAAGTTCTGCCAAGACAATGGCATCCTGCCCCAAGCCTACTCGCCTCTTGGCTCTCAGGACCAAGTCCCCACCACAGGTGAAAAGGTCCGAACCAACAAGACCCTCAACGAGGTCGCCGACCGCAGCGGACACACCCTCGCTCAGGTTCTTCTCGCCTGGGGTCTCCGCCGAGGTTACTCTGTGCTGCCCAAGAGCTCAACCCCCTCTCGCATCGAGAGCAACTTCCAAGTTCCCACCCTCTCCGACGCCGACTTTGAGGCTGTCGAGGGCGTTGCCAAGGGCCGCCACACTCGCTTCGTCAACATGAAGGATACCTTTGGCTACAATGTCTGGCCTGAGGAGAGCCTCGAGAATGGCACTGCTGCTGCTTAAGTTTGATTATGAGTTATGAATACCCGTGGATGCGTGGCAGGCCCGCGCGAGGATCAACATGTTATGAAGGCGTTTGAAACTGGGAAAAGTGATAGACTTAGCATAGAGTGCTCGAAGCTGGCTGAATGCGGCTCGAGTACATGAGATCAACAAGCATGCTGCAACCCAAGATGGTTGATGGATACTATAAATGTACTTTACTTTTCCGTGATGGTGACGATACTGATTGTTCCACTTTACCCGCATGTAACTGGCATGTATGATGCGTCACTCAATACCATTCGATAAAAGGTCCGACCCTAGAAACAAGTAAATTCTAGGAAGCCATGAGAGAGGTGTGAAGACAGGATACATTGTGTTGTGATAGCGTTTACATGTGTTAGCCCCCTCATGATGAAAGATCAACTCACGATGTTTCAAATGTGCAGTCTTACGAGATAGACGGTAAAGTATCTGACCTTTAAAACTATGTCACACATCAGCACTCTTTAGATATTGGCCCTGCATCTCGGTGATCTACTTGTTGTGAAGTGATGTTGAATACAGTAATTATGCATAGTCTCATCTAGTCTCCGAGGCACCTAGTATTCTAGACAACTCTGCGCAGTTTCTCCTTCAAGCGAGTTACTATGGGCTAGAAAGCTATCCATCATCACCTTCACGCCAGTTAGCTATGCTATGAACCACACATATTGAACGTGAGGGTTGTTGAGAATCTGGCAACTGCTGACCCTTCATAGTATGCTAGTATATGGTCTTTCATTGGGTAGGGAAGTAAGAATAGTATGTCTCACTATCTTTTAATTGGTCACATAGGTATAAAATCATCGTTGAAAAAATAGAGTGATGCTTCAGGTTCTCATTATAGTTACAATACCGCTGCCAGGAGAGAGTTTGAAGATATGCACGCTGCTTTCACTATCCGGCCCAAGTCCAGGTTTGAATACGAGTAAAGGCACTTTCTCTATTACGTGGACCAGTTTCCGTCTACTAGCGAACAATCGGCCTTGTCCTCTTGTGAAGTTTCGACATTTGATTTCGCTAGAATGATACACAAGTCGATTGTTCTTAGTGACCCGCTCACGGCTACTCAAACATACAAGATTCACTCGTGTGCTCCTGATACCCTGTAGGATATCGTAGCTAAAAAGTTAGACCCTGTCAGAAACTGTGCTTTGTATTCGTTGACGACTCCATCCATGCATGGCCAACGCCGCGACCTGACCTAGACCAATAGACTCAGTGTTCCGACATGACAGGGGGTTTCGCGCCCAATGAAATCTCGACGCACTCTTCAGCTTGCTCAGCCTGCTGCAGGATCAATTTTCGTGATCCAGCCACCGCCTTTCCATTTTGCTTAGCAGTGAGGTTATCTTCTAGACATCGCATCCGTTGATAGGATCTAGGTCATACCTGAAAAAGGTCTCGCAGCGACTGAAACGTGCAGCATCATCAATGACCGAAAGTTTGAGGAGCGTCAATATACCAGCTTGTGTCCACTTGAAACTCCGTAAGCCCTACTCTGCTTTAGCCGCTCCACACGTGCTCATTCAACCAGGTGAATCGCGCCATCGAGGACGTCACCAACGTCATGATATCTGGGGCAGAGTCTAGGACCGGCATTTTGGCCGTGTTCTTGACACTCCAGCTCATCGTCTTCATTCTTGAGATCTTTGTTTTCACCCCAAGTATCAGAACGCGAAGGTGGTACATGCCGCTGCGGCAATGGCTTGCTCCTCTCGGCGTTGCTCTGCTTGGAGTCGTTCTTATACCCATCGTGTTCACGGACGTCGAATCGACCGGCGAAACCCTCCATGGCAAGTGCGGTATCGGTGTAGATGCCGACGTTGCTGGTGATGGTGTTCGCATCGCAGCGTGGGTACAGGTCTGTGTTCTCATCGCCATATCTCTACTGGGCACCTTTCACCCCAATGCGACTGGGGCCAAGGAGATGGGCGCTGGGCTTGTCTTGACGCACATATCCCTGGCTATTGCTTTGCTTGTTCAGGTAAAGCAAAAGACACTGACACTGGCTGATGCTGCCGTCGGCGCCATGATTCTTGACGCTCAGAACATCGCCCTATCAATTCCACTCGCCGCAAAAGAGTCCTTGGCCGCCCGATGGCAGGTTCGGGTCATGGCCTTGATCCAACTATTTGGACTCATAACCCTTCTTTACATTGTCAGGCAACTATTCCAGGGTTCATTTTCCACCAAGGAATGCCCCTGCTTGACAGTGTTCTGGTGGGCATGGCTCAGCAATTGCCAGCCACCTCAGAAGGAACAGGCTCTATTTTGGGTTTACTGCAGTCTTCGGTGCTTGATGTTCGCCCAGACGTCTTTTCACTCTCTCTACAACACACAAGAATTCCACCAAGCTGAGCCAAAATGCGGCGAAGAAGGAACCGAGATTCAACAGAAGGGTGGCGTGTTGGTTTCCATCACCTATCCCAACGACAGCATCGATGGACTGCCCGCCTCCTATAGCGAGTACCCTGCTACTACGTCTTACATGTACGCCCTGCACGGCGTGCTCGCTCTCACTTCCCTGAGTGCAGCCCAGATCGTTATTCGAGACTCGAATCTGCGACCATCATCGGCCATCAACTCTGTCGGCCAGATCATAGCCCTCGTCGTCGCCGCTGCTACTGCTTTGCGGGCAGCTTGGCTTTTTCTGATGCTCTTCATCAGTGATTGGACGTCAGGAAAAGTATCTGGTATCATGTGGCCTTTTCGACTATACAACCTCACCCAGGCGTCTGGCTGGCAGGGCTACACCCTTCTCCAAACATCCCACCACGACCCCAACGTGATCAAGCTTGGTAGCATTATCAACGACCCCAAAGATCCATTTAGTCCACTCGATGACCCTGTAACGACAGAGCCGGCCGTTCACACTCGCATTGAGGATGTCAAACAAGTAACCACCACCCGCTCTCGGGGGCCTAAGCGGATTTTCAATCATATCCCGGCTTTTCGCGACGTCACGGCTGAAGATTTGAAGAGGGTGACAGCAGATTCCATGGAAACAGTCAGGTTTACGCCGAGCCCGGATTATATCGAGGAGAGCATGAAAAAGCCTGGCGTTGAAGCGTACCTTGAGTCCATGCGAGGGCCTGCCAACAGAGTTTTCATGGTGACGGGAGTGATGAACGCGGAAAGCTTTACGCTTTCCACTTGCAGTTCAACTTCTGCGTCTACGTCTGCTCCAGCACTAGTTACTGGGATCCCTCTTCACATGGGCGCTGACGCTCATATGAGTAGGAGTAAAGAAATGTCGACAACATACCATGGACTTGTACCTGTTGCGTATCGGTTGGAGGCCATCACGGTGGGTAAGGATGGATATGTCTTTAAAGCTCAAAGATACGGAGGGGATAACTGCATGGACACGATATTCTAAGACGCTTGTGTGTGGGGATGTGACTTTACTATGCAATCTGGACCGGTTGAGCTGGCACATATTCTGTCGAGGTGCCTTTCATCGACCTTGAGGCTTGGGGGGGCTGGAATGGATGGATGGACACCACAGTTGTTATGAAGACAATTTAAGGATTGTAGAGGCAGAGAGGCGTTTCTAAAATAAGCTATCTCGGTAAAGGGAGATAAATACCGATTCTCGTTTTCAATAAGAACATATTGATGAATACATATCAGCAGCAAACCCCAATGCTGTGATAGGTGGTTTCTTTGGTCACGGTGAAGAAACTAGACCTTATTACCAACTTCAAAACTTCCTCACATCCATCTCTCTGCTAATCGGTTCCAATTGAACACGTAGAACTGTCCTCAAGCACAATACCGGAACATTTCAATCTCAAATTCTCGCTTTTCCATCAGGAAACAGAAACTCGTCCACCAGCTTCACAACCTCCCGCGCAACCCCAAAGCTGTAGATGAAGCCACCTCCAGTAATACCTATGTCTCGTTAGTCCCAGGCTATTAGTAGTGATATACCACTTACCGTAGGCATGGACAATGTTTTGACCGTTCTTCGTCTCCTTTTCGATACGCATCCCAGACCTGTATGGTCGGATGCCCACATTGTGGCCCTCGATTTCGTAGTCGGCAAGGTCGGCTGAGAAGTGTTCTGGGAGGCTTCGGTTGATTCTTGTAACAATCTGGACAATGTTAGTATTGATGTCAATCAGCAAATATTCGTCTACTTACATCTTTGTCAACCTCAATATCCACCTCGGTGTTCCTGCTGCGATCAGTATCTCGTCCTCAAGATATGCAAACTTCACATACTCAACATCTGGGTCTCGCATTCCCCCAAGAATTGCGGTTCCATCTAGACGGGGGATCACATAGGTGTAGGTCTTGCCGTCATCTCGCATAAAGGACTTCTTGTAGTCGCTCTTGATGATCATGGTCTGCCCACGGAGGAGCTCCATGTTCTGATCCTTAATATCGCTCAGATGCTTTGGGCCCTCACCAGTAGCGTTGATAAGAACATCGTGGCCGAAGTGATGCGCGTCAGACAAAGAGTCTAGGTTCATGCGCTTGAACTTGACACCCGAACTCTCGAGGTTTCGTTTCAGCCAGGGCATGAAAATGTGCGGGTTGAGCACAATGGTCATGTCTACCATATGTTAGCTGCATTCGTTGATAAATCGCAGACTTACAGGTTATCCCGCCCTTGACTCCTTCAGGCAGCTGGTAATTCGGAAGGAAGCGAAACTGTGACATTGATCAGCATCCTTAAACTTTTTCAAAGGGCCTTGCATACTCCCGGGACAAAATCCTTGAACCAGAGATCATCATCGCTCCTCTCGTTGTCGTAGAACTCCTCCATTGGCAGCGTTTTGACACTGGACTCAGGGTGTCTGATAGCTAACCTCCATAGTTCAGCAAAAGCATCCATCTGCATCCTCCTTTCACGAGCCGAGGAGCAACCGCCAGCGACAAAGTTGGCCCCTGCCCAAGGACTGGCCCACTTGATAGAAGGCTCATCTCCAGGAAGGTCTCTTGCGATGACGGTGATCTCGTGGTGCCGAGAGAGTTGCGATGCTATGGTCAGGCCGATAATTCTGGTAATTAGAGTCAGCTTAGACACTGTTATCAGTGTGATGGAAGCGAAGACTGTACCCAGATCCGACAATGGTGATTTTTGCCATTGCAAAGTTTCAATGAACGACCAGCTCGCTCGATAGGTAGATTGGCTCCTTGGCGTGTCCGTATCGCCGTGTATGTCAATGACTGGGTTAAAAGCTTCTTTATGTATTCAGCCGTTGTTGCATCACGTCTCTTCACTTCACAAGAGCAGGTGATGCCCTCAGCCCAGTAAGAACATCTACCCCGCCTTTAGCCACCATAATAGATACCGGCTGTGGTAACCGATAAGGTCAGTTGGTTGACCTGGTTGTCGAATGCAAGTTCGGGATCTGAAGCCGTAGTCTGGAATGTCCTTGACAGCTGGAGACTGGGTGTTGTCGCTTGAAACGGTTTATCACAACCGGTCGCCAGGTGTACGTGGAGTCTTGACCAGCCACCCTCCCCTTTCTACTTAGGGATGCTTTCTGATTTGCCGATTTAACAAGATGATAGCGGTGTTGGCCCTCCGTCTCTGGGAGGGTGATAACTTGTTGAAGCATGGCGTGCCGACAAGTTCGGATCCGGCCCCGAGAGCAGTGAGATAACAACCGATGTCTATCGACGAGACCGATGAAGTCCCTAAAACACCCGTGTTCCCAAGTATATTTTTAATAGTGATTCAAGTAGTGTTTGCCGTCTCAATACGCAACGGAGACAACACTGTTGGGGAGGGACGACCCGTGTGAGCCTCGGAAGGGATCCCGAAATACACAGAGGAGACGAAATATTTCGAAGGCCTATTATAATCGAAACATACATTCCTTAACATGCAATAATAGATGTAAATAGTGACTACTATCACACTCTCGCCGCAAACCCTCTTCTGCAAACTCCTCCAATGGGTGTCCGCGGACCACCCACGTGCAGGCCTTTGACTTCCCGAGGACCTTGTCGAAACCATTGCCAAAACACCACCTCTTGTAAGACTTTACCCTATATCCTTAAATTTTAAAGAATGTTTTCGAAATTCCTCACGGCACCGCCGTTGTTCATCCATGGGGTTCAAGACGGAGGAGACCAAGTTGCGAAACACTCTGAAGGATCTCCTGGTTTTTCCCCTTGTGGGTTTAAGCTCGCCTTCCTTTGCCCGAGTTCCCACAACCAAGCCTCGTATTGTCTAGGTATACGTTATTGATGCAGAGCAGCGAAGCCATCGTGGCATGTGCCATACAGCTCGTTGGACAATCCGTTGTAGATCCTTTTGGCCTACTGCCCGAAGGAATTATGGGTGATCCAAAAGGATCAAATCGACTGTTTCTGGAAGGTCGTAATAGAAGACTTGGCGGTATGTAACGTAAATCCTTATCGCAGGTTTAGCAGCCTATCATGGCACAGTCCTTTTGCTAATGTCAATCCTTTCGCCCATGGCCGGTGGCTTTGGCCAAACGCTATGAACAAGTTCGCATATCGTCCAATAATGTGATGAAATTAGTGCACCTAGCTATTTAAAATCAATACTCTCGCCATGTTAAAGCACACGCGCAGGAACTCGGACGCTAAACGGATCCTCCGAATCCTTCACCCAATCCTTTGGGACGATCCTCAAATCCCCAGAGCTGACCAGAGGAGACATCGAGACCTGGACGGCGGCCACGCCTGTGTTTCATGTTGGTGTTATTAGCCCGTGGAACTTGGCCATATTGATCCTTTCAGGCAGCTGAATTCTGTGAGGGTGGTTTTCAGGCGATGAATGTGGAGTTTGGCGGCAGGGGCAGCTATTGGCAGGGCTGGTTCAGGACCAGCTCTATCCACCTTTATGTTCAACTCTCCAAGAGAATGACATGATTTACAGACTTCATGGGTATATAAAAGGGACTTGTATTCATGTCTTTCGAGTTCCTCATCCACCCAAGGACAACTTCAGCTCTGCCACCTCAACCACTACAACACCTCACAACTACCACTCTTCGCGCCCCCACTTCAACCTCATCTAAAATGCGTTTCAACCTTGCCTACGTCCTTGCTTGCCTTGCCGGCTCAAGCACTCTCGCCGCCGCCGTCCCTGTTGAGGCTACCGAAATCAAGGTAGACAACCTCCAGCGCCGCGGTCAAATCCCCGCCAACATGGACACCACTGCCTGCAAGCAATACTCTACTTTTATCGGCGAGTGGACCTACGAGGCCCGCGTCCGAACCATGGACAACATCGAAGACGCCTGCAACAAGCTAAAGAATGAGGCCGGTATCACTATCGGTTGCTCTTGGCGACACTCTGAGGAGTGCGGCGGCGACATCAACGACCCTCGCGTGGCTCAGTGGAAGTTCAAGGCTGGCACCAACTGTGGCCTTGGAGCTGTTAACGGCATCATTCGCCGTGCTACTGGTCAGAAGGGCAATGATGCCCAGTGCCTCATCAGCTTTGACGGCAAGTGGCCCGGCTACGAGTAAATTCGATTGGCCTCTGCAAAGACTCTGGGGTCTTTCGTCGCACGAATGATTGAAGGATAAACGTCGCGGAACTTGGAGGACTTTGGCAAACGACATGGATCCCAATGTGTACATAGAATAGTCATCAGCCAAGAACGTCAAAGTCCTGTATCGCGGTACTTCTATAGACAAGATTCGAATCCTGACATATTTCGTTCCTCGCCAAAACGTCTTGCAGCACACAAAAGATTATTGAGTCACGAGTTACACCGCGGCTAAAACAAAGTAGAGTATTATTGATTTGCGTCTAGCATGAGCATCCTCCTCCAAGATTCTACTTCCAACAAGTAATACGAGATGATAGACTTGGAGACCGCAAGAAAGGAAATCAGTGAAAAAGTCTACTGCAATCCAGCGCAGAGATTATGAGAACGCCTTACAAGCTAGAGGCACTGAGAATAGTAGGGGTTGAGAACCTGGCAGGTAGAGCCCCATTGACAAACAGTAGGTCCGGTGTAATCCTTGCCACCACACTGGCTGTACTTGGGGAGACCTCCGGTGGCAGGTCCGCAGATGATGTCGTCATCAGTGGGAGACGGAGAGGCCTTGGAACTGCTTGAAGAAGAGGAGGAAGATGAAGAAGTCGTAGTGGCAGTGACAGTCCTGAGAGTGGTGACTCCGCTGATGGTGAGGCTCGTGGATGAGCTGGACCTGGTAGTCGAAGTAGAAGAGGGGCCCTGAGTCTGTCCAGGAGTTGTCGCGCTAGAGGTGGCAGTAGCCTGAGGAGCGAGCTGGCCAACAGTAGAGGGAAGACCGGGAACCAGAGTAGGGCCGGGAATCTTGTAAGAAAGAGAGCTAGTGTAGAGGTTGAACAGAATACCAGGGTCGTTGGACTTGTAAAGCTGAGTTCCCTTGACACCAGAAGGAGCGAGAGAACCACCGCCAGTGACCTTCAAGTTGAAACACTGGGGATAGTTCTGAGCACCATTCGTCTGTCCTGCTCCGTGAAGAGCAATGATTTCGTGACGTAAGACGTAGTTGCCGGGTTCCAGCTGGGCAGGGATCTGGAGAGTCCAAGAGAAGCTGTTGGCGACGAGAACATCGGCAGCCCATCGGCCGCTCTGCATGGTCATGTCGAGAAGACCACTCTCGCCGATCTTGAAGAACTCGAGCGAGTTCTTGTCAGCGGTCTCGCAGTCGCCGGGGCATTTGGCGAGGTAGTCAATGACAGGGCCCTTGTGACTCTGAATCGGCGAGTTAGCATCAGACCTAAAACAGGTAGGGACCAAGGAAGGCAAACCTCAGGCCAGGTATTCCACTGAAGGACAACCTTGTCACCAGCTTCCACAGTCACATGGCCCTTGGCAGGCCTAGCAGCCCTGTGGCAGATGATGTCAGGATCGCTAAAGCTGTTGGGCTCAACGTAGCCGTTATCGGTGGCGCCGGTGATCCAACCCACTACCGGCGGCTGGTTGGGGTTCCAAGACATGGCAGGCGCATCATAGCCTCTAAAGGCAACGCCGTTGGTGATGAGCCAGTCGACATGTCCGTGGGCCGCGACTTTAGCAGCAGAGTATGCAAAGGCAAGGAGAGAAGAAGTCTTGAAGAAAGTCATTGTGGGAGGTTGGTTAATGAAAAGTTGTTGTAAGGAAGGGAGTGAAGAGAAAAATGGAGTGCTGCAAAGCTCGTCACAAGCACAAATTGCCAAACTAGGGCTTAGAAGTAATGAAAGCTGTTGTCTGTTGGAACCAGATTGATCCTTGAAGCATCTTTTACAGCATCCCAAGGCGGCATATATACTCCATCGTCTGTAACTGCCAAGATGAAGTGGAATGGGTTTGGAGAAACGCGGGACGGTCCAGACCAACGCCACCACGTTCTACAACGTCGGGTCTATGAGACATGTCTAAGCAATGGATTCCATTATCCGGCGGAAGAAAAGAAAAAAGTCGAACGATGCAGAGTTTTTACCGCTTTCGACTGTTTAACTGTGGCTTGAATTTCTGTGTGGCAGACGCATATCCGATGAGTCCCGAAACGGCGAGTATTAGCTAGACGGGACCAATATTGCAGAGATGTTTCATCTAAGGCTCGTACATAATTTCAAGCAAAGAGGCAATCGCAAAACAGCCACAAGTAGGCCAAGGGACAGCTTGTAGCTGGTTAGACTTGCCTGGTCTTTCCAGTCTTGATTGCTGCTTGTTGCACTCGGCAACTGGTCGCCCTTGACGAACCACCGCCCTCAAGCCACCCATTAAACATGAATCACGGCAAGACAAGATTAAAGTGCCTCTTAACGCACGCTACAACGAGGTCCTTTCCAGTTTCTGGTTGGCATGTTCCAAGCTGGCCAGCCACTCCAACGCCCAAAAGCCCGGCAACAGCACGTTTTCAGCCAGAATGTCTCAATCTCGTGGCGCAACCGAGTTTCGAAGTGAGCTCACTTGATCAGTCACATTGTCAAGCTTCCAAGGCTGGACGGGTGCCCTGGTTTAATGCCTCATGTTCAAGTTCAGCCACCATAAGTAACTGGGCTGGTAGAAGATCGAGCCTTGCATCTTGTTACCCTGGCGGCCGTCCACCATCTGGTGTCAGATCGGGACCGAGCTTTCTCTAAGGCCTCCACCGCGGAAACGGCTTGAACCTTGGACACATGTTGGGGAACCCCAGATAGGGTTTGCGGGTGACGGGAAGTAAGCCGCCTTTGGTTCCTTGGTATGCGCGTTGAAGCCATCACATCTGTTAAGCTTAGCCAGTTTGCGCTCCTACCAAGAGATATAGCAGCGATGATAATCAACGCCATCCTTGTTGAGAGATAGAGCGATTGCAAAGCATGCAAGGCTCCTGAAGTTGACAAAGAGCGCAACTGTTCCGCCATCATTGCGCGCTGGGGTTCATTATAATGCCCCCCATTCCGTCCTCAGTCCCCAAAGCCAGGAGGCCACTCATCGCCAAGAGAAATCCAAGAGGTGCCAGCGGCTCCAGTACCTGACAGGCATGCAGCAGCACCTGAATATCAACCCCCGACGTAGGGGCGCCAACGCCACCATTTAACCTCCAGCCACTCCCCCTCGCCTACAACTGTTCCAAACCGGCTGAACCCGTGTGAAACACGCGCTCAACTTCCGTTCACGTGCGGTATACGACCGCGATCCTGCCACGAACTGGATCTATCCAGGCTAGCCGAGACTCGAAGGGCGGCAAGAAAGACCCCATTGTTCGCTTGGCAAGGGTGTCTGGACTTGTGTGTCTCAGTTCCTTGCGTGCGGGTGGTACTGGAATGCTAAGTACCTACCCTACAGAAATGTGACTTGTAGGTTCCTTAGGAATTAGAGTTGAGTTTTGGGCCCAATCTCAAACTATTGAATCTGTTAAATGTGATATCGGTCGATGGTTCTTTGTTCTTTGGGGGTCACTGGTAGAAGCAGCGCCCGGAGTTCTTCTGGCTCGCTTCGTAGACCAATTATTTCACTGCTTCCTCCAGCAGTATACCTCCAACCGGAATTCTTTTGAACTTGACGCAAGGTTTTGGAGAACACAGCTGATGAGATGGTTAAGTCTATCAAGGTTGTGGCCAACCAGCCCAAATCCGTGTTGAGTGATGAAATTACTTTGCTGCACTTGAGCACATGAAAGGGCTCGAAGAATAAACAGAGTGTTTCACGTCCGCGGGAAGATTGTCTACCCTACAGAAGAGCGTGAAGGGTGGTATTTGAAGCCTCCTGTATAACGATTCTGCTGGTTTTGGCCACTTCTACGTCTATTAAACAACTCAATGTCAATTTTAGTTCAACTCGCACATTAACCAGGTGTGTCTTCCAATGTCCTTTCAGCGGCACAGCCCAACATGACCTAAGCGAGTCGCAACATATACTCTGTTTCTGGAATAGCTGGATTCAATGCCTTCGCGGAAAGTTTCGCTGACGTGAGATTCGCAACTTCAAGGAAGCTGCTCCTGGGTACTTTGTGCATTTATAGCCGCAGTCTTGGTGCTATCTACCTTCTTCTCTAATGAAAGCTCAGCTGCTTTGAAAGCTCGCGCTTTGTTTGTAATCTTCGTCTACCTAGGTAGGTAGGTAAGTACGAAGTTAAGGATGCTAGGCCTAAAGTCCGACTTATTTCCGTGCTTGGTTTCCTAACTCCGTTGTGCTCAGAAGATCAAGCACGACGGGGTTGCTTGGGGAAACGAAAAAAGATACTTCTATTTTTATCGAAATTCCTAGCAGTTATAAGTAGGCACCTAACTTAATTATAAAAAAGATCTTTTCTCCCTACCTAGTCAACTGGCCTTTTCCTTAGGTAGTCAACGTGCCCCCCGTGCCTGGTCTTCCGGTTAAATGCAACAGAAACCAAACACGGGCATGTCTGTGCCAAAAATCCCAGTCAGTAATGAAAGGTAGGGATCAACTCGACTTAAAATCTCACCTCCAACCTTTAAGCGACGTGGTTGGTCAATCTCGTGCTTATGGAGGTTTACGTATGCGGGGGTCTCGCAGCTTGATCCGAGCTATAAAGCGCGTCTCTAACCCCGACTTCCAGCGTCATCTCACCTGCATACCATCTCCGGCTCACCAAAATCCTCATCATGTCTCTCACGCGCGACACGTTCATCTACCGAGGCGCCCTCGTCATCGGGCTCCTCCCCTCCTTCTTCGGCTTGAACTCGCTCCTCAGGCCAGAAGGTTCCCTCAAATCTGTCGAGTTCCCAGTTCCCACAGACCCCGAGTCACGGAAGCTCGTCTTTGGCCTGATGCGCATCTACGGTATCCGCAACGTCGTTGTCAGCTTCACCCTTACGCTGATCTGGTTGACTGGGAATAAGAGAATGGTCGGGTTGGGCTTGGTCGGTGCGATGTGTATGGCTATCACTGACGGGTTGGTCAGCAAATCGGTGACGGGAGGTGGAGAGTGGAATCATTGGAGTTTTTTGCCAGTTATTGGGGTTTTTGTGGCTGGCTTGCTTGGGTGGTTCTGATGATGTGACCAAGGGACTTGGTTGTTGCTCACTCTTGACACAGTGGGCAGAGGGTTGCTCTTGACTGAGGAGGCTCCACGGCAGTAATACATTCACATTCCCTTCTCTGGTGCAGTTGATCTATTATCACAAACTGAATAATGTTTCATGAGAGCAGGACTTGTCCATAGAACCTGTCATGTGCTCACCCAGACCGTCCTTTCTTTTCCTCAAGCCTAAACAGCAGACCAATCACGCGACCAACTATATACCAACAACACCATCTACCAACCAACTATACCGTTTCCCAAGCAATCTCAAAATGCCTACCCCACCCAAGGACGGCCTCCTGCCCTACATCTACACGCTCCCCATGGAGTACATCGACGACAAGGTCAAGGTCAAGAAGGCGCTTGACAATATCTACGGTGACACTTTCTTCATGGTCCAAGAGATCAGTGGAAACTTTGTGGTCAAGTCGGTGAAGCCTGGCCCTGCGAACCTGATGGCAAAGCTGCAAGATGTTGGGGCTATGAGGAAGGAAGCGAGGATTATCATCAAGAAGGATTGAACAATGGGGATCGACTTCAAGCCGAGGTCAAACCAATTTTCGCATGCAATAGCTAGTAGCTAATCAAAAGAACAGTAAGAATTGGACTTAATCTGGGTACTGAATAAAGTTGTGATATTACTTTGCTGTGATCATGCATGGTACAATACCCTGCTAGACTGAACCCGGCCGATCGCCACAGACCCCATGCCCTTGAAAGCCGTGCTCTGAATCCGCTGCCCTAAGAGTCTATCTGCTGCTTCCCTCTGCGCACTACAAGGTCCATGCATGGCCACAAGAGTCAGGGGGAAGAACATGCGTAGATGCGCGCAACCTAGATTTTTGCCCCCAAGGAAGCGAGATGACTCGAGGATGGCATCGCACGACTCCCCTAGTTGACGGTTAGATATTTGAGGGCCGAGAATACTTAGCAGGACCCAGGAAGCTCCAAAGTAAGCAACAACCATGGCAATGAATGGATCGTGGTATTGGGCTCCAGAAGGGACCGGCCACTGGATAAGCTCTCCTAGTTGCGTGGCTTGCTCCTTGAACTCGAGCCATAATTGGTCGAGCTCAGGAATTATGTCTGCATTCAAGAGAATTTCTGTTTCGGTGGTGTATGATCTCCGAACAAGAACGTCTGTGAGAAAGAAGAGATCATACATCAAACGGTCAACGCCCTGCTGGCTCGTTGCGGGATGTTCCTCGTTCTCAGCCATCTTTGTCCAGCAAGCTGGTACTGGTGCATGTTGCAGATATTGATCTGGTGTTGAAAGCATGACGAACAACTTTAAGGGGATGGTCAAGACATTTTCTGTGAAAGGGGCCAAGTTGCTTACCGACTGAGATTGTACGTGTTGGCCTAGTTGCCAAATGACCAGCTCGTCTTTATGACCAGCCACACACGGCATGAGAGCAAGCATCTTCTTCGCTGCCTGAAGATGCGTACCGTATGCAATAGGATTCGTAGAACAGATGGCTTCGAAAAAGGACAGCATCACACAAGTCCCGAGAGATGCCGCCTTGGGTGAACTCAAGTCATGAGTGAGGGATCTTGAGTGCTTTGTGAGGGCTCTGCCGTAGATGTTACAGGCCTCCCTAACAGCAGCTGGATTGCCCGAAACAGTCCCGCAGTAAGCCAAAGCTGTCGCCTGCATCGATAGTTCAAGGGCAGGCCCTTGCTCTGCCATGGATCCGCTTTGCAGCTCTGTAAGCCACGATTGACGACGTGCTTGTTCGCTTCTCGCAGTGATGAACGAGATGAACTCGTTAATGAAGGCGTGAGCAAACATGGACTGGTTGGAAGGCTGGTGTATCATCTCTGGCTTTGGTCGGTTCTTGAATATGATGCGGTCTGTCTGATCGATGACCAAGGCGCCTTGCAATGGACCTGAGCATTGCCGATTCGTGATGCGGCATTGTCGGCAGACTGGAAGCTCCCCGTCGCAGCCGATGCGGCGACGCCTACAGGCAGCACAGCCACGACTTCGACGAGGCATCTTGACTCGAAATTGGAGGTTTGATGAGTTTAAGTGTTGCTTTGTTCAGGCGCAGCTTACTTGGTAGTGGCCCCTGTCAGCACCGCCTTGACGCTAATCCCAACTTGGTAGGTTTCGCTAGCGCGGTTTGAAGCCATCACCATCTGACCAGGGTAATGATGCGTCTTGCGAATGCGAGCGATAATTACTGTAGGTAAAAACTTTTCTATGGGGAAGGATTATTGATCAGGCCGGATGTAGAAGTTTGATATCTCCGAGTTCTCTCCTTAATCTAGGTGATAGAAAGGTATAAGTATCTGCATGTCTTGCCTCGTAGAGTCAATAAGCAACATCATTCACTTCACCACAACACTACAAAATCCTCCCCACTTTATCTTCTATTATCTTTTTTCTAACATGAACTTCAAATTTCTCTCCGCTCTTCTGCTCGTGGCTAATGAAGCCCTGGCTCAGACTCCTCCCGGCTTTTCACCCTCTACCAAGAATACCCTCGGTGTCAAGTACGGCAATATTAACGCCTCGAATGGTGACTTGGTACCTATTAGCGGTCAGTTCACCAAGCTATATACCCTTCAACGGTCTCGCTAATACTCTACATAGATGCAGCCATGTCTTCCACCCTTAGCTTTGCATCCAACAACGCATCCCATGTCGTTGTCCTAGTCGATCTCGATGCGCCCAACGGCACCGACAGCCACGCCTACGCGCCCTTTCTGCACTGGGTCAAGTTTATCCCCTCCGGTGTAACCACCCTCCCTGGCGGCCCTCCTCTCAACATGTCCGACTTTGCTCCCTATTTTGGTCCTGCCCCCCCTCCAGGCACTGGTCCCCATCGCTATGTTACCCTACTCTTCGGCACCCAAAACAGCACATTCCAAGTTCCGCCAAGCTTCAAGCAGTTCAACGGCACCGAGGTCACTGATCGCATCAAGTTTGACATTGAGACTTTTGTGGATGAGGGAAGGCTGGATCTGGTCGCTGCCAATTGGTTTACAAGCGAGAATAACACAGCTGTTGCAGCAGTTACCAACGATGCTCCTCGCATGGGAGTTGCCGGAGCTGCAGCCTTAGTGGCTTTTGGTCTTCTCAGATTTGCTTCTCAGTTGATTTGAATCTGTGAATGGGGGTTATGATGGAACTGTTGCGTGGAATACGGAGTCATGAGTATTCATCTTGTATTCGAGCTTAATATTGGTCTCCGAGATCTCCCTCCCTGTCCACAGACAATTATGTTTAGAATTCTTCATTTTTTGCACTCGTTCTACATATATTACTTTCTTGGCTTTCCACAGTGGCGCGTGAGAGTAGCCAAACTTTTCTATTCTGACCCTGTCCACCATCGCCCATAGAAATATTGATGAAGGTGAAAGGTCAACTGCTAAATGAGTAGGATATCCTCCCCCTTACGAGGAGCCGACGATGGCGGAGAGTACATGATCCCATGGATATAACACTCCCCAACCAACCTGTAGCACGTCGCTACCCTCGCAGAGCGGCTGATGATAAATGGAACCTTGGCCCCATCCGCGATGAATATCTTGTCTCCCGGTTGTGCCGCCCCCGGGATGATTCCGGCGTACCTGTTCTTGGTCGTGGCGAAGACGGCACGTGGGATGTTATCGGCAAAGGCCACAGCCGTCTCCCAGAACTGCATGAGCCGCTTTTGTGAATGTGGTGAGGTTTCCTTCTGGTACTTCCAAGCATTTTGACCCAGATCCAGGTCAAGGATCTCTTCCCAGTCCTTGTCCTTCCAAGTCGCCGTTGTCGCCCGTGTTCGCCCGTTTGCCTCCGTTGCGTAAGTGGTAGACTGCCTCGATACCACTTGAGGTCCTCGGGCGTCCCCGACAAGACACTTGATCATGAGCTTGTCACTCCAATTTCTGTCTGTCGCCATTTTATCTTGGTCGGAGCCTGGGTAGTCAACGAGGTGCGATGTATAGCCTCGCATCTTCTCGAGCACGTCGGCAAAAGCGACCCTCATGCCCGCGGATAAGTGTATCTCAAAGCAGTCGTCTGCCTCGTCGATGATAGAACCTCGCACTGCAAGAATTGGGACGTGTTGAGACCCCATGTCCTGGAGACGGATCCTGGGCGGGACTGGCCTCCCTGCGCTGAAGCCACCCTCTCCCCCAGCAGCATCCCAAGTTGAGATGGTCGTTTCTCTTCGCCGGCTGTTTAGCAAGTCGGGTATCCAAGAGCAAATGTTGGAGCTCTTTTCGCTTCCTGCTCGGTAAAGATCTAGTCCCCTTCCTTTGTGGACCAATCCCTTGGCGTACTTTGCCAGCACTTCTCCCTCTGGGGAGTCGTAGTCTGGGACGAAGAGGGGATCTTCTGTAGCAACGTCTCTCGCCAGGTTTTGCAGGGCAAAGAGCTTGTCGCGCGGTCTGGAGGCCTGGGTATACGAGAACATGTCGAGGAGCCTCAAAAAGTCGAACTTTGCGCCCCCTTGATACCTCTCCCGCAGGCTATGGAGGGCCAGTGCGGGCCTAGAGTTGGCCAAAAAGGCGCCATTGTCGTCAAGCCCACCTTGTCTGTTCAAACCATTGCTGCACTCCATGAGTGATTCCATGAAGCAATCCCACTCTATCTCGGACTGACCGCACATCATGGTCATCTTGGGACAGACAGCGGCTTCCTGCACGATCCAGCTGCGGGTAAACCAACTATGGCCCAAAAACCCATCCACATCCTTCCAGGACAAGTCAGGGACTCTAGCCGCTTTTGAATTCCGCTCCGAGAGACCTTTTCTCGTCCGGCAGCGGCCTCTCGCGTGGCAGAACGGCCTGTGTAGATCGCCCATCAGCTGCATGGCGGGACTACTCTCACTCTTGTGACCACTTGTGCCGAGCCAGACCAAGACCTTCTCTGCTTGATGATAAAGAGAACCCATCCGTCGGACTTGAAGTGCCTTCTCCATTGGATTATCCTGGTTGATGCACAGCGCATCGGCCCAGAGTAGAGTGGACACTCTCTTCCGCCGCAAACACTTGAGGCACGATGCAAGAGATTCAGTAATAGGCATCTTGCCCCGGTCAGACGTAAAGGTTGACGGCGCAGGACCGTCCGGGTCGGGCCCCCAGAAGTATGAGATGGCCCAAAACGGCTCATCGAGATCGCCTAGGTCAAAGACGTCAAGGCTTCCGCAAATGGGCTTGTCGTCTTCATCGCCGTCGTCCAGTAGCTGTAGCCTGAGGAGACGGGTTTCACACGACCCGACATCAAGGCCGGTGTAAATCTCATGTGTATCCTCGGTGAATCTGGCTGCAGAAAACTTCAGGAAAGGTTCTGTTGAGTAAGGGAGGTGGGCACTGTAGCTGGCCTCTGTCTCGAGTAGAATTTCTCCTTTCAGCTGCAGTCCCCACGGATCAACATATATGTAAATACCGGGTTCCTTCTGAATTTGATAGACGCGCACCAATATGTACACGTCTGTCACCTTGTGCTTCTGATTGACAAGTGACATTCTCTTGAGCTAAACACATTCGCCCATGTCAGTGGCGTCATAAAATAATGGACCAAGTTACTTGCCTTTTTGTATTGCGAGTTTGACACCACAAACCTTGTGTTCAGAGCGTCGTTTGTAGCCCAGACTTCCAGATGAAACGTGACTTTGTCTGCGAGAGACTCAGCTGTGGTATGGTGTCCGTCAACAAGTGCCTTGCTAAGCTTCCCAGCCGTTTCAACAATCGTAAAAGTAGAGGCATCCGACAACCTAGTTTTGTATTCCATGTGGCCGTTTCGGACGCGTAGAGGACTCGTCCAATGCTCGTTCGGCCTGTAGTCATTTCCCAAGAAGATTTGCAGAAAACGAGACACTTATCGAGGTTTTGAGGTTAGCAAAAGCCAGGAATGCTGTGCTCATATAAAGGTAGATATCTTACATAGAGCTCGCCAAAGTATCTCGTCTCCTTGGTATCTTCACCCGAGAAGATGGTCATCGGGCGAGGAACTGTGATCCAGCCTTGATTCATGTTGATAAAAGAAGACTCGTCATGTCCTTGTGGCTTTGGTGTTCTTGGACGGGGCTCCGGTTTGTCTGCAGAACGATCTCTGGAGGGTAGAACATTTGTTGATCGAGTTTGGGGGAGGCCTGGTCGACCACCCAGGCTCCTTCCGCGGCGTCTTTTGTCATCTTCTGTCTCACCACTGGAATCCTCTTCTGTGGTGACTTGATCGAGGCTTTCTTTCGAGTCATTGTTGTCGACGGGAATTGTACGTGTCGTCTGGGAGCCCTTCCGGGTCTTGGAGGACTCGGACCGTTTGGTTTGCCGAGGCTTTTGAACGGTCTTCGATGCTCCATTGTTAGTGCCACTTTCCAGACTCTCCTGATCTTCTGTGACCTCGTGACTTAGAGAGTTTGACTTGGCCGTAAGTTGCTCTGTGTCCTCACTCTCGGACTGTTTGGAGTGAGAGATGGATTCGGAACTGGCTGCTGCTGGTGCTTCCGACACAAGAATATCTGGAACTCCCGCGGGTGTCTCGACATGGACTACGCCTCTCCTTTTGACTTACTCCTCCTGACCAGTCTCTGCACTCTGGTTTGGAGTCTCAACTGTACCTTCGCCCTTGGGCTGGTCTTCAACGGTGACTGGAGTTTCATCCACAACCCGAGTCTCATCTGTTTCCTTCGGGTGGTCAACGGATACTGCGTTTACAGCTTGAGTTTTTCCACCATCGCCAAGGCTATCCTTGGTTGAAGGCCCGAAATCGGTTGTCATGGGAAGCTGATCGACTGGAATTTCATCTGAGATAGTATTAAAACACTTTTTTTGTCATAAGCTGAAAGATGCACTTACCCATCTCCGAGGTTTCGGCAGAATCAGTTGGTTCAAACGCAACCCCTAAGGCCCGAAACTCATCCTCGACATGGTTGCGATTCTGTTCTATCAAGACCCTGACGAGCAGATCGATATGTTTAGCGTTTGTGATGCCACAAAAATCGGACAGTTCGAAGGCTAGCTTTCTCAGGCGGTCCGTCTCGACCGCGGTCCCCTGAGTTGTCAACCAGATATTGAGATCCTGCTCGTGGGCAGGCAGCAAAACGACACATTTCACCACAGACTCTTTCACGAGAGCAATTGATAGGTCTTTCTTGCGGACCCTCCAACTCATAGTGGCTCGATGGACCTTGAAAACATGGATATGCCTCAGGCGAATCAAGATCTCTTCCTTGTTCGCTAACAAGGTTGGCACGAGCCTTTGAGGATGTTAGTAGATACAAAGAGTTTTGATAGATAAAATAACATACGCAATCACCAAACGCATTCTCTTAAGCCATGCTTCGTATGATGGAACAGGCTGAACATCACCCTCTGGTACAAGGGCAATCTCTCCGGCGACGGAAAGCAGGCGGTGACGCAGATTGAGCCGGTCAAAGAAGGACTTGTATGAATCCAACGAGGATGAAGCGAATGACAAGACATCTAAGTTGGCAAAGACACGAGTCGGTTTGGGGTCGTCTGGAATGTACCATTCGTCCGAGTCCAAGGCAGTTCGCAGGCGATAAGACCCGGCTGGAGTATCCGCCGGCGTCACGGGGAAGATTGGCAACTCCCGTAGCGGATGTGCTGAATTGTCGCTAAGATCGGGATGTTTGGATATTGCCTCAAAGACTTGCGCGATGTGCTCGAGGTTGTCGGTCTCGCGGATGCTTTGTGCTTCGTGAAGGAGCATCAGGAGATCCGAAGTTTGGCACCTGAGTATGTACAAAAACAGTTGAATCCGTGAGGGATAGATATACTTCAATCGGGGCGTTCTTTTCAGGCAATCTGGGCCATCCCAGACACATTCTTCAAGAGTTAGCCAGCGAACGCCTGTCGTCTCTGGATCTGGAACAAGCATAAGCCCCTCACTCGCAAAAGCTTGCCTATCAAGCGGGTTAGCTACGTAAATTTTGTCTAATACGACCTTAAGGAGGACCAGTCTCCTTACCGAGCAATCTTGATATCATCGGGCCCGATGGCATGTTCAATATGCTCATTGAACACTGCAGCAGTCTCCAATGCTGTGCTGGTCGAGCCTTTCAGCTGTCGAAGTTGAACCAGAAAGTGATTCATGCCGATCTTGGTAAGAACTCCGAAGTTCTCAAGAAAATCCCAGGATTTGTCTTCAGGATCCCCGACCTGAAGAAATGGCCGGGACTCTAAACTGGCCGTAAAAGCAGCCGTTTGGTCCTCCGGAGACTTTGCCTCACCCTCTGATACATGTACAACTCCGGGTCTGCTCGTGGGCCAGTCTACCTGGGTCCTGATGTTAGGCGGTGGTGGGTCGGACATGAGTACTGGATTCTCGTCTATCACTTCTGGAAGAGAGCTTCTCTTTCGTGCTGAGTGGGGCAGCAAGCGCCTGAGGAATCTCAAGAAATGTCCAGCGGACTTTCTCTGGGGCTCGGAAGTGTCTGTTGCTTCCACGAGAGGCTCTGGCGGGGTGGTTACGGCTCGTTGATTTTGGATGTTGCTTGTTTCCGTCTGCTTAGCGGCCTTTGTGGTCGGGATCTGCTCCCACTGTGCCCTAGTCACTCTCGGTCCTTCCTGGGGAACAGAGGTTAGGAGCTTGATACCCCGGGTGACATTACTTCGAGGCAAGACGGTGTTGCGCAGTATCCCTTTTGTTCCTCCCAGACACGGAACTTCCATTGACGACAGGAACGCTCTCATCCTCGATCTTGACGCTTGATCTGGCGTAGAGCCCTTCGGGTTGTTCCCAGTTTTTCCAACAATCCATTCACGATAGAGATGCCAAAATCCCCGCAGTAGCTCAAGCACAGCTTGCGGGTCATTTTGAACAATGAACTGGAATTCAGGGGTAACTGTAAACTGGCTCGATCCGGAGCCGCCCTTGAGAGTCAATCGCGGAATAATTGTCAGGTCAAAGCATCGGGCAAGCCAGACTACCCATGATTCGCCCCCCTTGTCATATGGCGTCAATTCGGATTCATATGATTCATGCGTGAAATGAATTAGACATTGAGTGAGATGGTTTTAGAAAACGACATCCGCAGTGAAGGGAACGCCCGCTTGCGTGACAGAGTCTCCCCTCATGTATATCGATGACCCTCGATGGCAGGAGTGGTTGCTGGCCGCGAACCATAGCTCTCCCTTGGTGCCGTCAGGTGGGCTCCAGCGTGCTCTCTTCAGAAATACGACATGAGACACAAGATCATCCCGGCTCTGGTTCGCCGGCGAAAAGTCGGGGCTTTTGTGCCGCGAGACGATGATGTCGCATATTCTCTTCACCCTATACTGCTCAGCCTTCAGCAGTCGCAAAAGATCCAGCCAGATAGGGTGCTCCGCAGCACTCCCGTGGACCTCAAAGAGATCCAGACCCCCCGGGAGACCTAGACTGATGTGAGGACCTGCAGGTAAGAAAATGGTCCCTTGACTTGATGACACCCATTCACAGTGCCGCAAAGAGCCTGGATTTTCCCCATGTTTTAACACCGGGATCAGATTCCAATATGAGATTCTTCGGCGATAGACCATGGCTGTGATGGCATCCAGTTCCATGATCAACGAGATAAGAACACCAGCCACACTGGCATGCCAGGTAGCCTCCATTTGCTGGAATTTGGCTGGGTCACCGGAAAGGAAGGCTTCGAGATCGTCCATGAACTCCTCCCCCGAGAGCATGTGCACCCCGAGCTTCTCAAGTTGAGTTTCGTTGTCATAGCGTCATAGCCATCGGAGAGATACTTGGTGTTTCTACCCCCGGGCGGGATCAAAGGTCCATCAATAGTCCTGAAGCGCTTGGGCACTATCGCCAATTTGGATGGGAGTAGCCATTCGCGTTGATCGGATTGCAGGACAGGATTCTCTGACAAGACGTTCACTATAGCCGCAGGAACGTCTTGGAATAATGTGTCTGCGTAGTGGTCAAGTGGAACGTATGAGATCCACGAGAAAACATCCTGAGATTGAAAAGCCTTGATTGCTCCCAGGAAGGCTGTGGGGATCTGGGACACAAGAGATGTGTTCCATGGATAATCCTCCACGTCCTCACGACTGCTGACCAAGATAAAATCTGCCTGAATTGCGAACTGTATAAAGAGTTAGAGACCCGAGTTACCCATGACGCGGAGGGATGGACAAACCTTGAAGCCGTAGTGGTCAATAGGCAAGAATGCGTGAACCTTTTGCGCTTTCAGGTCTTGGCGAGGGAGAGACAGATCATCAGCTTTGGAAAACGCCAACAGGATCTGCGAATCCTTAACGTCTCGACGACGATCATCATAGCGCAAATCCCTCTCGTTGACGGCATGCTTGAAGACGTGATACGAAGCCAAGGTGTCACCTATCTGAATCGTACGTGAGAACATGCCGTCTTTCGTTGGGCCATCATCGAGTCTCTTGATAGTTGTCTCCCAGCGCTTCTTTCCCGCCTCAATCGTGCTGATCTTGATCCTTTTTAGATTCCGAAGAAACAACACCGTGTCTAGGCTCATTGACTTGAAATTTTCGAGCAGAATACCCTTGTCACACTTAGCTGACAGCTCCAGAAGCATTGACGTATGGCCTCGAAGTCTACGCTCATCGTCCGGCAGCTTCGCCCAGTGAGGCGTAATCATGCTCAACATCCCCGAATCGTTGTTGACAAACTTGAATGAGTAGAACCCCGAGCTGATCCACACGACGTCGGCTACTTCAAACACCGACTTGAATCCCATGCCCTTCTCGCCGGTGGTACGGTTTTGATCCTTAGCCGCTGGCTTGGAACTCTCACAGAATCCACAGATAGCGCGAACATTCTCTGAATGAAACCCTATCTCGTTACAGTCGATACGTAAAGTTGTCGCACGCCCATCGCCATGCTCTTTGTATGTGAGGTTCACGGTCGGAGTCACACCTGGAGCATATTGACAATCGTCGGCATTCTGCAGTAGCTCGAGTAGGAAGTGCATCCGGTCGGCGTAAAGTTTCCCAGCGGTTCTATGCATAAATATTAGAATAAATATACTATCACCTTGGGAGAGAAGCTTACTCTTTCAAAACGGCGTTCAGTGCTCGAGCGTTCGCATCGGGCTGGTCGACATGCTTTTCTCTCCTAATCCATTCATTATGACTTCGAGCTTGCTCCTCCGATTTTGGAAAGGAACCGTGAGGTCCTGAGTCTCTCCACCACCTGCCCGGTTCGCCATTTCTGTCATTTCCTGGGTTTGTTGTGTCGCTTACCCGTCGATTGGGTCTTGGTTGAGCCGTATCATGGCCCCCAGAGCCTCGTCCGGATAGAGCATTGACTTCTGACTTACGGCTCCTCGAAGAGCCTAATCTGGGACAAAAGGACATTGCTAAAGTTTGAAGCTTCTGTACGCGAACATCCGCGGCTCTTCTCTATGAACAGGTAAAGAAACACCATTATCTTAGAGCCCGAGCCGAATAATGATAAGCCAGACCACAGCCGTATGGCCCGTACCCGCACCCACCGCCATACTTCGTGCTTGATCCTCTTTCATAACGTCTTTTTAGAAGCAGTGACCTCCTATCGAGCCTCAGCCTTGGCTCATGCCCCTCTCCTTTTTTGTTTATTCGTCCTTCAATCATGGATCAAAGCTCGCCATTCCAGCCAGACCTCCAAAGAAACAGGCTCCCCACATTGTTCGAAGTCCTATCTCGCCGAGTCCTGCCGCCTGTTGATCTCTTCTCGTTCTACGTTTTTATGAGGGACCAGCAAAGATCAGTAGATTAACTTGACTTTTGGTAGGTAAAGATACTTGACTATCAACATCTTGCTCACCTATCAACCTACTTGCAGGCTTGATGTGTCTCAACACGCCTCACTGTGTAGAGCCTATGTGCGGGAACTGAGGAGTGCGGTCCTCTCCTCAACACCAGAACCAAGTCCGGCCCAGAATGCTACCGAAACTGGCGATGATATTCAGGCTTCATCTGGCCAGAGCCAACAGCAACAACTAGAAGAATCGGGAACCGTTGACAAAAGCGATCCAGAGCGATCTAGTCAGGCGCTACGCCTCTCTCAGGATGATCAACCGACAGAGGTTCCAACCCCACCGCCAGTTGATTTGGGCTCTTCAGATGACCAGATCCGTGGGTACTTCATAGCTCCATCGCTGAGAGGTGGCGGCTCGACAGACTGGCTTCCCACCGGAAGTATTTCAACTGCACTCTCGCGTACTCGGCACTTCTTTGCCACCTTCAAAAGTAGGAGCGGCCCAAAGTCCGGCGAGGACCGCGTGAGGCGTCTCACCTAACTCAATTTGCGTGGAGGTGCAAGTAATTCTTCTTTGCCTACCTATGGGACGATGCGGTTTACCAACTCTGAGGATATCGAAGAGTCCACGGCAAATTCCCTAGAAAGGGAAGAGGGTGTTTATCAGCGAGTATCTGCTTTTCTACGAGGAGAGGGAACTTCAGGGCGAGCTACTTCATCTGATGCAAACAACGCTCAATCTGTCCCCGTTACTGGGAGTAGCGTTCGACCTTCAGCGGACCAAAGCCCAGCTACCGCCGGCACGGTTTCAAGACAGGATATTCGGGCCTCAGCAGAGAAGATAATCTTCACCTACACGATTCCCGGCGCAGAACGGGAGATCATTCTTCCCAGGTCTATCACAGAAGATCTAATCAATGCGGTGGAAGTATCAGAGCGTGACGACCCTGAAGTTTTTGATGCTGCCAAAGACTACGTCTTTCAGTCCATGGAGAGAGACGCCTTCCCCGGCTTCTTGCGTATGAAGGCTTTGGCAAATTTGACATCGCCTACAATGATTCTACATCTTGTTGTTGGGCTGCTATCCTTGTTCGCTGCTTTTTGGGTTGGATTTGTCCTGATCTTTTTGGATGCAGGCAGGAGAACGCGGGCTTGGGTAAAGCTCCCTTGGCAAAACTACGGCACGCGGGCTGACACCCTTCACAGCTGGTCCTACCGTTCACGATTGGGGTGTACAGCCTCACAGTCTATCAGTATACCCTTGGCCCTACGATGGCGTTGTTACAAGTGAGCGAGTACACGCCGTTCAGCTTCGTTCGTGTGCGAGAACCATGTGTTAAGAAAATACTGAGTCAACGCGGGATCCTCGTTCTTATCGTCATACTTACGCTCGATGCAGCCTTATCAACTCTGTTTATCTTTGTTCCAGGGAAAAGACTATAGCCTTTATCTGGGAGAAGTGATAGCATACAATGAGCACTGTGTTATCGTTGAAATAGTGTGTTATTCTATTCCATGCTGTCCAATGACCAGTTTCTTCTATCAAGAACAGAGCCTCCCAGCTCTAGACCACTTAAATCACAACGGTGTTGTCGAAGATGTAAGAAGTGAGCATGGCGGCACATAATTAGGCAGCACCCTGTCTCTGGTCGTCATGTACCTTGAGCACAAAGCCAATGTTCTCAGGCTGGACTCTCTCCCAGAGGCTTCCGAGCCCCAGCTCCCTCCCTCGCTTGTCCTCATGACGAAACCACTCCTCAACAGTTCTGATGCGGTTGGGGTGGATCTCATCAAGAATCTCGTAGTTCTTCCGGATCAGACCCTTGTTGCCGGCTGAGTGGCGCCACAGATTCCACCAACCAGTAAAGTTATCTCGGTATTTCATCGTGGCCGGATCCTTTGGGTCGGCGTTGTAACCAGTGGGAAGATCGGCAACGGGCACGGCGGCAAAGTAGTCATCGAAGCTTGTGTCAATGTACCGTGCTGGCTTTCCCGTGACCTTCTGGAAGGCTTCGGCGACTTCGGTGTACGTAGCGTGCTCGATGGCTACGTCGAGATCCATCCCGTTTGCGCGCTCAGGGTGGTCGAACAACCACTTGACGTAGTAGCCGCAATCATCGAGCGCTACTTCGGGAATGGCTCCTTCTCCAAGCGGAACCCGCCAAGTAACGACGCCATCTTCGACAAGGGGCGGCATAGGCGTGTAGGCGTGGATCGCCATGTCCATATACGGACCAGTCGTGAAGAGCGCGGCCTGCATGCCGTGACGCTGGCTCACCTCCTTGTTCTGGGAGAGGATCCACTCACCGATCCTGCCCTTGGCGTCGTAGTGGCCGCCTCGGAACTCGGGCTTGTAGCCGCTCAGCTTATAGGCGTAGACGAGGTTGCTGTAGACATAGAACTTGACTCCCTCCTCAATGGAAAGCTCGTACGCGCGGATCGACCAGTAGATCTCGGTTTTCTCGCCACAGTTGAACCCGTCGATATTGACAAAGGCGCCCCAGGCAGAGCGGAAGAGCTCCCTGAGGGCTTCTTCGGATGTGAATGTGCCCACGACGGCCTCGACGGCACCCGGAGGACCGTAGGATTGGATCTCCTTGAAGCGAGAGCTGCTCGGGTCACGGGTCAAGGCCCGGACGGTATAGTTACCCGACCTTACTAGATCCCTCACGACGGGCATCCCCTGGGCGCCGGTACCGCCAATAACTGCAATGGTGCGGGTAGCCATGGTTGTGGGTGTAGACTGAAATTGTTTCTGGTGTTTTTGTAGTTGATTCGGATGGTGATGCTGGATCTTGAGTAATTGCCAGTTACACAGAGAGCTTGGCCGCAGTATATATTCCTTCTCCGAGGGGCGGTAGACACATGTTATTTCGTGTGAGTAAACCAGTGAATCTCATACATTCGGGCTTCTTTACGTAAACTGTGTTACTCATGACTTGACTCGAGGATTTATGAGGCGTGATTATATAATGGCCGGGAGTGTGTAGCTAATGTCATCTAAAATTCGCAATGATCAATTATTAATTATGCAAGCAGTGTCGTCTGATCGCTTAAGGAGTTTACGTCACTTATAATAAGGGGGGCAAATCCGTTAAGCCTTCATAGTCCTTAGTCACTGTCACTCTCTACACTCTTCACAGGATGGCTGATAGGAAGGGCGTAAGTGGTAGTACGCACTAACATGCAACGCGACCTTCACCGCATGAAACTCAGGCGCACCATCAAGGAGAGAAGAGGCATATAACTAGTGGGTTTGGACGGAGAAAGATGTCCCTAAGTGATGGCGCAAGCGTATTAAAAGATGGTTCACTTGGTGTTGGCGATCCAGTCACGGCTTCCCAAAGTGACCAATCCAAAGCTGTACCTATCAATCAATCTCAAATCAACAGGTTGAAAATGCCGTAAAATATCGGGAAATGATCCCGTCCCGGAGATTTGGGAACCCCCCGCCTCCCATTATATGTAGTCCCCATGTCATCAGCTTCACCCCCCATGAGCCATTATCACAGATGCTTCTACTGCCCTAGCAACCCCGTGGCGCGGATATACAGGTCCCTTCTCCAAGCACATGGCGAGGTCGGCCAGGTTGGTTGTGAGAAGAGATGTGTTTAGCCACACTATCAAGGCGGCCGATCCCACCGAGCTAGGAGCGCGTGCGGGTCGAACAGCACCAAGCGAAGCAGGGCCTGAGTCTGCGCTGCTGTAGATCTGAAGCGATTCGTATCCGCTGATGCTCAACTCCATCAAGTCTGAGCCAAGGACCTTGGCCCCAAGGCTCTCGAGTTGCTCCTGGACGCCTAGGGCGGTGAGAAACTCGGGCTGTGAGTCGTCTTCCGATCCATCATCTGTGCCGATACTGCCATCCTCTTTGAACGGCCAAAACAGATCCGTGCTGTCACCGCCATCAGCCCAGGCCTTTGTACTCCAGTTGATTCCCGTCGCTTGACGCATCTTGTCCTTGCCCGCCCCGAGCAGCCACCGCAGGTGGGCCAAGACCTGCTGGTGTGTATGGAGGCGCAGCGAGTGACCGAATGCGCGCTCCATGTCTTCGGCCGCTATGTGAACATCGCCATTGAGGTACAGATATGCTCGGGAGAGGGTCGTCTCGACAAGATGGAGCGGGAAAGAAGAGCTGGTGTCCATGTCATGTTGGTGCGTCTGAAGCCAAGCTTGGTCAATGAGGGGGGGCGTCATTGCGTGGGCGCTGTCGTGGCTATGACATGAAGATGCCCGTGGCAGGGTGGAATCCACAATCTTCTGGTTCGGTTTCTTAGTCGGGTACTTGTATTCTTCCGTCTTCCGCTCATCGTCTTCTATCTCTCGAGCCGTGTAGTTTGCGTTTGTGTTGGAAGCTGACCTTGCTAGGACGAGAGCCTGCGCCGTGCAGCGCTGGAGTCGAGCCATTAACCTTTGTTCCCTCGCAACCTCCTCGGTCCCGATCATCTCGTCGCAGAAGCTTATAATGACGTTGCTCAGCTCCTCAACCGTATTCTCGAGCTGCTGGATTCGGCACCGCTGTGCCTCCTTGCTGGCCTGTCGACGCTGGCGAAAGACTTGCTGGGCTCGGCGGTTTCGCTCTCGGCGTGCCTGAAAGGAGTGAGCGCCCGTTCTGCACAGCCGCAAGATTTTCCCAGGCCCTAGATAGGATACACTCCGAGATGGCGTATCCAAGGCGGCAGGGAGGCGCGGTGGAGTCGGGATGCAGAAAGCATGGCCAACTCACCTCGATGGCTTCATCCTTCTGTCTGGCTGGTTGTCTCATCTTTCAATATGCTGTGTGATATTAGTCGTGACCAGACACTCTAGAAACTTGAAAAGTTGAATGAAGCACTCCGTCTGGGGGATTGTTGTGTCTGAGGACGCACCCTAGAGAGGCCCTTGCACTGTTTCCGGCTGTGTCATAAGCAACCGGGCCGTTCACTAATCGATTAAATCCTTGGCTGCACCAAAAGGAGGCGGAAGTGATTACGTTAATCACCACCCCATTAGCATACCGAAAGGAACGATTAGAGGAGTGTGACGTAAACAACTCCGACGGACAGGTCATTAGCAATGATTGTATTTTTCGCTATTGTCGCTGATTGCTTCTTGTCGGATAACAAAGATGATTAGCAATGGCATGCAAAATAACCTCCGACAGGGAACTGGCTGATTAGGTGGTATCGTATGGTAGGTATGCTAAATCAACTTTCATATCCAAATAATAGGCTGTAAATCCCAGATAAATAGGGCGCAGAAGAAGCAAGTTGTAGATCAAATCCACAGCCAAGTTTACGCCAACAGATCTCACAACAAACTTCAACATGTCCAAGCAGCGCACCATACTCATCACTGGGTTCGTCATATCTCACGTTTTTGGTTCTTCACTTTGATCTTTCTTCCTTACTAACATGACCCTATAGCTGCTCAGAGGGCGGAGCCGGCCACGCCCTCGCTCTCGAGTTCGCAGCTCAGGGATTTCGAGTCTTTGCTACCGCTCGATCCACAAAGTCGCTCGGCCTACTCCAAGAGAAAGGCATCGAGACCCTGACGCTTGACGTGACCCGACCGGAAAGCATATCTGCCCTCAAGACCGAGATCGCCAGTAGGACTGAAGGGAAGTTGGATGTCTTATTTAACAACGCTGGCATGAGTAAGTGTCTTTATATATCGGGTCTCTGATGTGGGCTAACCCTTCAAGTGTACGAGGCTCCAGCAATTGAAGCCAACCAGGATCAAGTCCGGGACATGTTCAACACCAATGTCTTTGGCTTATTCGATATGGTACGGGCCTTTACGCCGCTCCTCTTCGCCTCGGTTGCAGGCTCGAGCACGCCGCCCACCATCATCAATACTGCCTCGATCGTAGCCCGGCTCCCTTATGTATATGCCGCCCAGTATAACGCCTCCAAGGCGGCTGTGTCCTCCTACTCCGACACCCTGAGGATCGAGCTGGCCCCTCTGGGCATCAAAGTAGTTACTCTGTTTATGGGAGTGGTATCGACGAAACTCACATCACCCGACAAGCTTCAATTCGCTCCAGACAGTCTTTTCATCGATGGTGAGCCGGGCCTCAAGGAGAGATCCAGGCTTCATCTACGAGACGGCATGAAACCAGAGGAGTTTGCGCGACTGGTGGTGCAGCATATCTTGAAGAAGAAGCCGGCCCTCAGCGAGGGAGAGTATATATGGGAGGGAGCAAATGCGTATGTTATTTGGCTTCTTAATGCAGTTGGATGGAGGAAGATTTTCGATGGCACGGTCGAAGGAGGCGTGGGCCTGACCAAGGAGGTAAAGCGTGCCATTTTCAAGAGAGGCCAAGCCAGTCTGCTGTAAATGCTACTTTAGATTCCCTCCGTCCATAGCTCATCACGCATCTAATATATTCTTTATTATGGTTAAAGCCCCGCCTTCGATGAGATAACTGAGACAGAAGACCGTCCATCGCCCGTCGCTGGCGGTTGCATCATGATTGCTTGGCGAGGCACCATGATTATCTCCTTGCCCGTCTTATAACGTTAGTCGATGGCCATTCATGCCGGTATCCGAAGCGAAACCCGGTCCGAGCGCGCATGTTCCTCGATCCTCGAAAGAATCCATTGTGACCATGACTCAAGACATGCGTGTACGTAATGGTGCCCGTGTGGCGTGCCCGGTTCAATCATTAGCCGATAAACTGCTTTTGCCTTGCAACATGGGAATGGATGACATTTATACCGTTTTGGGTATTTTCGTCACCACGTTAAGGTCTCTCGAGAGGCGCGGACTTTTGTTTGAAAAGAGATTAAAACAATTGCTTATTGCCGCCTGCCTGTAGGTGTATATATAGGGGAAATGCGGTTCAGCAATTGAAGCCATCATTCAATGGACTTCAGAGAATCTCGACTGATGCAAGTCAAGGTTTCACTCTAAAAAGATTACTTCTCTTTTCAACTCATCACCCCGATACATCCTATGACTATCAGCATGGCCGACGGGACAAGACCATTCTTCCCCAGGGCCGGCCTTGCGCAGGATGGCTGGTCAACCGAGGAAGAAGCGACAGCGACATGCTATTGCGGCGCCGTGCAGCTCTCCTTTGTAAGTTCATCAAGATTTCCCCTAGAGACAGCACTTTATCTTATAGTTAGCAACAGCCACTATCCAAACCAGGTTTCGACTTTGCCTTTGTCTGCCACTGCAGCGACTGCCGCAAAATCACGGCTTCGATGTTTACCACTGGCTTTGTCATCCTTGACACACACTTGAAGCATATCCGAGGGGAGGAGAATCTCAAGCAATTTGGCCAGTCGGAAACCATCGAGCGAAAGGGCAATGCCATGACCAACTTCTTCTGTAGCACGTGCGGCTCATTGATGTACCGAAGAGCCGAGAGCTACCCGGGAGCAAGCATACTTAGGACGGGCACAGTGGATGATTTCAAGCTTGCCGAGACTGTGTTGAGGCCGACAATCGAGCAGTATGGGAAGCATAGGGTAGACTGGTTGAAGGGTATAGAGGGTGCAGAACAATCTGAGGGGCTGGCTTCAGTTTGATGTAGCTCTTCCAACAGCAGGGATTAGGTGATATAAAACAGGAGGAACTTCCTCAAGACGACAATTTTGGAGCATGTTGGGTCAAGAACGTTGATGTAGTCAATCCATATCATCTCATGGATCTGAAATGATGGATTCGCCATGGCCCCAATGAGAAGTACCTTCGTAGCAATGCAGCTCGTCTATTCTGCCAACCCCTCAAGTAGACAAATCACGACTTACCTTACCTCAAACATGGGCGAAGCGTGGTTTCTGATGCAAAATCTTGAACAGCTTCATCGTGAACAATCAGCTCGGCAGTAGGGCCAGCATCATCCCTTCCATATGGGAGTTCATGGATATGAGCCCAGGTTGAAGTAGAGCGGGCCATTTCCAAGCCATGGTTCTCATGAGAAGATGAACGACAGTGGGGGCAGCCAGAAGAATGTCATTGTTTAGAATGCCGTCACTGAATGAACCTTTGGTGCAAGGGAGTGGTCGTTCACACAATGGGGGGAGTTCGGGCCAGGACTTCACGGACTCCGAGGTGGCGGGGCACTAAACATCAAGCGGATATGATTGGTAACCCATGACGTCTTGGATAAACTCTTTCGACTGATTCTAATAAATAACGTTATGCCCTCTTGATTATTGAATCCACGAAGACATGTTTTGGACCTTTGGTAGGTGATGCCTCGGCTCATGCTCAGACAAGATTACTAACCAGCCCGATGGTGGTGCTTTTATAAATGGCGATGCCCTCTAGCAGAGCTTGTTTTGCTCAGACTGCCTGACTTCAATTCTCTATCTGCACCATACCATACCCTACCATGGCTCCCCCTACCATCCTTATCGTCGGCGCCACTGGCAATACCGGACGAGGCGTCGTTGAGACCTTGTCAGAGCTTCTGAAGACCACTACCTTTTCCGGTCACAGAATCCTCGCTCTTACACGTTCCTCGAGCGGAGCTACAGCGCAACAGCTCGCTAGCCTACCTCATGTTGAACTGGTGGAACAGAACTGGGTCGAGATTACCCCAGCCTGGCTCCGTCAGCACAACGTCGAGAGAGCCTTCATCGCGTCCCATAACCAGCCGAACCAATTCGCCGAAGAATCGACATTCCACCTGGCTGCTCTTCAAGCAGGCGTCCAGTATGTTGTACGCATCTCAACAACCGCCGCCAACGTACGTCCGGATTGCCCTGCCTACTATCCAAGGACGCACTGGGCAATCGAGGCCTTGCTGAGCTCCCCGGAATTTGAAGGCCTACGATGGACCTCGTTGCAGCCTAATGTCTTTACGCAATTATACCTTTCTCCTGCTGTGGAATTGGTCAAAAACTTCCGCAAAACCGGGAAGCAAGACACCTTGAGGCTCATGGCGTCGGAGGATGCGCCCGTCGGCATCATTGACCCGCACGAGGTTGGACGTCTAGCAGCCCATCTCTTGATCCAGGATGACGTTACTCCTCATAACAAGGCTAAATACGTTTTGAACGGCCCAGAGGATATCACTGGACGGCAGGTCGTGGCAATGACCGAGGAGGCCATGGGAACGAGAGTTGAAGCCATAAGCTTCCGGGATCTATCCTTCATCGACTACATGGCGGCACAGTCCCAAGAGTCAAGGAATGTCATCTTGTCAATCAAGCATGCCCCGGAGACGGCATGGGAGGGGAAATGCACAGCTTCCACGACGAGCAGGGAGGTTCTTCAGTTGGCTGCGCCGAAGAACACGCCCGCTGAGATCTTCAAGGCCATGTTGGAGGATTAAGCGCCGAGGTTGAAGAAACTCTGCTGTGTTCTGTTTTTAAATAGGATAGAAAGTAGAATCGGCGGCCTGAATCAGACCTGGGCTCGTCATCGATTTTTTTGATAAAGACAAAACGATGACTTTCTTGAACAGCAATCTTGCTGATTGTCCAAAGCTGCTAGAAGCCCAATGTGAGGCTGTGGTTCGGTCTTCTGACGATGTTATCTCATCAAGGACCGAGCTTCAACTATAACAAAAGAACACATTATACACATTGCAATTGATGAGTCATTGTCCATTTCGAAAGGCAAGTAGGGTCTAGGTATCAAAAAAAAAAAACCTGGAAAAAAAAAAGGAATATTGCCGTTCCATTGTGAAAAAACAAATGCCTGCCCAAGTATTGTAGGCCCATCAACCTAGTGCAGTTGTCTAAAGATGTCCGCCACTTTTCCAAACAATCTCCTCAAGTCGGCAGGTCTCATGACGGTACGACCAGGGATAATCTCACGTCTTCCGTCTAGCTCACTCCAGAGCACCTGTATCTGCCTCGCCGCCAGCAGACCCGCCTCACCACCCACGGAAACCGGACCAATGCCCAGAGCCCGCTCTATCCTCTCCAGCAGATGCACAATGACTTCGGAGAATAGCATACCCTGCGTACATGGTCTGTCCAGGGGAATCCCACCAAAGGTGAAGCCTGGAACAGGGATGATGGGGTCGGTAGCGATTCGCTCCACACGAGCGGTTATGTGTTCAAGGATCAGCTCGTACAGCGAAGCCATCTGGGTAAAGATGCTCGTGATGGCGAGGGCGATGGGTGCGGACAGTGGTTCCTCCGCAGCGGCGACGGGGGAGATGGGCAGATGGTGATCGCTTGGATAGGTTCGCGACGGCGATAGCAGTTTTGGAAATGGTGCTTCTGCCATAGCTGAATAGCACAGCCGGCCACGAGACTCTCGGCTACTGAGAAGCCTCGTGAGTATCAGTAGGAGGTCTCGAGACGTCTTGATCATGAACTCAGCTAGGGTAGAGTTGTCGATGTACAGCACGCTCTGCGGGTAGATTACGCTGTTGAAGTCCAGGGTGTCTTTGTTCCTCTCAACAGCTGCAACGCGGATGTGTAAGTCTATATTCATCTGGGAAAGCTCCAACATGGCATCCGAAGCGTCGATGGTGTCCGGCCCTCGCGGCACCACGGTATCAGCCGGGGTCAGGTCTATGCCATTGGCGACCGATACGGTTTCCGGGAGAGGCTCGAGCGAGTAAGGAGGTGGCATTGCGATGCTGAATCCCAAGTCGGGGCTAGACAAGGAGTCAATCCGTTCAAGATCCCATAGAGCCAAAGTCTGAGGGAAGGATCCCGTCTCGATGGATGGCCATGTTGCATCATCCACAGCCGGAACAAGAACTGGTAATGGAGTAGGTGCCGGGGTTACTATGCTGTTCCAGCCCAACAGGTCCCCTCCCCCAGAGAGTGAAGCATTTTCTCCAGACATGCTGGCGTGAATTGGCTGGCTATGCAACTTGACTGGTGATGGGTGCTCGACGGTAAAGCCTGGGCTGGTAGAAGTTGTTGCTCGCCGCCGCGGCCTTCCCACATTCTTCTGCTGCCCAGTCGTGCACTCGACGCCGAGCATCGCGCACCTTGCGCATTTTAGGTCGTTCCGATTCAGACGTTGACATCTCGACTTGTCTTTCCTGCAGACTTGGCAAGAAAAGCGCTTCTGCGACGGGTGGACTGATGGGGCGCCCATGACGGGGATGTTGACGGGCAAGCAGGGGCGACTAGAAGGGTATAGGAGAATGCAAAAGGACCTGGTCTGGTCTGGATCTCAATCTGGACCTGATCTGGGGCCAAGAGGGTCAGGTGCGAGAAGAGCCGGAGCTGCATCCGGTAAATGCGAGAGGACGTGGGAGCGAAGGGAAGATCTAGTGTCTTGTTAAACCCTCCGCGGAGGGTTTTGGGAAATGTATTGGGCGCTAGTGTCCGGTGGGAACCGGTGATTAGTTATTGTTCGGGTACATGGAGGGGAATTGGCTAATCCTTCCGATCATGGCTAGTTAATCTGACTTTCCCTAATCTTATGCACCAAGGGCCGTCGCACCGTAGCTTCGTCATCCATCTCCTGGTGCTGAGAAGCTGAAGCATGTCGGAATGCTCACTTGGAGAGACCACTACAGTTATCGTCACAGTGTAATACCACAAACCCACCACCCAGCTGAAAGGCCCCGCGGAGGCTTTGGTGCTGAGAAATTGACCTGTCAGGTAGTTAGCGGCCTCGGAGGGGTTTACGCTGCCTTGGTAATCGCCAGCCGGGAATAGTCAAGCCCGGAAGAGGCCGTGTGTGTAAATTATGTTGTCTTTGGCAGATGTACCCCTGTTCTTGTATATAACACTTGTAAATCTCTGGCGTTTCCCAATTCCACCCAAGCAGAGCCGTCTTTTCTCAGCTCGTACAGTCTTTCCTTTGAATTTCAGTTCCCCAATTTCGATATGAGCGTCGATTCCTCGACCATGGACAATGGGTCCATCACAGCGGACGAGGGACGGTATGCCGCAGACATGGACGACGAAGCGGAAAAGACACCCAACGATCGCAACACGACGGCATGGCACCTGGCCCCCGAGCTACAGGCGATGCGGGATCGAGACGAACAAGGCGGCAACAAGCCCAGAAAGCTCGGCGTGAGCTGGCAAAACCTCACTGTCAAGGGCATCGGCAGCGACGCGACGTTCAACGAGAACGTCGTCTCACAGCTTTACCCCTTCCACAAGGGAAGAAAGGATGCACCCATGAAGACTATCATTGATAATTCGCATGGATGTGTCAAGCCCGGAGAGATGTTGCTCGTTCTTGGTCGCCCTGGATCAGGCTGCACAACGCTGCTAAGCGTTCTCGCCAACAATCGGCGCGGCTACGAGGAGGTCACTGGAGACGTCAACTTTGGCAGCATGTCAGCCGAGGAAGCAAAAGCATATCGCGGCCAGATCATCATGAACACAGAGGAAGAAATCTTCTTTCCCACACTGACCGTCGAGGCAACCATCGACTTTGCCGCCCGCATGAAGGTCCCTTTTCACTTGCCACCCGGGATCAAGACACACGAAGAGTACGCCCAATTCAGCAAGGACTTTCTCCTGCGGTCCGTCGGCATTTCGCACACTGCTCATACAAAGGTGGGAGACGCCTTCATCAGGGGCGTCTCTGGAGGGGAGAGGAAGCGCGTATCCGTTCTCGAATGCCTTACCACCCGGGCCAGTGTCTTCTGCTGGGACAACTCAACAAGAGGCCTCGACGCCAGTACTGCTCTCGAGTGGATCAAGGCAATCAGGGCCATGACCGACATTCTCGGCCTCACCACCATCGTCACGCTATACCAAGCCGGCAATGGCATCTACGAGCACTTCGATAAGGTCCTGGTTCTCGACGAGGGCAAGCAGATCTTTTACGGACCTCGGGGAGATGCCGTGCCTTTCATGGAAGGCCTCGGTTTCATGAGGGACTCTGGCTCTAACCGGGGAGATTTCCTGACGGGCGTGACAGTTCCCACCGAGCGTATCATTGCTCCTGGATACGAGCACATGTTCCCCCGCACCGTCGATGAAGTCCTTGGTGCATACGACCTGTCGCCTATCAAGCCAAAGATGCTAGACGAATGCCAAAGCTACCCAACAAGTGACGAGGCCGTGCAGAACACGGCTGTCTTCAAGGAGATGGTCGCCCGCGAGAAGCATAGAGGCGTGCTCAAGGGGTCGCCCGTCACCGCTGACTTCGTCACCCAAGTCAAGGCCGCTGTTGCCAGACAGTACCAGATTATGCGGGGTGACAGGTCGACGTTGATCATGAAGCAAGCCGCAACACTAATCCAGTCTCTCCTCGGAGGCTCTCTCTTCTACTCTGCCCCCGCCAATTCTGCCGGTCTCTTCCTCAAAGGAGGAGCCCTGTTCTTCTCCATCTTATACAACGCTCTTATAGCTCTCTCGGAAGTCACAGACTCGTTCACCGGCAGGCCCATCTTGGCCAAGCACCGCTCCTTCGCCCTATATCACCCAGCAGCCATCTGCATCGCCCAAGTCGTCGCAGACTTTCCCATCCTGCTCTTCCAGGTAACGCACTTCGGCCTTGTCCTCTACTTCATGGTGGGCCTAAAGACCACCGCCGGCGCCTTCTTCACCTATCTGGTAACCAACTTCATGACTGCCATGTCCATGACGGCTTTCTTTCGGTTCATCGGCGCTGCATTCCCCACCTTTGATGCCGCGACAAAGGTCTCGGGCCTTTCCATCGTCGCCTTGTTTGTCTACATGGGCTATATGATCATCAAACCCGAGATGCATCCATGGCTTAGTTGGATCTTTTGGATCAACCCCATGGCATACGGATTTGAAGCTCTTCTCGGAAACGAATTCCATGGCCAAGACATTCCTTGCGTTGGTCCAAACATCATTCCTAGCGGTCCCGGCTACGACGGAGGAAGCGGCGGGCAGGCATGTGCTGGTGTTGGCGGTGCACTACCTGGTGCCACGAGCGTCACAGGCGATGAATACCTCGCACACATGTCCTTCAGCCATAGCCATATCTGGCGCAACTTTGGCATCAACTGCGCCTGGTGGGTGTTATTCGTTGGGCTCACCATCTTCTTCACCTCCCGGTGGAAGCAGGTGGGAGAAGGTGGTCGCAACCTGCTTATTCCTCGGGAACAACACCACAAGTCGAAGCACCTGTTTGCATCCGGGGACGAGGAGACGCGCGCTTCGGAGAAGAGGCCGGCAGTCGACCCTGGATCTGAGACATCAGACACGAACCTCGACAACACCCTCATTAGCAACCGGAGCATCTTCACCTGGAAGGGTCTGACGTATACCGTCAAAACCCCCGACGGCGACCGCGTCCTTCTTGACAACGTGCAGGGCTATGTTAAGCCCGGTATGCTGGGGGCCCTGATGGGTTCCTCTGGTGCCGGCAAGACAACGCTCCTAGATGTCCTCGCGCAACGGAAAACCGAAGGGACAATTCATGGATCCGTCTTAGTTGATGGGCGTCCCATCCCCTTTTCGTTTCAGCGTTCTGCCGGCTATGTCGAACAGTTGGATATCCATGAGCCTCTGGCAACCGTCCGCGAGGCTCTTGAATTCTCAGCCCTCTTGCGCCAGCCTCGCGATGTACCCACCGAAGAGAAGCTGCGATACGTCGATACCATCGTGGACCTCTTGGAATTAAACGACCTCGAACATACGTTGGTGGGTCGTCCAGGCAATGGTCTCTCGGTTGAGCAACGCAAGCGTCTTACTATTGCTGTTGAATTGGTGGCAAAACCGAGCATCCTCATTTTTCTCGACGAGCCGACATCTGGACTTGACGGCCAAGCTGCGTATAATACTATGCGCTTCCTGAGGAAACTCACAGAAGCCGGACAAGCCATCTTGGTGACCATCCACCAGCCGTCGGCACAGCTGTTTGCGCAATTTGATACGCTCTTGTTGCTCGCCAAAGGCGGAAAGACTGTGTACTTTGGTGATATAGGCCAGAACGCCAATACCATCAAGGAATACTTTGGCCGATATGGAGCTCCTTGCCCGCCTGAAGCAAATCCTGCCGAGCACATGATTGATGTGGTTTCAGGGAACGGGGGTCCCTCCTTTGATCAAGACTGGAATCAGATCTGGTTGCAGTCGCCGGAACATGACCAACTCTCCAAGGACCTGGATCACATGGTTGCAGAGGCTTCCGCGCGTCCCTCAGGCGTGGAACATGACGGGAACGAGTTTGCGGCTTCCATGTGGACGCAGGTTAAACTAGTGACGCACCGCATGAACATCTCGCTTTTCCGGAATACCGAATACGTCGACAACAAGTTTGCCATGCATATCAGCCTAGCCTTGCTGAATGGTTTCACGTTTTGGATGATCGGGGATAGTCTCACGGACCTTCAACAGAACCTTTTTACTGTCTTCAACTTTATCTTTGTTGCGCCGGGTGTTATTTCGCAGCTCCAGCCCCTCTTCATTGATCGGCGCGATATCTACGAGGCACGCGAGAAGAAGAGCAAGATGTACCACTGGGCTCCCTTCGTCACCGGCCTGATAGTCTCGGAGTTGCCCTACTTGCTTGCCTGTGCACTGCTTTACTACGTCTGCTGGTATTTTACCTGTGGCCTTCCCACAGCGGCAGAGCACGCGGGCAGTGTTTTCTTCGTGGTGGTAAGTTTTGGGCCCATTTCGAACCCAGCTTTTTGGGCGCAGCTGACAGTTTTCAAGGTCATGTACGAGTGCCTTTACACGGGCATCGGGCAGATGATCGCCGCGTATACTCCCAATGCCGTATTTGCATCCCTCGTCAACCCGCTAGTCATCACGACCCTAGTTTCATTCTGCGGCGTCATGATTCCCTACAGCCAAATCGAGCCGTTCTGGAGATACTGGTAAGCAACGTTGGAGCTTTTGCATGGAAATTGAGACTGACAGTGTTGGTTCACAGGATGTACTACATCGACCCTTTCAACTACCTAATGAGTTCCCTACTTGTCTTTACCACCTGGGATAAGCCTGTCCACTGCAAGCCCGAGGAACTTGCTGTATTTGACCCGGCTCCCAACCAGACCTGCGGCGAATACCTTGCCAGCTACCAGCAAGGTGTCGGGGCAGCTACCAACCTCCTAAACCCGAATGCGGCCGCTGCGTGCCGCGTGTGTCAGTACACCGAGGGTGGAGACTACCTGCGTACGCTGAACCTCGACGAAAAAGATTATGGATGGAGGAACGCGGGTATTGTTGTTGTCTTTGTGGTTGGCATCTACGGACTTGTGTTCCTCATGATGAAGCTCAGGACCAAGGCTACCAAGAAGGCCGAGTCCAGATAAAGGTGAATAGAGGGGGGATTTCTTGTGGCCACTATTCTTCAATAATTAGTTACCTTCCTTTGCTCAATTCTTTCCTTGTGTTTTTTTCTTTACTACCTTTGTACTCTTACAATTGGTAGGAGTGCTTGCTTGCTATTAGCTATTAGGTTTAGAGAGATATGCTTAGACTCACAGAGAGATAGAGGTATTTATAAATAAAATAGACAAATTGTAGGGCCGTCATTAGAAAGAAGAAAATGCTTACAAGGGCAGAACAGACTGTCGATCCACCACAATGATCTTGGTTTACTGGCAGTCGTTCCCTATGTGATTCGACAACTTCTGTTCGAGCACATCTCCAAAGAGTAAATTCATGACCACAGTCCCAGGTCCATCGGCTATCGAGTCCTGGGTGAGATAGCTGAACCAAGAGAGGGTGATAAATTTGCGGCATCACCAAGGCAGAGCCAACCTTTTCTCCTAGCCTAGGCACCTCCAATGAACCAAGGCTACTGGCTGAAATAGTTGCAGGTAGGTCTTACGGATGAGTAATCATGTTGCGCAAGAACTCGCTTTCGCTTGCACCACCTTGCTGACTGGTGCCGTGTCCGTTGGAGCTGGCGTAGCATATTAAGCTGCAATCTCACCCTCACATCTCACATGAAACCCTTGCTGATCACATCAAGATGACCCCGCAAAAGACCTCATCGGCACCGCTTCTCGGCGCCACTCTCGTGGTGGGAGGCTGCGGCTTCTTGGGATACCATCTCGTCCGTCACTTAGTGGCCGACAGCGAAAGATGTTGTGGACCGCGACATCAGCAAGAATCAGCACGAAAAGGTCACCTATAGCCGCGGCAGCATTACTGACCCCGAGTTGCTTCGTTCGCTCATCGCCAAGATTAAACCCAGTGTCGTTTTCCACATCGCCTCACCTATTGCTTCACTTCCCGCCTCGAGGGAGGGCGAATTCTTCGAGACAAATGTCAAAGGGACAGAGGTTCTTCTCACTATCGCCGCTGAGAGTGAATCGGTTCGGGCATTTGTCTACACCTCCAGTGTCGATATCTACGCCAATCCACCGTACTTGAATGTTGTCGAGTCTCACGAGCTGTGGCTAGCTTCTGACAAGTCCAACGAGTACAACCGGACCAAGGCGATTGCGGATCGTTTGGTTCGCGAAGCAAATGGCCCTCAGTTACGTACGGTGACGCTCCGCCTTGGCCATGCATACGGCGAGAGGCACATTCAGGGCATGGTAGAGGTTCTCGACATGTGCGAGGGCAGCAAGAATCTTGTTCAAGTTGGCGCAGGCGAGAATGTTATGGAAGTTGTCTCAGCCGACAACTCAAGTATTGCCCACGTTCTCGCAGCAAAGGCCTTGGTCGACCCGAGTCGTGCAGCAGGCAAAGTAGACGGAGAGGGCTTCAACATATCCGATGGAGTCCCAAAGCCATTCTGGCATCACATCAAGTTGATCTGGAAGACTGCACTAGGTCAGGACGAGCTGAAGAATCTTACCATTCTACCTGCCTGGGTCATGATCGTGGCAGTCAATGTGGTCGAGTGGGTTCTCTGGGTCTTTACGTTCAACATGGTCAAGCCTCCTGTTGAACTGCGGAGGGTTTCCCTCGAATATTGCCTCAATACGCATACGTATAGTATTGAGAAGGCGAGGGAACGGCTTGGGTTTGAGCCCGTGTCGGATCACGATACTGTGCTTGTGAAGTCCGTTAAGTGGATGCTGCGTTATCGAGAGACCTTGAAGAAGAGAGAATGATCCGAGGCAAGGCGTTTTTGGCAAAGTCTACTGTGTTAGCTTCGCGCTTTCTAGTACTTCGCATTGGTTTCAAACCCTTTCTGGGACTTCCTCCGTTAAATGACCAGCGACGCCTTTACCAGTTCATCGCACCATAACGTCAAAGACAAAGGCGTATTGACAGCTGGTCTAGCTGTTGCTGTGGACCTTGCGGAGTCTTGACCCATCGTGACGGAGTCGTTCTGCGGGTCTTGTCGACAAGCCGAGGATGGGATGTCCTCGTTGATTGGCTGCACACTAACAATTGCGCGCCCTTGCGATGATCAGACATTGGATCTTGTCTCTAGATGGGCGTCACTGTTGAATTCAGCTGAGATGGGAATGTAGATATTTAGCCATCATGTCACCATTCGACGATAGTTTCTCGCAATCTCTTGCATCGCTATTCTTCAACTTATTTCATCATGTCTGAATCTCCAGAAACAGTCGTCATTGTCGGAGCTGGCATCGTCGGCTCCGCCTTGGCGTACTTCTTGTCTCAGTCCCCCACACGTCGCAACATCAAAATCATCGATCGTTCCTTCAGTCCCCTTCTCGGATCAACTGGCCATGCGCCTGGCTTTGTTGGCCAGTTCAACGAGTCCGAGGTCCTCTCCAAGCTCGCTATTGATACTGTGGCAGAGTACACCAAGATCCCCGGTGGCTTCGACACTGTGGGCGGACTAGAGGTGGCCTTTGAGTCTGATGGAATTGAACGGCTCAGGTCTAGATGCGTAGATGCTGTAAAACTGGGTCTTTCTGCCGAGATGCTGAGCATCGAAGAAGCACACAAGCTCGCGCCGGAGCTAGTCAACGAGACAGGACCAGGCACGGCAGTCTTGTTTTCCAGTGACGGCACCGCAAATGCTGGCAGAATCACTTCATTCTATCAAGAGGAGGCAAAAGATTCGGGAGTGGAATTTGTATCAGGCGAAGTGAAGAAGCTTGTCATTTCCAAAGGTCGCGTCACCGGCATTGAGCTTGGCCAAGACTCGGCTGGGAGACTGAACGCTGACAAGGTCATTCTCACTACCGGCATCTGGGCCCAAGACCTTGACAAAGACCTCGATTTTCCAGTACCAGTCATTCCCGTCGGACATCCATACATTTACGGCAAGACAAGAGCCAAGAACTCTCGAAAACTCCCATTCGTTAGATGGCCAGAGCATCACGTCTACGCCAGAGATCATGGCGAAAGATACGGCATCGGCAGCTATCATCACGAACCGGTCAAGTGCAAGGCAACCAACAACACTGCCATCGGAGAGTGGATCCAGGACTTTAAGCAGCCATTGAAGTTCGCCACAGGTCTGCTTCCGCCCGCCGCCACCGAGGAGTTCAAGGACGGGGAGAGCTTTAACGGAATCTTTTCCATGACGCCAGATAACATGCCGTTGGTGGGAAAAGTGAATTCTCTGCCGGGCCTGCACATGGGAGTTGCCATCTGGGTTACGCAGGCTGCTGGTACAGCAAAGTTCTTGGCAAGGTTGATTGATGGGTTGGAAGTTGATCAGCAGACCAAGGAGGCTCTCGACCCAGAGAGGTTCAGAGGTCAAGATTTTGCTGCGCTGGAGAAACAGTCTCTTCAAGGGTACAACAATATCTACAAGACGGTTGGGAAGTAATGGTGGTGACATAGTAAAGTCGGATAAATGGCGTTGTAAATTGCCGACACACCCGTCTCTGCTGGTCACAAAGACACTTGAATAAAAGCACAAATATGGGCGTCACTCCCTTTGGTTGTCTCATTTAATCAATAATTGAGATCATGATCTGCAGTGAAATTCATCCGTCTTTCAACCCAAACGCGTCATTTGGTTGTATTCTGTCGAATCTCTTCTCAGCATCACTCTCAGCCGCCTGGGCAAGCTGATGGCCGAGCCCCAATACCATTCACTCTATCCCAAATGCGCTACCCTACGCTATACATCCCTTTCCCGAGTACCAAGAAATTCTCCATCTTTCAGCACTTTTTGTTCTGACTTACCCTTGAGTTGAGATCCTTGGCTTGGGAGTTTACCGAGCACTTTTCGGCTCTCTCTGGTTTGGGGGCGAGAAGAAGTGAAATTGGACTACAGCGAGCAATTCAATTTCCGACGGTTACCAATCTTCCGGAGCGAGGCAGCAAGCGAGATCCTACAGGGGCACAAGATCCAAGCAAAAGACGTGAGTGGCGCGCAAAACCAAAAACAGTCGTCATTTCAGGGATCGCACACGATGGCAGACCCGGTTCAAGATTGACAGGATCGCCAGTTGTTGTCATTGAAGGGTAAATATTGGCCAGAAAATCCGGTAATGACTTGTCAGGCGTTGATCCGGGGACACTGTTTGGCTTTCCGCGATGTCATCAACTTGGGCTTGGATGGCGAAATCGAGTTGGATGAGACACTTCAAGCCAGGGAGGATTGGAGGCCTGCCAGCAGTTACGACCAAATTCATGGCGATAGATAAAGAACGAAGCAAAACGGTCAGGTCTGCTATCATTTCAAGAAAAGAAAAGCCTTTGTCTGATTTCCCACCTGAGACTTTGGTTGGTAGACAGTAATTATGAGGCCAGCAAGGCCCGGACATGGACGAATACCAAACAATAACGATATCACTACCATAAATCACGTATTCCGATCAAATTCGGACCTCCCATCTTGGAAAGAAAATCCAGATCGTCATGTCGTGAATGCCTCGACCGTATCTTATCCATCATCAAAGAAGCAATCCTGAAATGCCGGCAACTCCCGTGGAGATTAGCCTACTCGACGACGCTCTAGAATCTCCAGATTACAGTTCAAAAGCTCAATCGGGTTCACCGAGACGCGTAGCCCCGGCACTACCGCTCCCTCAAGTGCGCGCGTTCAGAACCCGGGGCTATGGCGCAATCCGCGTCCTCGGTGCCACCAATTCCGACCCTCTTGGTTGGCCTGCCCACAACAGCAACCATGTCACAAGACAAAAGCCCACTTTCCGAATCCCCCCCTTTGGGAGTGTGACAGATTGTTGGTTATGCTTAACCCAGGAGCTCGGACTGCGGGTTGCATGCGTTCCCGCCGCTCGCGTGCTGACCTGTTCAGACACTGGGCCCGCCACGACGATTTAGGGGGGGGGCGACGTTTGCTTTTTTGCATGGCGAGTGGATTCGTTAATTCGTGAAGCTAATGCCGGCCGGCAGGAATGAGGGTCGGGATCAGGAGTCAAGATCGAGCGACGGATCGTCGCTGTTGGAAGTCGCTTCAAAGTGGAGGCCTCATTCAGATTGTGACAGCTGCATCTTTCAGCCGCGATCTAGTGCTTGAGATCACATTGATCTTTGAGGCTCTAGATATTGCGAATCTGTAGATCAGTGGCAAGATATTGCCAGACTATTGAAGTGATTATTAGTGTAGCTAGAGACCATACTTCCCTAGGGTAGGTAACGACCACGAGACCAACTCCAAGGCTGAGCCAAGGCTATCAACTCCAAAAAGTGGCTTTACCGAGCTGAAAAAAACAGACCACGTTGAATCCACGAGAGCCATTGACGAATTTGATCCAGCGCCGCGCGTTGCGCACTGGCGCCACGTTGACAGCCCGTTTGAACACACCTCCAACTCCCCGTTGAAGCCTCTTTTCTCTTTGCCAAAAACCAACCGCCCACCGGCCCGTCGAGTCTCGACTCTCTAGCCCGCCTGGGAGGCTTGGCTCAACTGCTCGCTAGCAAAAAAAACATGCGTGGGGTGGGTGACGGATTACCTCAACGTTTGTGGTGATTTGTTAACCTGGGCGTTGGGGGTCACATTGCATTAGCTATGAGACAGCGGCCTGCCGGTTCGGGCAGCTAGGGCCGGTCGCGTTAGATTCAGGCAGGGAGATGGTCTTGTAGATTTGAGGCTGAAATGGCGACATCCGAAGATGGCATGGGGGAGAGGTCATGGTACGAGGGAAAAGGGGACGGACTGTCGGGCGGGGAGTTGAATCGAGGGGGATACCCTAGCTCGTGGGACACGCAATCTTCTCGAGCTATGGACCGCGTGTGTGGGAATAATTCGGTATCTTGACGTGGGTAGCCGGCGTCTCCAACGTTGCTTGACAGGTCGCAACGGCTTCTGGGAGCGTTTCATTACTCACGGATACGACCGAAGTAACGACGATCTCTTTCTCCTTCGAGCCCATCATCTCATCAGCAAGAGCATTTCGTCATGCTCCGGAACTCGTGGAAAACGACCGACCATTCCGGCGCTAACAGGCGAGAGGGGACCACAGGGACTCCCCTTGCCCGCAGGAGGGAAAGACTGGGTCCCCACAGAATAAAGCTCGAAAATAAGGCCAATAAGCTAATCCTTAAGCTTATTCCACCGTCAAAGATCCCGGACGAGTGGACGAACCAGCTGCACCACGACCATTTCAGCAGGCCATGGTTCGATCGTTGCTTGGTTTTTCTTCTCTTGTCGCGGTAGTGACACCGGGGAGATCATCTGAGCCTGAACTTGGGTGGCAATCTCTCTTGCTGGAGAGACATCTGGTGCGACTGGACTCTCCGCGCGTGGCGCTCTAAACCAGCGTTATTTCGCTTGGCAGAGCTGGTCTCTTCACGGGCGCATGCTGCAGATCCAGCTATCGGGGAGTCTGGCCCTCCCCAAGCAGGGAACTTTCACGGGGAGTCCAGCGGGGAGTTGATCTGAGGTTTCTCTTCCTGCCCACCCTCTCGCGACGCCTCGTCGGGGAGATCGCAGGATGAAACCTTGACGATTGGAGCTTTCCCTCTACCCATGAGTCATTTAATTCTCATAGTTGCCCTCTCCCCCCACGGGCAACAAATCGGAGGCGGTAATGGCGAGTGGAGGGGACGGCGTCTTGGCCTGCGCACACTAGCCTTTTCAGCAGAACCTTGAAGCCCATCCTATCAAGACGTGGTGCTCCCGGCACTTGCTGGTATTGCGTGCTCGAATTCTGCCATGTCACCATCCCCCGCCCAGACCAAATCCAGACCGAACCGACGCACTTTGCACCCAGGCGTCTTGGCGAGAAGGCTTGGCAGTTAGCCTTGGCGATAGCTGCCAAAGTCTTGAAAAGGGCGACAGAGAACCCTTCAAACAGAATCTCTTTCATTGCATCCCAGACACACACTTGCAAACCATTCAATCGGTAATCATGGGCAAGCTCGAAAACTCGGACCCCAACCAGTTCTCCCTTCCCAGGGACGACGAGGAGGCTCTCACACTCCGCAATGATTGGAGTCCACAGGAGGAGCGCAAGGCCAAGCGCAAGTACGTTCATGCATCGGATCGTCGCTGGACCGTCGGCAAAAGCTAACAGTGGTTGAATCCAGGCTCGACCTTATCATCATGCCCCTCCTGACCCTTGGCTTCTTCTGCCTCCGTGAGCATCAGCCCTCCACGTCACTACTCCAACACCTTCTAACATCTCTCCCAATGCAGAGCTCGATCGAGGAAACATTGCCAATGCCATCACCGACAACTTCATGGAGGATGTCGGCGTCACTCAGAATCAGTTCAACGTCGGCCAGCAGATGCTCTCGCTGGGCATCGTGCTCTTCGAGATCCCCTCCAACATGATTCTCTACCGCGTCGGCCCCGGCAAGTGGCTGACCCTGCAGCTCTTCCTCTTCGGCACCGTCAGTACCTTCCAGGCTTTCCAGAACAGCTACGGCTCCTTCATCGCGACTCGATTCCTCCTCGGTATTACCGAGTCTGGCTTCATCCCCGGTGGTCTCTGGACCCTCTCGACCTGGTACACCCGCAAGGAAACTGCCAAGCGTGTCATGTTCTTCTACTTTGGTAACCAGTTCGGTCAGGCTTCCTCCAAGCTCCTGGCTTACGGTATCCTGCACATGCGCGGTGTCGGCGACAAGTCTGGTTGGTTCTGGCTGTTTGTTCTCATGGGTAGCTTCACCGTCCTGAGCGGTTTCATCCTCGGTTTCTGCCTCCCCGACTCGTTCAAGAACCCTCGCAGCACTTTCCTGCCCAACGTTAGCTTCTTCACTGAGAGGGAGCTGCACATTCTGCAGACCCGTGTCCTTCTCGATGACCCCATGAAGGGCAAGAAGAAGAAGAAGATTGGTCTGACTGCTTTCAAGAAGGCTGTGAGTACCACCTCCACCATTCTGCAATATGTCACTGACATTTTTAGTTCTCCAACTGGCGTCTCTGGGTTCACGTCATCATCACCCTCGCCAACAACGGTCCTCAGCGTGCTTTTGATACCTACTCACCTTCTATTGTCAAGAGTTTCGGTTTCGCTGGCCTCACTAGCAACGCCTTGGCCTCCGTCGGTCTCTTCCTCCAGATTCCTGTCTCTTGGACTTTCAGCTATGTCTCCGATCACTTGTGAGTCCCCCCACCATCATACGATACAAGCCTTTGCATCCACTGACACTCCACAGCAACAAGCGACCCGAGACTGTCATGGCTGGCCTGAGCATGCATTTGCTCGGTTATGTCTTTAACCGTATCTTTACTGAGCTCAGCATCCGAGGTGTCAGCTACTTTGGTGTTGTCTGGACTCAGACCTTTGGTACCTTTTCGCATCCTCTCAACATTGCCTGGATGTCGCTTGCTTGCGACGACTCTGAGGAACGAGCCCTTGCCATGGCCATGTGAGTATCTTCACCACTCTTGCATAACACACTTACTAATACAATGACAGGGTCATCATGGGTGCAAACATCGCCGGTATCTACGGTGCCCAGATCTTCCGATCCGACGATAAGCCCAAGTACCGCCGCGGCTTCACCATCAACATCGTCGTTCTCAGTGTCGGTCTCGCCCTTGCCGTCCTCCGATTCTTCGACGACAAGATCTGGCGCCGCAGCAGGGTCGCTCAAATTGAGGTTCAGCTCGCCCGCGAGAACGGAAACGACAGCAACAGCGATGAGAAGTCTGGCTCCAGGACACCTGACCACATTCCTACTCATGGTCTTGAGAAGACGTCCCCGGTTGAGCTGAACGCTGCTGCCCGGCCCACACATGGTTAATTTGACTAGACTGGATTGTTTTGGTACTTGGAACTTTCCTCTTGGAAATGTTTCTCATGGAATTGTATGAAGGAAAATGATGTCGAGTGTTTGGAAGCGTAGAGCGATGTTGTTTGCGAGATATAATGATGGAACTGCTTGAGCCGCTACACATATATGAGATATCCTACATATGCTAAAGAAGTGTTTTGCATGAAACTTTCGTTGTATTCCGAAATGTTTTGAATGAGTTTGGTTCTATCGCGACCCTTTGATGGTGACTAGAGTGCCGGCATTAGTCTTGCTTCCCAATCCTAAGTAACGTACATTTCAGCCTTCGCTCCGCACGTCTCGATACATGATCTCAGTTCAGTTTCAAGCTTTTCTTTAGAGGTGCGGCCAGAGGGCTGGGGTTTGAACGGAAACCCAACATATAATGACTCTTGTTCACAACCACGAAGCGGCTGTGAGCCTGCAAATCCACATTTCGATCACTTTGACACAATTCTCAGGTATTCTGGTACACATGAACAAATTTCTCTGAGTCTTGCCAAATCTATCAGTTGTCCCCCTCTGGTTGTATGATGCCATGATTCTGCACGACCAAACCTTGGACGCCATCCCAAATTGCAAAAAGAAGGTGTTTTGCCGTCAGCAAGACTCGAACTTGCGTTTTCAGTGCTTCAAGAGACCACAAACTGATGTACTAACCCCTATACGATGACGGCTTGCTTGTTGTTGAGGATAGCTGTGTTAACCCGTCTGGTATACGTCCTCTCTTCGGAGCCAGTTTTGGGGGCTTGCCAGATCAGGAATTCTGGTCTGTGGCTCACGTGAGGACATGAATGATCTCAGGTACGTCACAGATAATGACAACCAATTTTATGTTTCTATAATAGTTGTCTTAGCGGTTTATGAACCACCGGAACCGATATTGAGTGCTCAGAAATGAATATGGAATAGTCCCATATAACTCAAGAAAACTAAACAAGTGATGCTACCCAATCCTGGCTGGATATCACACAATACTAATGTCCGAGAACTGAGCTGTAACACCAAAGATTGCCTGGTCAAAATCCTCGTCTTCAAAGATTGCCTCGGCAATGTCCTCGGCTTTAAAAGTTCGATTAAAACCCTCGACGTCTTGATCAGTTCGACAATGACCAATCCGTTGATAGATATCTGGTGCTTCAGTGGAATGCCTTGCAAGGATAAGATAGTCAACGAAGCAACGCTCTGTTTGATGATCGTAGGGGTGCAAAATGATGGGAAGAAGAAAAAGATTGTCTTTTCCATCCCAATTTCCGGGAGATGTATCCAGATGAACCTTTGCGACGTGAGGTGCTGAGCGAATGCGAATAGAATCGGGTGGACTGTCCCATTGTGCTGGGAACAAGGCCCCATGTAATTTGACGCATCCATAGCGTACTCCGACTGTGGGATCCGCTTCTCGATTTATAGTTTCAATGGCCATAACAGACACGAGGTTGATTCTGTCCCGTATTGTTGGTCTATGTTCTATCTTGATGGAACTTTGCACAGATGCCCAAGACCATGAGGGTGCCAGATAGTCAACGGCGGCCGGCCCCGGTGTGGTTACTCTCCAGTTGAGAGTTTCGACGAACCTGGACTTCCAGAGGCCGGCGATATACTCGTCGCCCGTATTCTCTTGGAAGAGTTTTGCTATCCCTGCAAACGCCACAAGCTTATCCGTAGGCTTAGTTAGGGAGCGTTTGGAATAGTCTTCAACCAAGACCTTCCAAGTCAGAAACAGCGAGTCTGAGAACACAGTCCATTGTTCGTCTCGTCTTGGAACCACCAGTTTCGAAAGTGCATGACTGCTCTTGTCGGATTCGTGATTTGGAATACCACCCGGAAACCCTTCGCACTTGTCGTCCGTCATGCACTCCCACATTATTTGATCATGTCCAAAGGAAAGAACTCTCGGGGACAGGAAGCGCTCTTGGAAGATCCATCCCCTTGTGTGTAGTTCACTTCTGTCAAAGTGTCTCTGCCAATATTCTGTGCTCCAGATGTAAAAGTCCTCAGGAGCTTCGTCCCCATAAGCGACGTTTACAACCGCAGGACATGCTTGTTCGGGCTGTCGTGAGCGGAATAATCCTCCCTCGGGGCCCGAAGACGCCGCGGCAGCAATAGTGCAGATCGAATTTGCGTACACGTCTCGCATTACGACAGACTCTGATACCCAGTCTTGGGACGAGTCTTGAATTATGCAGAGAGCATCAATCCATACATATCGATGAGAGAAGTGTCGTGTAACGGTTATGAGGTCTTGGAACGTCTGTGGAAGGTCGGCGATGGGCTTTTCACGACGAAATTCGTCCATGTTCGACTTGAGGAGCATGATGCTTGGCTCTGTTCCCCAACGATAACTGAGGGTGATGTAGGGGGCGGGCCAATTCACGCCGTCTTCAGCAACGACACGGAGCTTCCAAGAGTCATCACCCTCTAACCCAACGTCTATCAAACGTGTGGGGAGCCATGGCTCACGTTTAGATAGCGCGCTGCATTGTGGATGTCGGACACAGCAAGATGCCAGCCAGAAAGAGGCTTGGGTTAGGCTACTCAGCGAAGAGGTTTTCTCATCCAAAAGAGGGAAGGGTCCATAGACCTTCTCGGCCACTATTCCAAAGTCAGCTCCTATAATCTTGTCCAAACTCGGGATACAGACGTCTCTTGGGCATGAGAAAAACCCCGGGAATCATGAGGTCATCATCCTCGATGTAAAGGCCAATGAGTCCGTAATCCCAGCCGAAGTAGGAGGTTGTGTATTTTACAGGTAGATCATGCTCATGATCCACAGCTTTGTTTTTGTCCCGCCTTATAACAAGACCCTGCTCGTCCAGTTTCCAGACTTCTGAGCATATGTAGCAGCCCTCCTCTACGGCTTGCCGGATAGCGTCAAGGGTCAAGTGGTGCGGTCCAGGCTCATCATTTTTGAGGGGATGACCGAGTGCATAAACGCAGGTGACGCAAAGGTAACTAGTTTTGGCCATGTTTCTCACCGAGCTCACCTCTCCGTGGGCCGTTGGTGCGATGTTTGAGCGAAGTTAGTTGTCTGACCAGAGCGGTGGGCTTCCCCAGTCTAGCTTACGTCTCTACGATCTCTCATTGGTCTGATCGTACGGGCATCCCCATTCATGAATCCTTCTCTTCGCGTTGATTGGCTGGGTTAAGCTGACGGACAAGGGGAGCGAGCATTGGTAATCTTGACTCGGACAGCTTCATCGGAACCCAATTCTTCTCCTCGCATTCCATCCCCACGATCACGTCGTCCATATGCCGGTGGCTTAGAATACGTATGCGAAATAGAGATGACGCGTGTTAAACCTGGCCAGAGACAACGCAACAGGGCCCCAAAGGTCCGGACGGGGTGCGGGACGTGCAAGTGAGTGCCCACCCTCCTCTATGCAATTGCGCCGACTGACACTTCATGCAGGAGTTGGCCCCCTGTGTTCTTCACCATGTATTTGACCAACTAATTTGTCTGGTAGTCCGAAAGGTCAAGTGTGACGAGGCTCGTCCAGCCTGCAAGAGATGTACGGCACTCAGAAGCCCACCTTGACAAGTAGCTCACCCGGTTTTAGGTACCTCGACAGGCCGGAAATGCGATGGCTATCGAGCCGACTTGGCAAATTCCGTGATTTTGCCAGCTTCTGTCGGCTCCATCTACTCCCTCACCCCCCAAGCGAGATCATTACAGTTCTTTACGGAAAAGACTCTTTCCGGGCTCCAGACCTTCTTTCCAGATGATCTATGGAATACCAAGATCCTTCAGGTGGCCCAGTCTACCGAATGCATCAGGAACGCGATCATCGCTTTGGCTTCATTCCACGAGCAATATCTCAAGCTCACCTCAACCCCACAGTCCGACTCAAAATTTGGGCTGGGTCATTACAATCTTGCCATCAGACAATCAATCTCTTCCTCGAATGAGGCATTATCACCGCCACACATACCAATACTCTCTTGTCTTATATTCGTCTGCATCGAGGTCAGTCCAAAGCCTCTCACTCCCAGATGCATGCTGACACCACCAAGGTCCTCCAAGGCAAAATTGAATCAGCCATCGCCCTCTTCAAGTACGGTAGCAAGATGATTCAACAGTATCAATCTGATATTTGCTCGATCAATCAGTTTGGAAACTGCTACCTCAACCCTCGGCTTCGTTCTGATGCTATCATGACGCTACAGCTAGCGAAAGCCTTGTTCAAACGCATTGCCGTTCAGATCTACATGGTGAGGAAACAATCATGGACGAAAGCAATGTGTGCTAACTTTGTGCCAGCTCACCGGAGATGTAGATACTGAACTTGTCATTACCTTCAAAAACACGTTTGGGGGCACGTATCCTCTCCATGATACACCCTTCAGATGCCTTGCCGAGGCACGAGAGGCGCTTCTAGACATAATCGTAGAGCAAGCCAGTCCTGGACTCAAAGGACAGGATGCTGAGCAGCTCATGTTCCATTCTGTCAAGATTAGACAGTGGGGCACTTCATTCGATACTCTGATAGCCAAGGACTACTCTGGCGAGAAACCAATAAGCGATGTTGAGCGCAGGGCCATTGCACTCTTACAAGTGTACCGGCAATATCTTGAGATCAATGTCGCCAAGTATGCCTACGGCCAAGGTGACCCCTGCTTCTGGGACCGCTTCACGGCTGAGTTTGGCAACATGATCAATAACGCCGCTATCGCGACCGGCCTTGACGGCAAGGGATCAGATCAAACTTCCAAGCCGCTTTTCCACATGGACATTGGTGTTTCTTCAATCCTCTTTTCCATAATAGCAAGATGTCGAGACCCAGCGATACGCAGAAAGGCAATCGGAATCATGCTTTCAGACAGGTCTCAGGAAGGTGTTTGGAACTCGCCGCTGGCAGCCCAAGGCGCGATCAAACTGATGGAACTCGAGGAAAGTCGAAGTGGAAAAGAAGTCAAGCGCAGTCAAGATATCCCTGAAGAAGCGAGAGTACGAACAGTGCGTTTATATTTGGAGAGTGGCAAGAGGACAGCCAAGATGGTATATGGGTTTGATCAGAGTTCTTGGGAGTGGATGATACCTTCTTAAGGGAGAGGTAAGGCTGGAGGCTAGTTGCAGCCACTTTCACAGTGACAAGCTGATATTTCTACGGTAGTCGACATTACAGCCCCAGGCTAGTGAAGCTATACAACCCGGTCAAGTCCCAGCTCGCCCCAGTGCCCGTACGAACTGACGAATCACAACGCGCCACTACCCAGATTAAAACTGCTTGCCCTGGTTCTGGCCCTTGTACCTTTGAGAAGCTGAGCCTCGTCACGGGGCTGAGCCACAATTAGGTGCTGCCTTCTATTACAATCACTTATTACGTATCTAGGCTCGTATGGTCCGTCACATTAGGATCAAACATGATGCAATCTGTTGAACGGCAGTGGATTCATCTACAACGCAATTCCTTAATTCTATAGCTTCTAATTAATCTTCAGCCATGAGCCGCGTAAGACGGTGTGTAGTTGTTTCGGGTTGGTGTGTATAAATGCAGCAACGCATCTTCTTCCTCCAATCCTCTCAACACCAGAGCAAACATTCCAAGTTTTCGTCAAGATGCGGGTTCTCGGTTCTAGCTCGGGCATGACTGCCTTTTTCGCATTTCAATTCCTCATCCATCCTCTCCTCCTCGCTCAGGCTGCCCAAGTTGTCGAGTATTCGATCAAGCGAGTTCAACCATCAACTCCTGACGGCGTTGTGCCTACCAACATCTACAACGAACAATGGATCTACACTGTAGAAAGTGAGTATACCGACATTTCTGACATCACATCAATCACTAACCTCCAAACAGTTGAAATCGGAAACCCACCGCAAAAGACTCTCGTCCAAGTCGACACAGGATCTGCCTACCTCTGGGTCAATGCAAACTGCTCCTCGGCACCTTCGGCTTTTGATCAACAAAGGTTCTGCCAAAACGTTCCTCGCTACGACCCTGGAGCCTCTAGCTCTGTTGAGGGACCTATTGGCTCTCGTACCCTGGGATACGGGTCGGGCGAAGAGGTGATTGGTGCTATTGTTGATATCTACGAAGACTCGGTTACCGTGGGCGGTATGTTCCCGATATCAACACTTGGCCGCTGATTGAAACTAATCATCGAACTAGGTGCAAAGATAAAGACCCAAAGATTTGGAGTTGCATCCAACAGCCTTGGGCTTCCAGTCGGCATCATGGGACTTGGACCTGTCTTCAACGCCACTTTCGATTTTAGGGAGCCGTACGCTTTGGTGCTGGATTCGTTGGCGGTAGACAGCATTATTGCCAGCAGAGCGTATAGCCTTGCCCTTGGATCTGCGTCGGATGATGCAGGTGAGTGCTAATCAACACCACTTTATCCCACATCTGATGACCTAACTGCATGCAGGTTCCTTGATTTTCGGTGGTTTGGATCGAGGCAAATTCTCTGGGACGCTCAAGAAAGCTCCAGTCGTCAAGAGTCGAGACGGCGGTACAAGGTGTGTATACGCCACACTACACTCTGCCAGTTTCCACTGCTAACCCCTGAATCAAGATTCACAGCCAACCTCTCGTCCATTGGAATTGACGCTGGAAACGGGACCCGTCGACAATATTCTCTGAAAGACACCAATTTCCACCTTGACAGTGGCCACACATTCTCCAAGCTAAAGGCGGACCTTGCAGAGCAAATATTCAAGGATCTAGGCGCCGAATTGGACGAGGACCTCGGCTTCTATCTCGTTGACTGCAAGGTGCGAGACCACGAAGGAGGCGTCACATTTGGATTTGGAGGTGATAAGACCATCACGGTTCCCTTCCATGAGTTTGTGTATACCGCTCAGGGTCTATGTGCAGTCGGTCTTGAGCCTATCAAGGAGGGTGAACAGCAGGTTCTTGGTGACAGCTTCCTGAGGGCGGCATACGGTTAGTCAATAAGCCGCTTGCAATGCATAGTTTGCTAACTGAATTAGTCGTCTTTGACTGGGATAATGAGAATATTCATATCGCACAAGCTGCCAACTGCAGCTCAGAGATCGTACCAATCGGTCGCGGTAGTGGCGCTGTGCCCTCAGTGGTAGGCACATGTGGCTCCAATACTACCGCTTCCACGACAGGCTCAACTACAGGATCTCCTTCTTCTGCTGGTCAGCTGCATGTTGGAAAGTGGCAGTTCGTCTGCACTTTAGCTACCCTGCTTCTCTCCTGTCTCTTTGCGGTGTAAGCATTTTGGTAGGGATGTGCATTAGGTACGAGAAGGATTGATGGATAGAGAAGTTTAGATTCATGGCATACTCCACATTGACTATTCTTTTTCTCAAGACAGTAGGGAGTAGGTAGCTATTTCTTTTTCAATTTCACAGATGCAGACAAGGAAGAACAAATGCATCGATATCCGAACCCTCATCAGAAGCACCAACTGTACTTTCCGAATCATTAACCCTGTACCTAATTGCTTCAATGTCTATTCTCTATTCTAACCTGCCCTTCCGAGTCTAACAAGACCCCAAAACGCCACTCTAAAGTCGTGAAGTCGTAACATCATAGCCGTTCGAAGCTGCCTGAGCCGCAGATTCCGTCGGCGTAGCATAAATCAGATCCTCCTCACTCTTCTGGGGCTCCAGCTGTTCAACCTCCCTCTTCGGTTCCCAGTGCACTGTTCCATACCGATACATCTCTCCAAATGTCCCCGGCCGATGATCCAAATCCTGAATCTGCTTGACAAGATCTCCCAGAGCGGGAGGCCCTCCTGCCGAGCTGTGGTAGACCTTGTACATGTGGCTCTTTTCGAGCATCTCAATGACAAACGCCTCGGCCTTTTCTCTCTTCTCCAGATCTGGTTCGTCAAGTCGCGTTGTAAACATTTCGACCTGTTTGCACCCGTCGCAGTCGGTTCTGATGGCGCCGAGGATGCCGTTCCAGATACCCTCAACCATGAAAACCTTGTTCTCAAAGAACTCGCGACCATTCCAGCCGGTGGTGACGTCGTGCAAGTTTCGCGTGCGGTCGCCGATAAGCATCTGGGAAACATAGTCGCTCATGGACTTGACCTTGTCCTCCATACCCCAGTCAGCCATGCCGTCCGCGAGTCCGATATCCTTGATGAGAGGATGGTCGTGGACGCCATCGACGTTGGTTCGACCTTGCCAAATCGCTTTGTAACCGTTGTGCCAGTTCTCGATAAATTTGCAACCCTTTCTGGCGGCAAGCATGTAGTTGCCAAAGCTTCCCCATTGCTTTCGGATCTGACCACTGATGATCCACGTAGCCATCTCGTACTGCGAGCCAGGAGCTGTGAGGGCATCCCAGAAGAGAGCATTGAGGTGTGTGTGAAGCATGTTTCCGACATCCATCCAGACACCACCGTGCTCAAACAACAGAGGCAAACGCACAAGATCAGCAGCATGCTGAGGAGCATGTCTACCATCCATGGCCTTGTTGACAAAGCACTCAGGAAACCATTCCTCGCCAACGTAATTGTAGATGTTGTTTGGTGAATCATCCAGAAGGTCGACAATGCGCACAGTCCATGAAGGTCCAAGGCGTCGCACCCAATTCATGACGGTGCAGCGGTAGCTCGGGTACATCTTGTCGATTCCCTTGTCCCAAAACGCCCAAACATTCTTCTCAGAAGTAATGGGCTGGAACGATTGAAGTTGGGCAATGATGTCTTGATCGGATCTCAGATCAAGAAGCTGCCGGGGAATCTCGCGGAGACCAGTAGCCGATTTGGGAATTTGGAATTCAGACTTCATTGTGATGTGAATAGTGAATGAGTTGTAGGAGATAAAGTTGTTGTATGGTGTTGAATCTCTCGTTTGCAGGCGCAAATCGTCTTTTTATCTTTTCATCTCTTCCGTTTTGGGAAAATGATTCATAGTGAGACGACCGCCACTAAATCCACTTGGTGCGCCTTGGCCATGGGCTGTGTCATGGCTTGTAAACGCGCATTGCTTCTGCTCAATTGCCAAACGACGTTTATCTTGATGTTGGAGAGAGTTTTCAGATAGCTCAATACGATTCATATCCACGTGACACTGGGCAGTACCGTTGCATTCGATATCGAATGCACTGCTGCCTGGTCGATTCCTTCGTTTGCCAAGGCTTGCACTTAGCCGAGGACTCCTCTCCCCTGTAACTTGCCTATTCTACTCGCGGCAATTGAAACATCCTTACTATTATCCTCTTTCCCTCTGATGTAAAACGTAAATATCCTGTTTGTATCATGCGCAGCTACTCTATTGGTTCATAGCCATCATCACCAAATGCCAGTCAACATCAGCCTCTGTAAACACGCCAGGTAAACGCCTCAGCTGAGCAGCCTGCATGCTCTCAAACACAACGCTGACTCGGGTCGATCTTATTCCCTTTTCCGTCAGTCTCCACCAAAATCTCACTGTCTCATCGCCTGTTTCATCTCACGCCATAAGGGCTGGCTGTTCATCTTCAACCTTTATCTCCTCAACAGCTGAAACATACACACATCTCACATGGATAACGATCCTATTGAGCCCTTGCGGGCTGACGCTGGTCCCAGCGATGATCCCGCGATTATCAATGAAGCCATCACTCGAGCTCGTATCGAGCGTTTCCAGAAGAGTACCCGTCCACGAACTGAAGAGATCTTGAAAGAAAAAGGCGAGTGCACTTGACTTGGATCACCCATGCCAAACCACTGACTCGAGAACCAGGTCACGATATCAGCAAGTACAACTTTGACGACTTGCCCGAGGCGGCGCATCAAGCCCGCGAAGACCGCTTCATCGAGTGTGTTAAGACCTTACTCGACCTTGCCCTTGGAGAGGATACAGCACTTCCACAGCACAGCCCCAAGGATTCCAAGAAAGATGATGAGCCGGACGCCTCTGAAGATTCTCTCTACTCGACCGTTCCTCTCGACATTTCTCCGTTCTGTGGCTCGGTGCGCCTCCTGGAACTCTTACCTGCAACAAGTCCAGATGCACCAATTTGCGCCAACCTCAAATGTCCCAGAAACTTGCCGGGGTTGCCCAAGTACGAGGCTCTCTCATACGTACGGGGCTCACCTGAGCCAGTGTGCGCCATCACAGTCAACGACCATCAGGTCATGATCAACTCGAACCTCCACGACGCCCTGAAGTATCTCCGTCGAGCAGAAACCTCACGAATCCTGTGGGTGGACCAGATATGCATCAACCAGCAAGACACAATCGAAAAGTCCCACCAGGTAGCTCGCATGGGAGACATCTATCGCAAGGCCACCGACGTCGTCATCTTTCTCGGCCCTCCCACTGCACCTCTCACCTTCTTCATGGACGCGTTGGCCAACAAACGCCTCATCGATCTCCAAGATGAACCTTTGTCTGAGCCAGGCAGCATCTTGCAACTGGCAGTCGAAGCCGTCTGCGCCTTTTGCTCGAACCCATGGTGGACACGACTCTGGGTGCAACAGGAATTCTACCTCGCCAATGGCGACCCTCTGTGGTTCTGTGGAGATCTATCAGCTCGCACCTCTCAGATCCAAGAAGAGCTTGGTCGACTCCGCAAGGACTTTCTCGATCACCGTACTGAGCTAGAAGACCGAGGTATCCCAGACCTAAGCCTGGAATACGCGTTTAATAATCTCTTTCCCATGGTCCTGGAACAACTATCCCAGCGGTCCAACTCCAGAGGTCCTCGTCGACCAAGGGACAATGGAAAGGGTACTTACCAGCCAAAGAATCGCCTCCATATCCTTCCATCTATGCTGTACGCACAATTGGACAGAATTGCCTCAGATCCGCGGGATTATGTCTATGGCGTTCGAGATCTCATGGGACCAGTGTTCAGCCAAACAGTTCTTCCAGACTATTCGAAGAGTGCCGGGTATGCATTTGAACTACTGGCTGCATGGCTTCTTCTTGTAGAATCCTGGGCTGACATGTTCTGGCACTACCCTTCTCGACCACCCACCTCCGCTGATGATCCCGTTGCTCCATCATGGGTCCCAGACTTTTCTCGTCGGTCTCACAAGCCGGTCTTTGAGCCTACTCCGGCTGACGCAAACCCCAGCAAGGGTCCTCGACACGTCAGCTGTGCTATTGTCGACCGGGTACTGCACATCCAAGGACGGGATCTCGGTACAGTCAACAGCATTGTTTTGCTGCCCGCTGATAACAGCCTCGCCTTGATTAACGAGCTTTGGCGATTTGACAACCAGCACAACGACCTATCCACGGCATTTGCCAGGCTTGGCCTCGTCGCCAGACAACCCTCCTCTTCCTTCTACTGGGCCCTGGACCAGTTGACTGGCGTCGATCAAGCAGCATCAACTCGTACTCGGCTGAATTTCCAGTTGGACGTTGCTGTCCTGTTCAACATTCTCGAGGAAGAATACGACAAAGTGAGGCGAGACATTGACGCAAACCCACTGGTGGGCGAGTCCTCCGAAGACGACGATGAATCAGAGAACGCCTCTTTGTATTTTCGCAACATGCGGCTATCCGGCATGTTCACCTTCCTCAGAGATAAAGCTCTCGGAGACTTTGCAGGTTCCTGCATGTTTGACTACGCGAACCTGGTATCCCAGTTACAGGTCCTCGCGTTCCAGACTCAGCAAGAGACAGAAGACTTGGCGCAGCAGTTGTTCGGGATCGAAGAAGCACAAGAGGAGAGTTTGCCGGAGATGCAACCTTTCTGCCTCGCCCTGGCTCGTCAACTATATACTGGCGTTCACGATGAAGAGATACAGGACTGCGTGGTTCGTATCCTGCGCATTGCGAGAGTGTTCCATGAGGTTTGTCAACACCGATGGAGCAAACTCACACTTGAACCCGAGGCAACCAGAGATGAGAAGTCGACAGAACATGACGCCCTGGTGGAAGAATTGACCAACATGTCGCGGGACAAGTTACGCAACCTGGACCACGTGTTGCCTAAATGGGACCAGGAAGTGAACCCGCTGCAGGCTCTCCTAGACAGAAGAAGCGTTACGTGCGAAGGACGGGGCTTATTCCGGACTTCCAACGACAAGATGGGCCTCTCGTGCCCTGGCGTTGAAGGTATCGCAGTGGGTCAGAGGATTGTGATGCTCGAGGGCCCTAAATTCCCCATGATCATCTGCCCGACCCCATCCCCATCGTCTGACAAGCACAGATACGGAAAGATGACCGGACATGCCATGGTTGAGGGAGTCGAGGCGAGCAGCGAGGGATCGCCCAAGGCAAAGTTCAAGATGTTCAGAATAGTTTGAGCCGTAGCTAGTCAGGAAATACCCAGATTGTAAACACACTCCTTATAACTCCCGAGTCATGTTCCTCGCCTAGGACTGCAAGTAATGCCTTTCCAGCCATGTGTAAAGTGGATATGTGACAAACATGTCTACGAATCATATCGATCGACACTCTTCAGCCTAGAAGGTCCAGCCGAGGCATGTTCAGGGGTCCCTGCAAATTAGCAATGCGCTGTCAAGGAGCTAACACAAAGAAGCGCAACGACTAACGCTATCTGTTAACAAACCATCCAGCCATTCTAACCCTTCAAACGGATGCCCGGAAATAAGCTCCCCCAACGATACCACGATCCCCCGCTTTTCCCTCCCTCAATCTTGACATCAATCATGTCACAGTAGCCCACTCAACGCACCCACGCATTCCCATAACATAATGCCCCGTCGCCCTACCTCCTCCTCCGCCCCCGTGCAGAGACGCACCCGCTCAGGCTGTCAGACGTGTCGCTCCCGCAAGGTCAAGTGCGACGAGGCCAAGCCCAGGTGCCGCAACTGCGTGTCCCGCGGCCTAGCGTGCAGCAGGCACCTGCAGCTCAAGTGGGAACCCGAGTTTGCGGCTCGTGGGTTGTCGTTTGGCAGGGAGGGCGTGTGGTGTAAGGGGTCGTCGTCGGCGTCAGGTCGACCTAGGAGGCAGTCTCAGGCGCGGCATACTCCCATCTTGCTGGCCTCACCGTCTATCGGGCCCCGTCACTTTATCAATACCTACTGCAGCGACTTTGACCCTGATTCAAATCATGAGCAGGGCCTGGGAGATGAGACGGTTGAGCTGAGAGAGCAGGCTGACCTGTCAAGCTCAGCCATCGTCTTTTGGCCTCAGTCACATCCAACCTTGATGCTCTCACCATCTCTCTATCCCACCCTCAACACATCCGAACAAAGCCTTTTCCAATATTATCTACTACGGCTATGTCCCCTCACAACACCATCACCACATCTATCATCACCATTCATGAACCTCGTCGCCCCGTTATTCACGTTGAGCGGGCAGGATCTCGTCACCCAGTCCGTCCTCGCCTTTTCCGCCCGACATCGAAGCATCGCCGACCCTCAATGGGCAAGAACCGCCATGAGGATCAAGGGCAATGTTCTAAAAGGCTTGTTACTAAAAATTCAATCTCCCAATATTACAGCAGACGTCATCTTGGACCCTCAAGTGCCTGCAGCCATGATGTTTCTCTGCCTCTACGAGATATTGGACAACTGCGATCACCGATGGGTCATCCACCTCAGAGCAAGTCAAGACTTTATGCGCAAGAGGAAGCAACTCTTGCTACCTGGTACCGAGGATTCTGGGTTTGGAAGCCTCGCATCTTTTGCAGAGCGTTACTTTGCATTTCAGGATGTCATCAGTAGGACCGCCTGCGGCAACTCACCACTCTTCGGTCTGGAATATTGGCAGAAGCCGGACCAGCCGGAGGATATCGATGCTTGGATGGGCTGCAGCCCGGCGATGGCGTCTGTCATCTTTCGAATCACTGAGCTGGCTAGATCGAGGGACAGAGACGGCATGTCGGAGCAGCGCTTCGAGAGGGAGGTGGCAGAGCTGGAGAGGGAGCTCGCATTAGTGAGCTCCAACATGACTGTCATTGAGACACTGGACGACACCGTCAGACGCTGCGTCGAGCTCAAAAAGTCATCAGTAGAGGTCTACTTCCACTGCCTACTACGGGACGCAGATCCTAGCACATGGCGCGTCTCGCAGCTCATCGTTGAGATTCTCACATCCACGCAAGAGCTTGTCAAGCAAGGATGCGTAGCAGGCCTATTATTTCCTCTCTTTGTCGCAGCCGTCGAGCTTAATCCTCTAGACGACGGCGCCGTATCGAGTAGTGAGGATGCCGGCTCGCAGACATCCGGTAGGCGCCTGGTTCTGGAGATCCTCGACACCATGGCTGGCACGTCCTTGGCCAACATTGAGAGAACCAAGGCCGTCATTCTCAAAGTCTGGCGAATGCGAGACTTGCAGGCAGAGCACGACCATGTAGTAACGGGAGGGCAGAATGACTGGCACACCTTTGTGAGCCCGTATACTCAGAATCTCAGCCTGGCCTGAGGGGCAAGCATCGTATCAACACTTGGGCATCATGGGAAGAAAATATGACAGGTCTCGGCACACGTATTGAAATGGTTGTAATGAATAAAATTCTCAGGCGATAAAAAACAGCAGTTCTGGATACAAGCAAGTCCCATCAATAGTCCAAGAATTTGACAACCCCTCATGCATGCCACTCACCATCATTACTCTATGTTCCCTTGGACATTCGCAGCACCACCGGACTTCTTTTGGGCCCTGGCCGTCTTGGTCTTCTTGATCCCCCTATGCCTCTTTTCGGGTTCATCGGTTCTCTTGCGCTTCCTGCTGGCTCGACATTTGACCCGAGTTGGATCAAAGTCTCCCGGGTCATGTCGAGGAAGCTGGACCATGTCGAGAACGTAGCCTTCTATGTTCGGTAGAGGCATAAACGGCCGCTGCCGATCGGGTCGAGGCCGTAAATCCCTTGGCCGCTCCAGGCTCTCATATGCCCGGAGCGAGCAGGTCCTGGGGATTCCCTTGTAGTGGAGTAGATACTCTTCAGTCTCAAACTCCATCCTGCTGCGCCATTCCTCAATCACATTGACCTGGAATGAGTACAGATCCCCGGCCGCCCAGCTCTGGAATTCCCATCTGGGTTTCCAGCCTCGGCCTGGGCCGTAGGGGTGAGGTATAGTCCAAGCCAGGCTCAGGTCAACAAGCACACCATTGATATACTGCCAGAGTCCCAGATCCCTGATTACTATTCCGCTCGCGTGAAACTCGTGGAGGTCTCTGAGCATGCGTGGGAAATGGCGTACCTGGCAAATCTCATCGCCACCGGCTTGATCAAAATCCCCCTCCAAGCTGGGGTCAACTATGACCCTATCCACCCAGTCCTTTACTATTCCCATGATGTGAGTGGCTTGTTCCACTATATTCGAAATCTTTTTTCCGTGTTCGTACTTGGACTCAAGGAGCCGCAGCTTTTGCGTCAAGGCCTCAGTGACTGGTATGACTACGTAGCCATGAGCCTTGACGGCGAGGTGTTCACGGTTCAGCTCCTTGAGCCTGCCATAAGCCCGGCATTCGCTCTCGAACGGGGCAAAGTGTTTATCGAAATCCTCCCGGCTCATGGTAGAAGTTGGCCCAGTGTCATACGCATCATCCCAGCCAAACTCGGGACCTTTGTAGAAGAACTATCGCCTCGCTATCAGTGGCTGACTTCCATCGTGCCCGTCTGTGTACTTACAATCTTGAGAGCATAGCACTTGTCATCAATCTTTATCTTGATGACGACGCCATGGCCACTTGGCAGCTGAACCAGTTCGAGAAACTCGACATGATCGGCGAGCATGCCGTGTCCAAACGGTTCCAGTTTGGGGCCTTCCACGTCCGGTAGAGGCTTTAGGTCATCCATGGAGAATATTAGTAAAGAGTAGGTCGTGAAGAGATACGATATCGTGTCCGTGTGTGCAAGAGTGATGGGTGATGAGTGAAGCAACAAAAAGGTTGGGGAAGTTCCAACACTTTTATCTTGATCAATCCATCCGAGCCCCGCATATGTCTTTCTCAAAGAAAAGGAATGGGGCTTGGAGCTGTAAAGATATTGCTACTAGGCATCCAAGCCAACCTGCAGTTCTTTGATGTCAGTGCCGCCTGAAGCAGCCACACAACTTTCTTTGTCCTTGCTGAGGAGCGAGCACAAAGACGTTCACGATGCGGACGGATGCTAAAGACGGAAACAACAAACCCAAGGCATCCACCATGATAACTCATTGTTTCCTTTTTCTCCTCCTACTAGTTGGCTATCTGAAAGCGCCTGGTAATCTATAAGCGGTCGTTTGACCACCTCTTTGGCGCCATGCCCAACTCTTTGTTGTCCCTTTACCCGTTAGCTCACATCGCATCCCTGCTATATTTTGGTAATCAAAGCCTCCAGTACTGTTATCTTGAACGCCCTTTGTCGAGGCCAGAATCACATCAAGTAGCCGCGTCCAAGCAGCTTTAGGATATCGCCTGGCGACTATAGCCTGTCTCAAAGCCGTCCCTTTATCTCTTTCGTCATGTAGTCTTCTATCATCCTCTTCCAAGGCTGCCCAAGAGTTTTCTTTCCGTCTCTATTCCCTCATGGAAGATTTTATCTCTATTTCAAACCTAGATGCAAGCTGGTGGGGAGCTGCATCTTCGGGGAGCATATAAATACCAAAGAGGTCTCTCCAACACGATTTTCCTCATCTATCCTCCTTCAGCCCCAAATCGGAAGCCCCTGCGAATCTCAAGTCTTCCTACGGCCTCCGCATTTCTTAACATTACTTCCCCCCCTCTGCGCTCGGCTCAACTCATCACCATCTCCAGAGATGGCCGGGACGACGATTCAGAACATCCTGGCCTTGCCCAGCCCTGTCTTTACTCTGACCGGCTTTCAGACTCGGGCCGTGGGGCATTGTGATAAATGGGAACGGGTCCAAATGTGCCACGTCAGGCAGTGGGACGATTTCAACGTTAGCAACATTTCCAGCGCTTTTGGGGACCTTCTCGACCAGCCTGCGTCAGTAGCCATGGGCGGGCTATGCGCCAACAGGGGAGTCAGAAACCTCGGCGAGATGAAGAATCACGCCATCGACTGGCTTCTCGGAATTCTCGAGAGCCCCTTGGCAGCTGGGAGCCGTCTTCTTAGCCACAGGCTAGGTTCCGCGAGTGCAATCGATCACTCACGGGACACGACGTTTCCTGGCGCTAAACATAAGTACGAGTCCAGCCTCATCTTTTACCTTGACAGTTCGCCTCGCATCCATTTCGTCGTCAGCTGCGCACGTCTTTCATCCCAATGGACCTCGGAAGGTCTCAAGAACCAGGAGCCAGCCGCCGTGATCCCCATCCGCCAGCTCGCCACCTATGCCAAAGAAAGCGGAACCCGCTATTCTTTTATCATGACGGACAAGGAGGTCGTTGTCGTGCGCTTCATAGTAGACTCCACCGGCCAGTATCGAGCTGAGTGGCAGGCCATCCCCGGGTACGCAAGCGGCGAGGGGAGTCTGACGGTTGGCCTGGCCGTCTGGGCTCTGATCATGATGAGCCTCAACGAGAAGCACCGCGCCGTCACGACCGAGGCCGAGACGCTACCTATCAACCTTTGGTGGAGAGAGCAGGGTGTTGATGGAAGATTCACTTATCGTCACCACTTGTCCGGGAGGGAGCTCCCCTACCTGCATTCGGGAGCAGTGCATAGAGATTCTTAAACCTTCACGTCTCTTACGGTAAAGCCATACACAGAATGAGTTATGAAAGTCACACGGGCTTTCAGGGTTATTTGTCACTTGGGATCACGGGATAGGGGGGTTAGGGGTTTGTTCTTGAGTGTTTTTAGCAGCAGTCTTTTACTTCTAGTTTTTACTCTGTAATAAGACACAGATCTCGACTAGGAACTCGCCCGTTGTGTTTATAGACCCTGAAGCCGACACTGGGCACCTGTGCACTAGTCTTCCGTCTCAATTCAGTATGACGAATATGGTGTCTCGGTGGCCACGAAAGAGTTCATATCACAGTACGGGATGCTTCAAATGCAGAAAGGAATAGCCATCAGTCGGTCGTAGTTCAACGTGGGCTTTGAACCGAGTCGGCTAACCATGCCGATGAGCTTGTTGCTTCATCGCTATTCTATCCTTTCCCACATCCGGGTTCTCAAGCCCGAATCGCGCTGTTTCGCCAATCTTTCCTCGAGAGATGTAACCAGTCCGTCTCTATTAGCGTTGAAAACCTCGTGTGCCCTTTCTTCTTTTCCCCTCGGCAGCTCGGTCCTGGCCATCTGTAGAAACGATTCCAAATCTCCCAACGCAATTTGGCGCCTTGTAACGCTCAGGAGTTTTTGGGCCATGATTTCAAACTGTTCTTTGAGACCCCACTCCGCGAGTATCGATAGTAACTTCAAGCGACAACCCCAGGCACGGCGGCCCTCAAAAGCCTGGCCCAAAAGACAGCGAAGTGTTTCCAAGCTTCCGTGCTCCAGAGCCGACCTGACCGCCTCACACACGTATTCGCACTGGCCAAGATCATGCTGGTCCAGGTCGCGAGTAAGCAGCTCTATCACATCCCGGCCATTGGAATTAACAGATGCCGCGGCCAAGACATTAGAGACTTGCCCATATTTGGCTTCGATCAAGTCCCTCACCTGGCTAGTAGCCCACCAGCTCTGGCCCATCTCTTCTCTGCATTTCAGCGGTGCACACTGGTCCATCCCCACCACTTCGAGTAGGAACAAGATGGTGTTGATCATGTCACAGGCATCAGTATGCAGACTAACCGCCCAGAATAGCTCGTCACATCCAGTGCTGAAGGCGCTCTCTTCCCAAGGGTAATTTCTTTCCGCCAGCCAGAGATCTTCAGCCAAGTCCACACACTCTGACTCAATGGCCCATCGGAGTAACTGCCGTCGAACCTGGACACTGGACTCGCCAAGGCTGAATCTCTGATCCAAGGTCAAGGCCAATTCAAAGGCATCTCTCATGGACTTGATATCATCTAGTTTCATGTCATCCAAGGTTTTCTTGTCCAGTGGCGTCGGAGGTTGGAAAGCAGGCTGCATGGATCTCAGAACCGAACTCTCTTTGATTGTGCACAGGGGATTTGAATCATCGTCAATGACAAACGCCGGAGCAATGCGGTTAGCCCAGAGTAACCAGTCGATTACGCTGGTGTAGATTTGCTGAAGCCGTTGAACGTTATCAGCTGCTTCGAGATCATCTGTGCTGTGGGTTGGCCCAAAATCTTGCATTTCCTCGAGTATTTCCTTTCGTCTCTTGAGACACTCTCGGTTAGTAAAGATTCGACGCTGGCGAATCATCCAGCACATCTCTGATCGATAAGCACCGTACAAGAGCGTAAGAGGCCGTGTTTTGAATCGTAGCGAGCCTACCCTAGCAAGGGGTTTGACAGCCTGTTGGCTCTCGTCAAATTGTTCTTGTCTCCGTAAAGAGATGGCCCGAGAAAAAATGAGATGCTGCGTCTGGATGCTATTTGAGTTCCCTGAACGTGGGTACAGGCCTGTGATAACGCTCATGATTGCCTCCTGGTGGGTGGCCAGGCTTTCCGAGACGAGCAATTGCACCATGCCCTCCGCAAAAGCGGTTCCATTGTTGTCTCGTCCGCGAATGTTGGAAAAGGCAACATTTTCTAGCCGGCCGAGTCGAAGCATGCCAATCGTCTCAACAAACGTGGTGAATAGATCCTGTGCCATCATCTGTAGCAATGAACTTGTTGCATCAACTGACAAAATCTCTCCAGAGCTTGCCTCTCCTGGTTCCGATTTGGGTCGAGGTCTGGTCCCGATCTCTAACGAGGCCATGATGGGGACAGATAGATTGGTGCAGATGGGGGGTACCGATTCAATCTCCTTGAGGTCATCTCCTGATAAACCCCATTGTTTTAAGACAACGCTGATGGCCCCTTTGTCCTGATGAGGGATGGCTATGGCTTTGTATCGTTCACTTCCAATCGACTCGCCGGGCTCTAGGCCTAAGGGAGTGGCATACCTAGAGAAGGTCCAATGCCACAGACCTAGGATAGCCTCGAGCTGGTTCTCGTCGATCACCCAAGCGTTATCTCTTTTCGTCATGCAAAAGCAGAGAGGCCTCTCTCGAAGCTGGTAGCGCCGAAACTCCCACACAAGACCACTCGTTGACCAGACAAGTGATTGCACATGACTCAAATCGCCCGAGATCGGATATAAAAGCTGACTGGCCTTTTGTAGAGTGTTTTTTAGTTGCCGAGCTGTCTTCTGAATGTCATTCTCCCAAGTTTGATACGGCAGCTGTTTCGTCAAATGCGCCAACCGCGTTCGGATGCGCACCCATTTGGCAGCCATGTTTGGTGGGCCCAGGATGGTTCTGTCCAATTCAGATATCTCATCGGAGCTGGGATTGAATCTTGAATCACAAGATTCAATCCACTGGATGAGTTTTTGTCCCCTTCGCAAATCAACCTCAGCTGCAACGTTCCAGCCAATCCTCATCTTCAACCCATAGAACGACAACTCACGGGTCTTTTCTGACACTGAGCTATGGATGGTCAAGTGAGTTTGGCCTTCAAATGATCTCATGATTTGAGGGTCGAATGACCACTGTGAGTTGACTTCAGCTTCCTGGTCCGAGTCAAAACCACAACCCTCCAGGGAGAAGCCTTCACTGATGAGGCGAAGGGCTTGCCATTCCAATTCATAGCCTTGTATTTCCTCTGAGGGGTGATCAAGCTCATTCTTCGGAGTGGACCGGGAGCTCCGAATCGAAGCGCGTATAATGGACATGGTTATCGTGCAGCAGAGTTGGTACAGGGAGACAGTAGCATGCTGTCCACGCAGCCCGATGAACTGAACCATCCAGCCCACCAAAGAAAGACTTACACCAAGCCAAACAAGTGAGATTGGCACGGGGGTTTCCCTATTATTCCATGATGCAATGTATTCTGTCTTGACCTCGTTGCATGCGAATGCATCAAACTCCTGGTCTCCGATACGTTGACCACCAGGTTGAAGCCAGAACATGCGATACTCAGGCAAACGAGGCTTCTCGGTTTCCTTGACGCGTGAAAGAGCAACTCGCTGCTCCTTTGAGTTGCGGTCGATGAGCTTCGCGCAGAGTCCCATTCCAACATTAATTGAGGCAGTCCCAGCAATAGTAAGGGCGAAGAAGAGGCGAGCATTCGGAAGCTTTTCTCCCTCGTAGAATTTCGGATGTTTCCACGTAGCCCAGTTCGTATACCAGAAAAAGCTGCCTTGTATCGCTAATCCAAACACAGCGGCAAGCCAGAGTGTCAGGATCGACGTCTGTGCCTTTTGCACTCCAATGTTCAGAGCCAGGTTCGGGAAGGGGGCGAACTCGGCCATGCCATCTTCACACTTGGCCCCTATCGCTCTTCTGTAGGGTTGACTCAGACTGCGTAGCTCTATATCTTCAGGCGGTGAGGTCGTCGCCGTGTTGAAAACCCTTTTGATTCCTCTTTTTATCCATGTGATGGTTTGGTGGATTAAATTCGAGAATGGGACGAAAAGGACTTCTAGAGAGGAAATCGCTCTCCAACCACACTCTTGTACTTTGCTTGTCGTAGCAAGACCCGATAAGCATGGAGCCACTCTCAGAATTTCTCTAGTCAAGAAAATGCCACAGGTTGCTGGTTCTTCCTCTTTGCCGTGGCGATCGCATCGGGCGTAATAGTCATCATCCTCTTTTGGCTCACGAAAAATGAATTCGAGGATCCTTGGGCGACCAAACACTCGGCAAATGCCACCATTCGACCATAGTTCACACACGCTTTCGCTGGTGGAAGAGCAAAGTTCAACCTCTGGGACCGCGCGCGGTTCGCGTGCTCGTCCAACAACCGACTTGAGGAACGAGCTACCAGAGACTCGGATGCAAGATACAATGGCGGTGATGATTCCAAGAGGGCCGACGGCGAAGATGACGGTATCGAGACTGGTGGTTGACTCGCTCAGGAACTGTTTGGTGACTTGCTCTCCAAAGAGAGAAATGATGGGCGCTAGGTCGGTCGCAAAGTTGTTGCCAAATTCTGACCAGAAATCAGTCTCGTTACTTAAACCAAACAGGGCATGGACAGAATAAGGCAGGAAAAGAAGAAGAGTCCAAAGGGCTCGAGAAGGCATAGTTGCAGACGCAGACTTTAAAAGTCTGTTGAAACAACAGATAGCAGATGAGATGAAGAAGGGAAAATAGGGAGGCAGCCTTGACCGTGATTCTGGTTCAAGAAGAAATTAGGCTCCCTCCGACCTTGCCTGTCATTCGGATAGTAGAATACGCAAGGCGATGCGGGGTGTCCGATGAGGCTGCTTCTGTAAGCATGCAGATTGGATGAAGGATTGATATACCCTGCCAAGATGAATGCATCAAGGGGCGCAGCGGCCAATTATGGTCGAAGAGAAGCGCCATTCACGCCGAGTAAGCCCTGCCATCGACCAACAGGCCGCACTACTCAAGCAGGCTGTGCTGTATATGGGGTTTCTGTTTGATAATTAGGTAGGCTGAAACAAGCAACTTGTCTTACTCTTGCGGCTTGTCATTGGAGTCTTGGTGGACTGCAAGCCGCAGCCTCCCAAGTACCAAGGCAGTGAATGACTGGGCGCTGCAAAACCTGCGCTGGAAGGAGAGGGTCTTGAGTCCAAGGCAGTTTCTTTGTTAAACTAGGCTGCAATTTATAAATGGGTATATCGATAGTGAGCTTGAAAGCGACATGCTTACCCAACTTCTCTTAGGGTAAGCCCAGCTATCAAGCAATATCCGATGAACTCTTGACTCGGTCAAGAATTGATTGGGTTTTTGGTCGGTACTTACGTCAATCCTATCAGCATCAATATCACATAGCTAGTCCAGTGACTTCTCGTGCACTAAGAGCCGGATACGACGATAACAAAGTGTACGACTATAATATAGATATCGTCAATATTAGCTCCAATACCATAAACACATAATCGCCAAGATTCTCATCATTTTTATGCCTTCTCGTAGCCCATACAAGAAGGCAAAGCCATTCCTATTATTCAGCACAAATCATGCAACTGAAATCCAAATTAGAATGTAACTAATCAGGGCAGGATGGAAGAATAGCCCAGAACTAGAAACATGGTGATGATCGAGGTTCGATAATCAAGTCTGCCCACCTACCAATACATGTGCTGGTTGGGTTCCATTCTACCACCAGCTGTACTACTGAGTTGTTCACCCCGCCGCTCAGCACCGAGACCTCAATGTTATATGAGCAGCAGTTCTTTTCTATTTGATACCTATTCAAAGTAATTTCTAGCTTTCGGATTACTCGAATGCCTAATTTGGTGCCAACCCGGGGATATCTTTATGATGGCTTATTGCAGGTTCCGGGCTCATACATACATTTTGCGACTCCAAAGGGACAGTCTTCCTCTACTCGTTACTCATTTTGACCATTCTCTAAAACCCCATATTAACAGAAGAGGTGATCAAGTGTCAATTAAATAGTAGAGGCGATACTACAGGCGGCCACGGCTGTACATGCAAGCTTCCTTTGGCTCTGATCAATTGATCCATAATGGCCCAATACTACACCATAAAGCTTCACTTACAACCGTCGCCGTATCTCCGGCCATTTTGGCATTCAGAGCCTAAATCATGAACCAGCCTACAAAGTACCCTCTCCGGAGTTCCTGCCCTCACCAGCCTCAGCACTGTTCGGCAGGTGCCCGGCCCCACATGTCGTCGCCCCGTCCGGACCTGCTCTGTTTGTACCTGCCCGGATGCATCTCGAGTTCCAATACCTTCATTCCATCCATTGCTTCATCCTTTACATTCTTACGCTTCCGTCGCTTCTTATCTGTGTTCCTTTCCTTGTCGTTTACCTCTCTGTTGTCGTTTGTTTCCTCCAGATCTGTTCGGCCAGCCCTCACTGCCTCCCTCTGCACTGCGACCGACTCGCCCATGAGCGCAACCAAAAGATCGTGGACGTAGTGATCGGGCCATCACTCGTCCTCTTGGTATGCTTCAATTCGCTTCCATTGCCGACAGATTACTCATGCAATGCAGACACAGCGCCTCTTTAACCAGGCAACAATGCTTTGCTCCTCTCCTTCATTCGTCCTCGCCATCCGGGCCCTTCCGATCGCCTTCTCCATCCTCCTCCTTGTCGCAGTCATTCTAAATGGCTTCTCTCTCAATGATGATCCTTACCGATGCAAGGCCTTGCTGGGAGACGGCATCCGAAATGGCAGCTGGCTTCACCACCCCGATAGCAATGGTGACAGGAAACCATTCACCAACTGGCAGCCCGACGGCTGTATGCTGCACAAGTATACCAGCGACGACATTCGCCGATGCATGGATGGCCGGTACATGGTCTTTTCGGGAGACTCGACAACTCGGCAGGTGTATTGGGGCATGGCACGACTGGTAAGTGATCTTCAATACTCACACAATCTCTTCAATTCCATCCTGAGATACTGACCGGGCATGTCGCCAGATCAATCGCAAAAAGGCTGTAGAAGCGCGCGAACATATTGAGACGCATGAAAGCCACGAATTGACTTTGGATGGGATCCAGATGAGGATGGTTTTGAACCCGTGGTTCCTGACTGGTGAGCTCAATCCAGAACTGACCCGTGAGCTCGAGCTCTTCACCAAAGAGAAGCATCACCCACTACCCATCAAAGAGCAACAGGGTCCCGCTATCGTCATGCTAGGCGCTGGCAGTTGGTACGCTCTCGTATACACAGAAAATCAGTCCTTCAACTACTTTCAGGAAGCTTTCGACAACATCACCGACATCCTACACCTCAAAGACCTGCCCCCGTTTGGCACCCGCTCAATGGATCCTCACGATGGCGTTGGAAATGAAGTATTCATTGCCCCTGTCGCACCTCCATTCTATGAAAGCCTACCCGAATCACGAACGCGACCAGAAGGCATCCACGAGGGCGAAGTCGAGGCCATTGACCAGTACATCTTGGACGCCGAAGCCCAACACAACCTCCGCCTCCTTCGCGCCTTTCCCGAGCTGTCGCGTAATCAGCCTGGGGCTATGGTCGACCTTTACGACACCGGCTTCCATGTAATTGACTCAGTAGCCGAAATCAAGGCCAATATCCTGCTGAATCTTCGCTGCAACGCGAAACTCGACAAGCTATCCGGCTATCCCTACGATCGAACCTGCTGCAGCGACTATGGTTCCCGATCATTCGCTCAGATAGTTGTACTCGGACTCACTGGTTTTTACACCTTTGCATGCATTGTTTTCGAAATCATGGACATTGTCAGCTTCGCAGAGAACCCCCGCAGGCCGTGGTTAAACATGAAGATCGGGGTATTTCCAATGGCTCTGCTCTACTGCTACGTTGCCGACCGAACGGACCTCTTTTCCAAGGGCATGAAAGAGTTTGCCACATTAGAATTCGCCCTTCTTGTCGCCGTATACGCAATCGTCTTTGCCGCCACGATCCGAAGGACCAGGCTGCGTGTTGTCGCTGCTGATGCCACCATCACTAAACCCATCAAAGAGGATGCCGGCATTCTCTCGCGAGATCAAACCGAGGAATGGAAAGGATGGATGCAAGCCGCCATTTTAATCTATCATTGGACAGGTGCCTCCCGCAATCTTCCTGTTTACATGTTCATTAGGTTACTCGTTGCAGCCTACCTCTTTCAGACTGGGTACGGCCACACCATCTTTTTCCTAGCAAAGAAGGATTTCTCGCCTCGCCGAATCGCCAATGTCCTACTCCGTCTAAACATGCTCAGCTGTGCACTTCCATACATCATGGACACCGACTACATGTTTTACTATTTTGCGCCGCTTGTAAGCTTCTGGTTCCTTGTCGTCTACGCGACAATGGGTATAGGTTCCAGATATAACGACAGTACATACGCGGTCATCAGCAAGATTTGTGGCTCCCTTGTCCTCGTCACGGTTATTCTCAAGTTCACTCCGGTCATGGAATGGGTATTTGTGGCCCTCAAGACCATCTTCCGGATCAAGTGGGATCTCCATGAGTGGGAATTCCGTATCAACTTGGATAGCTTCATTGTCTACGTTGGCATGCTTGCAGGCGTAGCGCACCAACGGATGGAGCGAAACAGCACATGGTTCACAAACTACAGAAACGCCATCGCTCCTTCATTGGCGATCCTGATGATTTGTGCAGTTCCATGTCTCATTTTTTGCGATGAGAAAAGAAAGTACACGATGGTTCATCCCTACTTATCCTTTCTGCCTGTCCTCGCCTTCGTCGCCCTCCGAAATGCGACGAGTCGCTTGCGAAACATGTACTCTACCGCCGCAGCCTGGCTCGGCCGATGCTCTCTGGAAACATTCATCCTCCAGTATCACATTTACCTCGCAGGCGACACCAAAGGTGTTCTCCTTTTCGGATTCTTCAAGGGAGATGGAAGTCTTTTATCGGACCGCTGGCGGGACTTGGTCATCATCGTGCCTGTCTTTCTTTGGATGAGCAACTTGGTTGCCGATGCATCGGGAGCTATCGTTAAGCTGACGATGCACAAGCATGAAGAAATCTCCTACGATGAGGACGACGAGCTCAAGATTATCGAGCCTACATGGGGCAACTACATTCTACTTGATGGTCACAGGCTAGGTCGACTTAATCAAGTGCTTGGAACGGCGATAAAGGTTGCCAGTGACCCTCGTCTGCGGATAGCATCCATCGTTGCACTCATGTGGCTACTAAACTGGGTAAGTTGAGCAAAAGGTGTTGCGCAGTAGCTCGGCTAACAAGATGTCTAGCTGTATTGAACACACGACACGGTAGAACGGCGTTTAATTCTGGTGCACGAAGACGAATGAGCTCAAGCTCCAGCGGGTTTGTAGAGAGACTGGTGATTTTAGAGTCTGTGGGCTCTGTAGATTTGATGGTTTTGGCACCTGAGAACTCGGACGTTGCGTTACATTCGGTGCTCTTAGAAATTGTTAACAGAGTTGTCCATACCATGTTAACCTAGGGCACAGTGTTCTTTCCTCGACACAATTCACTTGACAGGCCCCATGGCTTGGAAAGGTTTAAATAAGATTGGCCACAATCAAGAAATCGAGACTCGTTCATCAATGACAGCATCGCGATGCTGAGATATCCTACAGGAGCGCAAAGAGGGTTGCCAAGGGCAAAAACAGGACCAACGTTGGCAACATGGCCTCTCTTCCACCGACTGCGGCACTATCATCTTCTTCTTCTTCTTCCCCCTCTTCTCTCTCGTTACGCTCATCCTCAATGCGCTGGTTCTCCTCCGATGTGTTGTTTAGACCCCTCATGCAGACCAACTCTGAGACAGGCTGTCTGGCCTCCTCAGTTTCATAATAGGACTCGGAACTCCTATTTTTGGCGTATCCCCAAGTGACGAGCACCATATCAGCACTGTAACTAGCATCTCTGACGCCAAGCCCATACTGATCGGGAGTATTAAGCGGGGAGACAAAGGAAACAAACTCAGTGCCTCTCAGCCAAGTGATATTTTTGGCCTTGTCCTCGCCGATCTCACCACTCCACTGGGTATAGTTCTCTGCAGCCCGAGTCGAGGTCATATCGACGGTGAGCTTGCATTCTGGAGGGTCCTGAGGGTTGCCGATTTCCCACTCTCTGCCGTTCCAGGACGGGCTATTCTCCAAGGCGTCGAGGCACGTGTCGTTGAATGTTGCTTCGCACGAACCATTTCCACTCATCAACCTTTCGAGGTCATACCTGCTGAAACGGCTGTTTCGGTTGAGGAAGTAGTATCCAAGGCTAACACGCCACGACGAGTGCGGCGTGTAGAAACCTTGACGCACAATCACGTCGTCGACGAGAGCAGACGGAGGCTCGAGGCGGATCATGGAGCCAGCAAAGACAGCGTCGGTGTCATCATATGTGACGACGTCTCTTGCGGGGATCTTGGCGCGAACAGTGAGAGAGACAGCCCAGCCATCGATTGAGTCGGCATCTTCGTAGGGCTGAGAAATGTTGTAGCCAGTGATAGGCCATCGGCGGATGAGATCGTAGTCTGCCATGAGAGAGGGCCAGTCCTCGTCCGAGACGTTGCCAGGCGCTGAGGCTCGAAGCGCCCTTTCGCCTCTGTAGTTGCTACCAGGCCCAAAATCCTTTGTCCAAGCCTGACCAAGGACTTGGGGGGCGTAAGATGCCAAGAGGAATGCAGATGAAAAGTGCATATTGCTTGACTGTGATATTTCCCTTCCGAGAGAGTGCTACACGCAATAGCAATGAAAACAGTTACACGTTAATATCTGCTTGTTTCCTTGCCATCTCGGTCCTTTATATCTGGAGAGACGCTGATCGTGATGCATTCTTGGCGGTCTTGGTCGCCGCAGCTGGCACATCAATCTTGACGTCTTTGGGAGATGCACCTGACGGGCATGACGCGCGCCGATGCTTGATCGTTCTATTATATATCAAATGAAAGGAAAGGGAAATTTTTGCCCTCAATAGCCAGGTTAATGGTCTTAAGATTAAGGCACAGCGCATACGAGATGACCTTGGGCCAGGCCCCTTGATGGTTGCCATGCGCTGTGATCGCTATTGCAAAGACTATCACAGCCGTTCATAGGTAGACATACGACTGTACCCCGGAATTGATAGACGTCAACTAAACCAACACCAAGAGCTTCTCTACACGACATCTTGGCTGACGCCATCATCAAGGCGCAGCACCAACCAAGACCGTCTCCCCCTCCTCCAATCCCGCCCACCTCCAACACGCCTCCCACAGAATCCTCTGCTTGCTCTCATCCTTGGTCATTGGAGACTCCTCTTCTCTCTTGACGCCTAAGAAATATCCTGTTGTGCCTTCAAACTCTTTTCCGACACTCAACTCTGCTAAATCTTTGCCCGCGTCTGCGGAACGACGGAATGAACGTGTTATGTGTTTCGTAAGAGGGAGGAGATGGGATAGGGTGCCGAGGACAAAGCGCATGACGGGTTTTTGGGCCGTGTGCGCGCGGGAGTCTACAATACCACCTGGATCCATTGCCGTGACTGTGATACCCGAGAGGTTTGGGTCCTGATAATAAACAAGAGTTAGATTTACATGGTAGAAAGAGGTGAATAACATGCCTTTTTGAACCTTGTGTTGAGATCATGCATCAACAAGACATTCGCAAACTTTGCAATCCCATACCGCTGAAACCCACGATCATGTTCCTGCCCAGGCTCATCAGGTAAAGGCTTGACGATCTGCTCCACGTCCTCTGGAATATAAGCGATGAGCTTGGTGAGAGGGTGTGGTCTGTCAGGATAGTGCGTGTTGGAGCCGAGGAGGACAATCCTTCCGTCAGGAGCCATGGATCCTAGCAGCTTAAGAATAAGGAGGTAGTGTGAGAGATGTCCAACTTGGAAGGATGCCTCGAGGCCATCTTGCGTATACCTTGTCTCTGATAAAGACCAGGTGAATGCATTACACACGATGGCCTTGATACGCGGCAAGTTTCCACTGGCAACCCTCTCGGCCGTCTTTTCAGCAAACTCTCGTACATTTGCAAGGGAGGAAAGGTCAAGAGATTCAACGTGAGCCTTTGCGTTGGGTTTCGAGGTTATGATGTTGGAGAGCTTTGTACTATTGGCGTCGGAGGGATCGCGGACGGTGGCGAGGAGGGTGTACGATGGATAGGACGAGAGGATATGGTCGACAAAGCCGAGGGCTACGGAGCCGTTGGCGCCGGTTATTATGACGCTGCCTATCATGATGTATAAGTAATCGAGATGGGGTTTCAGATGGTAGAACTGTGTGGAGGACTATGGGAGCGGTGTTTAAGCTCGATGTCAAGTAGGTATTGATGAAATCATCAAGACTTGAGAGCAAAACACGAAATAACAAAAACACTCTCAATTTAATGATTTTCAACCTTCCAGTTTCATTTCAGTCGTCCCCTCGGACGTTCCTCACGGCACAGTCCTATCGCGGAACTCCGACGCACGGAACTCCATGGACTTCCGGTCGCCGGACCTCCGTCAACACCTCGTCATCAATAAGATTCAGCCAACCATCCAAACAACCCCTTTCCAAGCGTAAAACACCCAATAAGAAACAGCGTGTGCCAAATTAGGTAAATCCTAAAGTTATAAATCACAACTCCATATCCTCCAAAATCGTCCACGCAAGAGAAGGACTCATCTCCTCACTCAAACCGATTCCCTCCTTTGTCCGCATCAAACGGTTCACTTGTCCTCTTGCTCGTCGATCCAACTCTCTCACCACGCCCAACAACTTTCCAAACGGGTCTTTGGGTAGTTTTTGACACATGGCGTCAAACATTACCAGGCATGCATCTGAAATCCTTCGATCTGTTGGGACGTGGTCGTGCGCCGGGAATTCAATCATGTTTACGATTAGGAGGACGAGGCAGGAGTATGATCCGCATGTGTGAAGCCTGCACCGTCAGTTATCATTCCCAGTAAGCGCGTGGGGTATTCTTACCAGAGAGTGAATTCACTCTGTCGTCCCATGGTGATGAGCTCCATACACAGCCTCGCACCACTCACACATCCCGTCCACCCAGGCGGCAACGGCGCAAGTCCAGCCCGGATAAGCTCTCCGTCCGGCTCATCATCCTTGACTTCAATAACAGCCGGTGAGAGATAACTATTCACCCTATCAATCCAAACATCATCAAATGAAAAGATGTTGTGGAGTTGAATCAGGCACTCAAAGTGGCGGTAAAACATGTTGAGCATCAGCAACGTAGGCATCGGTGGGAGACGCTGCTTTATACCCTCGGCTGTTTGCAACTCTGGGGGTATAGTCCTGAGCCACTCGTTCATTCTCTCCTCGATGCGGGTGATGTTGTTAGATCGTTGTTCGTGCGTGAGTTTCCGCCCCTTTTGACTGTACAGGAGATCATTCGTTTTTCCCTGTATAAAAGCAAGTTGCACCCGAACCCGCAGAAAGTTGAGCTGCACAGAATCCGTGTCAGACATAATGACTCCCAGTCCGTCTTCAGGGTCTGCGGGGGGTAGATCCAGATCTGTCTCGCTGTCGAGTTGATAATAAGGCGATTTACACCGCAACGCCAACTCCTGAAATCCATCAGTAATGCAAGAGTATCACAAAGAGATAACACATACCCTATCGTAAATATAAGCAATCCAAAAAACACGACACCTCAAAAGCGCCTCCGCCTTTGAAACCCCCTGCGACGCCAATCTCGAATGCAACCTCAAACTCTGCGCCAACCTCACAACACTCCCCATCAAAACGATAGCAAGCTGAAAGTCAGCAGACCCCTGATAAAATATCGCCATCGCAAGTAAAACTTGTACTCCCATGAGGTCTTGCCCGGGTGTCATCAGCTCCGTCATGACGGACCGGATATTCCGGACGCACTGGGCGAGTGGTGGATCATCCATGTATCTACCCTCGAGGACACGGTAATTTATCGCCATGACGATGTTAACTGCTGCCCAAGGAACCATAGACCTCTTATTCGGAGATGATTGCCAATCAAGTAGCATCCTCATGAACGTAGGCTCATCAAACAAAGGCATAAGTCGGTTATACTTTTTAAAATAATTATCCACCACGGGTAGAATCTCTGAAAGTGGCGGTAGCTCCAGATGATGATGTGTCGTCAAAGGCATCGGCCACTGAGCAGGTTCAAACAATGTCGGACTCGTCTCAGTCAATGTACAATCTACAGGAGTGGAAATTTCGATATCATCAAGGCTGACGTCGGGATATCGAGCCGCTGGTACAGAAGCTGACGTAGAACTCTTTGTACCTGTCAGCACCGAGAGGAGAGCTTCAATGCCTGCCAACCGCTCCTCAAGGGCCTGCATTCGATCCGGCCTGATATATGTCAGTGAAAGTTCTCATCACGATACTTGAGGCTCTTACTGTGGTGATGGAACCGCAGAGGGAATCGTCGCAGTGCTTCGAAGAACGGCTCTTCTTCTAGCCGTGGTAATCTTGCAGGCGACGCCATAGAGAGTACAATTAGAACACGTCGGCTTCCGTCCATCACATTTAATCTTGCGCGAGACGCAATAATCACAGGCTACATCTCATCAGCAAACAATCCAACACTGTTTAATTTACTCACCCTTTCGCCTACTGCTCTGCGCAACGTCGTCCATCTTTGTCCACCTTCAATCTCGTCATTGAAGAACGGAGCATCATTTGACCGACCAAAGCTTCGGTCTCGGTTTCGCAAACAAAATTACTAATCAAGCCGATTGGTCTTGGCGTTGTTGAGGAGAGAGTCTCCACACCTCCATGACCATCTCAATCTCATGCAAGAGATTGTCTCAGGATTGGATGGATCTAGATCGATAAAGCAAGTTCATCTCTGCCCAATCGCAGAGGATGCCTCAAATTGAGCCAATTTGAACACCAACTCAAGATGTTGCACAAGTCAGGTCATTGATTCAGCTTCTATTGGTATAATACATTGCAGTCCAACAGGACAAGCAAGCCTCCATTTTGTTTCATCATCCGATTTGACCTTTATCTCAGAGCGTCTAAATCCGATACCAGCCGAGAAAGCAATTGCTCTAGATCTATAGCATTGTGTGTCTAGTCGTTTGGTCTATCGTGTCTAATCCCATCGTCTAATCTCTCTATGTCTCTTCGCATGGGGCTCCGACAGCCTTGGAGCTCTACTCCTTGGCCCATCGCATGGCACCCTGGTTGGTGGGGTCGTGCTCGACGTACTTGAGCGAGCCAAAGACGGACCAGAGCTGGCCGATGAAGTTGCGCTCGTCGTGGTAGTAGAGGTCGCCCAGGAGAGGCTTGATGGCCTCGGTAGCCTCGTCGGCCTTGTAGAAGGGGATGCGGCTGAGATGGTTAGATTGGTTCACCCCAAATAGCGGGGAGTACTCACGGGAAAAGGTGGTGGACAACGTGCTTCTCAATGATGCCGTGGAACAGGTGCTTGCCAATGAAGCCAAACTCACGGTCAACGGTAGCGAGAGCGCCCTTGACATAGGTCCAGCCCTCGTTAGTGTAGTGAGGGACCTCGGTGTGGTGGTGGTGGAGGTAGGTGATGGCGACTAAAAATCACGTCAGCGGCTATTCAATTTTGTTGCCATCAGAAATCTTACCCAGCCAGTGGTGCACCCAGAAGTAGGGGACGGCGTAGAGGAACAGAACAGTCGAGGTTCCCACAGCCTTGGAGGCAAAGTACAGGGCGGTGAAGGTGATGGCCAGGCCGAGGTCAGAGATGAAGATGAAGATGGCCTCGCTGGGTCGGAACACGGCGCTGGTGGGCTCAAAGTGGCTGACACGGAACCACTTGGCCAGACCAGTAGGCTCCCACTGCTTGCTGCCCTTACCAGCGCTGGCGTTGAACAGGAGGTACACCTGCCAGCCGAACAGCTGGTGGAAGACGATCCTGATGAGCTGGGCGATGGGGGTGTCCTCAAACAGCTCGTTCAGGTCGATGCCGGCAAGGATGCTGTGCTTCTTGGGCTGGGTGGCGGGGACAAAGGCCATGTCGAGGTCCATGTGGCCGGTGAAGCGGTGGTGGCGGTGGTGAGAGTACTTCCACGAGAAGTAGGGCACGAGGAGGAACGAGTGGAGGAACCATCCGACGACATTGTTGAGCTTTCCGTGGGTAGAGAAAGCACCGTGACCGCACTCGTGGCCCAGGATCCAGACACCAGTGCACACGAGGCCTTGGACAAAGCCGTAGACCATCCAGGCGGCGACGCGCAGCCTCTGGTCAGGAATGGCGGGAATGTAGGTCAGGGCAGCCCAGACGAGGGTGGCCACCATGGCAAAGTCGCGGAAGACATAGTAGAAGGAGGTGAAGAGCGAGGGCTGGAAGCAGTGGGCGGGGATGGCATCCTTGATGGTCTTGATATCGGGGAATTGAGGCTGCTGCTGAGGCTCGAGAGTAACCTTTTGCGACAGAGTCAGCCACCTGAAGAGACAAGAGGGTGAGACAGTAGAAACTTACCTTGGCAGAAGGCTTCTCAACCACAACAGTGGTCGAAGTACGCTGTCGAGTAGCCATGTTGAGCTGATCTAGACAGAACAATGCAATTGGGAGACGTAGAAGACGAGCCAGCGACCTCTGACCAATTGATGTTTGCTAGAGAGAAAAGGGAAGAGAAAGAAAGGTGGGAAATTTTTCTTCTCCTTGGGCTCCCTCCCTGTTTGCGCGGCTCTCCTCCTAGCTTTAAACCCATAGCTTGTCCCTCTCTCCTCCTCCCCTCGTTTGTTCGTCTTGACCTAATCCAGCCATGGCATAAAAAAAAAAGTGCGTTTGCCCCCCCCCAGTCTCCGCTCAACAAGAGCAGGAGAGTACCCTTGGAGAATAGGGGTCCAGACTCCATCCCGTTTGCACAGGCCAATGGCGCTGGGGTGTTGGGCCATTTAGCGGCGATGCTGGGCCCACGATGCGGGAAATCATGGAGCTGTTTGGCCTGTAGTAGCTGAAGAAGAGATGGAGCTGCCGTGTACGAGAAAGGGCCATTCGCATCGTATCCGTTTGAAAGCGGTGAGGGAGGCCAATTGGTTTGACCATGTCATGTTGTTCCGTTTGGAAGCGAGTCGGGCAAAAACTTTGTTGATATCTGAGACCAGGTTCCTGGATTGTGGAGTCGTGCCACGAGCTGATAAGACCAATCCGCAGTATGTGACTGGTCACGTTACCTAGCGTCGTTTCTGGAACAAGGAAACTCCGTCGGTCTAGAAGAGATTTCGGCGTTTGAAAGTGACATGAGTCGCATAATTTGCCATGTGAAAGAGCAAAGTTATGCAAAGGCGGATGAAGGGATGTTTGTAAATCCCGACACTTGCGCCGTTTCGGCAAACAGACAGAGAGCCAAGCCAAGGAAATGGCGGTCCTGCGCTTGTGGCCACGACGCCGACACGCACGATTCATGCAGAAGCAGGGCACAGTCGGACTCTGATTTGACTCAGTTGGGTTCAATTCAATTCAATTCAATTCAATGCATTCTATTATTAAAAAGCCTCGCTTGGGACATTCGTGCGTGCAGATCGTCCTCCAGGGCCTTGACCGTTCGTTCGTCCGTCCGTCCTTTCGTTCCCCCTTGTTGTCCCCTCTATCTATATGTTAATGTTGCGGTACACAATGATGTTGCTCTGTGCGTATATACTAAAAACCGATACCCAAAAATGTCGTACGTTGCGCCTTCAAATGATGACCTCAGATCTTTCTTTCCGTCCTTCTCAAAGATTGCTTGCCTCCCAAAGGTTGCCTGCCTCAAAGGACGCCTGCTCGCCTAACCCGACCGCCTTTCTTTCGTCTCCTCTTCTGCCCCCTCATACATTATCGTTACAGTCGTGATTACAACCCCCCTCTTAGAAGATGAACGAGGCGACAAACACCAGGCAAGTGTAGGCGGTCGTGACGGTGTACTCGAGCTCGAACCACGCAGCCTGTCCACCAAAGGCAATCTTCTTGCTCGCCTTGGTCGGGTGAGCAACCTGCGTCTTGGGATCGCGGTTGAGCAGATCCTCTCGGTCCGGCATCGCAGGCGGGTCGATGGCGTACGAGATGGGTGTCCACAGAGAGCTGCAGATGAAGAGGAACGTCAGTGGCGGCCAGAAGGCGTGCGTGAGCAGCCCCACGAGCACACCGCGAGTCGTGTCCTGAGTCGAGAATGACCGGAATGATGTCAGCACCACCGCGACAAGAGTCAGGTAGACAAATGCCAGGTGGAACAGGGCCATGTAGTTCATGAGGATGCCCCAAAGTCGGCGGAACATGTTCTTTCTAAGCTTGGGGTCACGCTCGTTCAGGGCAGAGCCAAGAGAACCGGTAGGCTTGAAGGCCTGTGTCTGTCCGCCCAACCAGGTAGGAAGGATGAAGGACCGAATGATGCACAGAGCAATGTAGGGCGACATCCAGAGCTGGTATCGGGAACCTCGCTGACCAGTGTGATAACCAGCAGGGATGAACAGGGCAAACTCGCACAGTCGGTTCGAAATGACGGACGCAAAACAGGCTCGGACCAGCCATCGCAGCTGCTCGTCGGTAGCGTAGGCGACCAGAGGCTTCTGCATGATCAGAATGATGGGGATGGCGAAGAGCGAGATGGTGAGCAGGATGGTGTAGATGCTGAGCGAAGCATACAGGAAACCCGAGAATCGCTGCGCAACCGTCATCTGCTTGACCTTGTCACCCCACAGACAGAAGTTGAGCTTGAAAGACGTGTCGACAGTTCCGATAGCCCATCGAGTTCGCTGCTTAAGATGGCTGCCATAGTCCTCAGGAACAGTACCAAACTGGAGGGGTTCGTGGACGTAGGCCGTCTTCCATCCCTTTCCAAGCATCAGAGTAGACGTAGCAACATCTTCAGCCAGAGAACCAAGTGGGAAGTTTCCAATCTGATCAAGGGCCTCACGACGAGCGACATAACCGGAACCAGTGCACCAGGCAACACCGAGAGCGTCCTTAATGGGCTCGATGACGTGGACGAAAAAGTCGAGACTCTGGGCGAGGGGATCGGAGCGAGGAGTGTTGTAGAACAGCTGAGGCGGGCAAGCGAGAGCCATCTTGGGATCGACGACGAGATGAGGGAGAACAGCACGGAGCCAGTCACGCTCAGGAATCTATCCATGTCAGCAAACCATTGAGCGTCAGACGAGGCTGTAATCTTTACCATATCGGCATCCAGAGCCGCCATGAACTGGCCGGCTCCTCCGGGAAGCAGATGCACCTGGTCAAGACCGTAGTTCAGGTTACCGGCCTTGAAGTGATGCGGCTGACCAGGGACCTTGATTCGGGCCATGTAGTAGAGGTTGGGATACGTCAGGGCGAGCTTGGCACACTGGGCCTCGAGGCCGGCGGATTTACCATCGTCGAGAATGACAACTCGGAAGCGGTCACGGGGGTAGTCGAGATCGCAGGCGGCACGAACCGTATCCATGACGAGGTCGTCATCCTCACCACAGCAGGTAATAAAGGCGTCGACGGTGGGCACGTCGTTGCCAGTCAGCCTCAACTTGGGACGCTGCCTCTTCTTCATGGACCACATGGTCCAGGTGTTGTGCATGAGCGAAGGAATGGCGACGGCAATCTCGACGGCGATAAAAACCCAAGCGGCTGCATATGTCTCTCCGGCGGCATTCTGCGCCCATATCACGCAGGCGATTCTCAGGGTGAGGTAGGCCATGTACAAACCCGTGTTAGCAAAGGTCAGGAGGGGCACCAGCTTGAAGACCCAGCGCTTCCATCCCTTCCAAATGTCCGAGTCATCCCGCTTGTGAACCTGCTGGATGGCGCTCTCATCTACAGAAAAGTCCTTTGACGAATTGCGAGCCGTAGATCCTGGCAAGAGTGCGGCGAGACTCAGGTGACTCTGGTTCTGTTCATCGGACGAGGTGGAATAGTCAGTGACACTGAATCTCGGATCGCGAAAGCAGGTACTCGGAGGCGTGGGTGGTACCATTAGGCTGGAAGGTCTCCAGTCGACTGAAGAATTGGGATGCCTGTGCCCGGGTGTAGCCTGGCCGCTCCTCAGAGAGGGAGTGGCCGATCTAGAGTCCACGGGGGTCTCGTTGAAGTAGTGCCCAGGCTGAGGGCTACCACCGGCTGGCGACAGAGGCCATTCGGGGGCCGGGGCAGGAGCGTAGTCTTCGATGTGTGCGGGAGACGGTCTCATCGGTGTCTGCCTGCTCTGCTCAGTGATGGAGCGGCCTTGGCCCTGCTGCTGAAAGTCGTCGTGAGCTTGATAGGGTGAGTAGGGTGTATACTGCTGAGGCTCTGGGGGACCATAAGGCGAGTGAAGGTCTTGGTTGTAGAACTGATCTTGAGGTTGCTGCTGCGGAGGCTGTTGTTGACGCTGCTGCTGCTGCTGTGCTTGGTCTTGCTGACGTTGGACGTCGATTTCAACCATTTCCCTATACTCCCTGTCCTGGTCCCCCTCGCCATATCCGCGATACCCGTTCATGTTTGCGGCAGCGACTCGAGATCCTGACGCATACGCAGACAGGCCCGAGCAAATTAAAGATTGGGTTGGTGGGTGTTAACGGGGTGACGAGCAATTGCTCGGCGTCAACGGGACGCTTGGCGGGATGTAAGCTTTTGGAGCCAAGCTCTGCTGCAGCGAGTGTTTGGTGTGTGTTGAACGAAAGTCTAGATTGAGATTATATTGCATGCATGCAGACAGACACGAAAAAAACGAGAGAAGAAGGATTTACCAAGGCGACTATGAACGAGAGATAATGGCCAAGGCTGATTTGATCTAAAGAAAGAGGAAAGGAAAAAAAAACATGGGATGGGATGGGATGACGGAAGGGAGAGTGAGTGACGAGAGGAGGCCGGGGGTGCGAGGGGAAAAGCGTGCCGTAACTAGCGCTGGAAGGTACGGGACCCGTCACTGACTGGCACTGGCACTGGCACTGGCACTCCAGCTGGCACCCGACGTCCCACCTGGGACCTGGGTCAATCAGCATGGAAGCAAGTCACTCACTGAGTGCCCGCCCGCACATCGACGGTTACCAATCCAAGGAACAAAAAAAGACCTACCAGCCACCCCTGCCCTGCCCTGCCTTGCCCTTTTTCTGCCGGCCAGGGCGGCAGAGATGGAGAGATCCATGCGACACGAACAGAGACACTGCCCGCTGACTGTCCTGTCCTGGCCTGGCCTGGCCTGTAGCGGGCGTGACTGACCTGAACTGGGTGGCCTGCCTTGGAACGGCCTATCCTTTCGGCATCGCCCCAGGTGCCAAAGTTGACTCTTGACAGCGCCCTCAGCTCCTCAGCTACCCGTTCCTGCAGTGACATCCACCTCGTCCTCGTATCGAGAGATCGCCCTAGACTGGCCCAACTCCACCACACGCAGCTATACGACTCCCGGGAGCCAGGGGCCATCCCTGTCCTTGATCAGGGGCTCACACCTTCTCAGCTGCTCCAGTGGCCAGCTCTTTACGATGCCTGTCTCTGATTGGATCTGTCCGTCTCTAGATTTGATCCTGGTGGGTAACCCTCCTCGGTTCGGCATTCACACAGGGGGTGTGCGCCTTATCGACAGAAGCGCTTCCCTTCAATCAGACCATGGATGTGGCTCTCCGCAGCCGACGCAAGGGGTGTGTGGGTGTGTGGGTGCTTCTTCGCCTCCCCCTGGAAGTATGTGTGAGAGAGAGAGAAAAAATATTAGTTGGCGGCTGAAAAAGGAAAGCTGCGTGCAAAGCTGAGCTGAGGCATCCATTTCTCGGGCTTGTTTTCCTTGATTCTGCCCGTCGTCGTCCATCATCCGTTCCGTTGCCCCCAAGACGTTTGTTCGGTCGCTCGCTCGTTATTCTGATCTCTCCCGATTGAGAGGAGGGTAAAGGGAAGTCGTCGTTTCGAGTAAGAGAAAGACAATCTTCAACTGTATAGATTTTTCCCTCTTTTTGTTCACTCGCTCATCGTTCATCGTTCGTTTCTCCTTTCCCCCACCCCCGTCAGCCATGACGATTCGCTTCCTCGTCAACTTTGGCCTCTTGGCCCTCCCCATCGCCATCACTCTCGGCATTCTCTTTGGCCTTGAGAAGCATCGAGAGGCGACAGGAGGTCCTCCTCTGTTCAAGCCTCAACCCGACCCTACCAAGCCCAAGACGCCCAACGATAATGGCATCACGGTCGGGCAGTACTGCCAAAAGTCATATGGTATTCATCCAGAGACCAAGGGCCTTGAGTTTACACGTAAGTACCTTTTTCATGGCTTTTTTTTCTCACACTCATTTTACCCATTGTTATTTTTATCCTGTTGCCCCCCTAGTAGATGTAGACACCTGCCAGACCGTTTGGTGCCTCCTTGTCCTCCCCCGCGTCTGTCATATGCACCTTGCCGTCTTGATGGTTGAGCCGCATCGTGAACGTCGAGCTTGGCTCAACCTCTGTGCGACATTGACATGCTTGTGTTACAATTTACTGACTTGACTTGATGTAGTGAATCCCAATCAGTGGGGTGTGAAGGATGGTGGAAAGGGAGGAATGTGTTTATATGTAAGCTTGACGCCTTTTCTCATCCATCTCATATCTGAGTCCCCAGATTTTCATCTCTCTCATCCTGGCATGGCATCTCAACTGCCGTTGATGGAGATCCACCTACTTGATCATGTACCTAACACGATGCTCAGGTCGACATTCACAACAACAAGACCTATGACACAGAGTTCACGGCGCCCAACTGGGCCAGCGTCTGGGCCTATCCCATCGACGATGTCAAGGCACCTGTGCACGCCTTCCCCAACGTCATGGTTGAAGGCGACACGTTTCCCGTCAAGCTAAACACGATTGAAAAGATTGACATCGACTTTGCCTGGACCTACGCTCCTGGTAACACGTCGGCCAAGGGAAGCAAGTACATCACAAAGTCCGACTTTGACGATCTCGTGGATCGTGAGGTCAACGCCAACGTCGCCATGGATATGTTCTTGGACAAGGACAAGGAAAAGTCAAAGGTCAGTGAGGACGCTTCTCACGAAATCATGGTGTGGTTTGCCGCCATCGGAGCTGCTACTCAGCCTATCGGTTTCAACGGCGGCACGAGTCCTGTGGCGACCAAGACTCTTCACGGAGTCAAGTTGTGAGTCTCATATCCCATTACTATGTTGCCCATATGCTAATTCTTCAGCGAACTCTACGTCGGCGTCAACGATGAGACCAAGCAAAAGGTGCTCACGTGGTACGTCAAGGAGCCCGTGGAAAAGTTCAGCGGCGACCTCTCCCCTCTAATCAACGAGATCCTGTCCATGAGCGACTCGGACTACCCATCTCCCACCGACTACCTGGGCTACATGGCCTGGGGAACCGAAGCCTACTCTTCCAACAATGAGTATGTCACTTTCAACGTGACGCAGCTGGCGATAGATGTCGAGACTACGAGTTCTACTTGAGCGCGATTTTACACAGCAGCAGCAGCAAATGTCATGAACGTAACTATATAGAATACTTAATGAAAGAATTGGGCGTTTTGTTTGGAACACTTCTCTCCATTGTTTTGATTGCAACCGGAAATACACCACGCCACATTATCTGTGCCCAGCAACCACTACAAAAGCCCTCCCCCTCCCTTTTTGCCGCCCATCCCCCCCTTTACTCCCCCAATCGGGCTTGACGCCTCGTGGCTGGGAACTTCGGGAAGCTAGCGAGCGGTGATAAAAATAAAAACAAAAGTCGAGCCAAATAAATGCCCTGGTCTCTCTTTCTCACGTCGGCATTTCCTAGCGCGGAACAAGGTCAGCTTGTTATCGCGCCGAGCCGAAAGGGCCTTTTTTGTCAAGATTGTCAGTGGACCACACACGAGCAAAGAAGCCTGCTGATCGTGCTGCTCTCTCTCCTTTTGGTAGGCTCGTATTTGACCAAACCACTTGGAAGTGAACGAGCCGCGCGGGGAGAAGGCTGTCCCCGAGCCTGGGGGAGTGGGCGCATCATGACGAAGAGTTGCGACATGGGACGAAACCTTGTTCCGCTGTCGGGTGAACCGGGAGGGGGTAAACAAAACAGGTGCATCTCTTATCTGTTGACGGCCAATTGAGGAGAAGATGTGCAGTGAGTGACAGGCTGGAGCAAAGTGAAAGCTGGCATGGGTTGAGAGACCTCTGAGACGCACATGGAGCTGCAGTAGGTAATCTAGAACAAGAGTCAAATAAATCACAATTGAACCGTGTAATAAAAGCCAAGCTTTTGTTCATGCCATCGTCAGCGTGATGCCTCGAACCGACCTGCCGTCAGACCACCATCAGCAAAAAAGAAAACGAACAGAAGCACCAACAGCGTAGACCAGCACCAAAGAACCCACTTCCGGGGGGGGCGCCCACTACGAGGCCACTGCCAGGTTACAGCACATGGTGTGGTTGCAAAAACCCCGCAAGAAGGGTGAACATGTTCTGTTCCTCCGGGCGTTCCGCAGGCTGTGCAAATGTTGGAACCTCTTGGTGTAATACGAGAAAAGTGGTGTTTTGGAAAAACAACCGCCGTCGCAAAAACCCTCCATCTCTAGAGGGTAAAATGCTCTAAAAAGGCGGCATCTCCGTTGATCTTTGTTGCACCACAAGCGTTGAGCCACTCCCGCAATCTGAAGCCGGCCATGTCCAAGGTTCAAGCCCATGACATCTTTGAGTCTAATTTCCCAGAACCAAGGAAGATGGACTCTTTGAACTTTGACTTTTTTTTTTACAGATTGATCGCAATTGGCTCGGTATTCAATATGGTGATGGACTCAACTTCCGGACCCATCGTGCTACCACGGAAGACGGAATCGAACAAAGTGGATAAGATATCGCGCCAACGGGACAAGGTGAAGCATTCATCGCCGATCGGCAAAGGCTTGAAAATCTCTGATAACACAAAAAGACGTCATCTACTCCTTTTCATCTCAAGAAACCTCGAGATAATGGGTCTTGGCTCCGAGATTAAGCATTGCCCAGTCTTCCAGGGGGCTCAGACAAGCCGTCCACCCCCTGTGTTGCTTCTTCCCCTGTACCTGCGTCGATGGACTCGCCCTTGCGATGGATAGCGTCCCCGTTAGCTTGCATCAGAAGGGGGACCCGCGATAAAGTCTTAGAAATTTGAGATTCAGATTTTTTTTGAGTCGAGATGTTAGGGCTTAGACTGGTGCCAACTCATCTTGGGCTGCGTGACCACGTTGCAGATGCACCCAGGAGAGAATTGAACTATTGAATGTAGGGCCCGTAGGGTAATGCAGGTACTGGGAATCAGTTGGCAGTTTTGTGTCCACTTGATTGCAGCGACATTGGACCATGGCTGCATCTTCAGCACGTATGGATTTGACCGCATATCTGACCTCGGTATGCCTTTACTCATAAAAAGTTAATGTAAAAAACACTGTATTAATATAAATAACTACGAGGACGCGCAATTGTTTCATTGCTGGAATCAAGCAACATTGCTTCACAGGCTACCCTGTACTCCGGAAAATCCTTCCTTCGGAAAACAGATCCGTAACGGGAAGCATGGGGTCCAGGGGTAAAAAGACGCACGCACGCACGCACGAGGAATGCGGTGCGACCGACACACACAGAGAATTTTCATGATCCGGTAGATTGGGAGTCCAGCTAGCAATGTCGAGTGACAGGCCAGGGTCCATGGAGTATTTTGAGAAGTAAAGAAATGAACATCATGTTCACGTTTAGAGTATCCCTTCTATAACCCGTCCAACACCTCGCTAAAAAAACAAGCAGAGTAAAAAAATCATGAGGTCAACCGTTTCGCCTGCTCATCCATCCTATCCAAATGAAACTTTGTAACCGGACTCGCAACATCCTTAAAAATCTCCTCAATCTGCCCCATGAGAAGCGGCCCCGGATTACAAAGCTGATGATCCAGGGAAGGTTTCCCCCCGACGTGTCCAATGTCGTGGATCACCAGTCCTGTCATCTTGCGGTGCAGGCCGACGATGCTGTCTGTCACCTCGTCGGCTGAGGGGAGGGGCCAGAGGCCCGCCCGGGCGAGACAAAAGGTCATGGACCCGAGGATCATGGACTCGCAGCGGTGCGGGCCCATCCACTCTGCGTGCCGGCACCATCGCGGCTTTTCGTCCACCACGAGCAGGTTTTCCACCATGTCGCGGAGCACCCCTAGGAGAGCTTGTATCGTCTGGAGTCGGATCGCCGAGATTCTTTCTGTAAGTTGTTAGTTTGACCTAAAAGCTTGACGGGATATTGTACGCACCAATGATATCAGGCGGCATCTTGAGCTTGTCAAACTCATCCTCGGCCGTCCTCCCCATATCCGACTCCATCAACATCCTCAGCGCCATCCTCGAGAAAGCCTCCTTGCGTCCAAACTCCCACGAAACCCAGAGAGCCTTTGCCATGCTCACACTCGAATCTCTAACTTCAATCGACGCCATCCACCCGTTAATCCACGGCTCGAGCAACCTCGTGGAGTCATAGTAATTCGACAGCACCGCCAGATCGTAAAGCTCATCCAGCGGCATCCTCCTCGGCACCCTGCCGAAATGAGAGTGAGAAATGTTTAGAAAGACCTCCATCGGTGCTGAATCGTCTTCTGGTAATTCCACGACCCATTCCTCGCCTTCGGCAAGTCGGGTTTTGCTCTCGGTGAAATGTCCGTACAGCATGCGCTCAAACACGGGTGACGCCCTCGAAAGCGCACGGGAGCAGGCCGAAAAGAGTTTCTTCTCCCTGCCGACCTTGAGAGTAATGTCTGCGCGGGGGTCAAACTCGATCATGGTTCAGTTGGGAGTAAAATAAAAAAGAAATTGAGAGACCTGAAACTTGGGAGAGAGGAATGTGTAGATTCTTTCGAGGTTATTTACTAAACACCGAGTCTGGATCTCGTCGTCTCTCTAATTATAGACGCATCGCCAAGAGAGTGACAGAATGCCAAGACTTCATGACACGAGGCGAAAGAGAGAGACGGTGCTAAAAAAGCCCAGCCTTGCTTGAACAATTCGTCCATTCCAACCCGTGTCAGAAAAATGTTACGACTCGGGCGAGGCCATTTGGAAGGGCGAGCCAAGAGTTGGAATGTGCAGACTGTCCGTCCCATCTGTGAAAAGCTATTATTAGAAGTAGCTTAATAAGGGATCACGGCAAATGCATTTGTCTCGATATGGGTGCTATTGACGATGGATGGATCCTTCAAAACTCCAATCAACAGGCCTCCAGAGTGCATGCCCACGTTTGTTGAATCTGCTTACACAATTATCCCCAGATATTTTAGAAATAGCCTTACGAGGTTTTAAAAAAGAAATGCATGTAATTGACGTCTACCTTGTCTAGAACCCCAACCAATGTGGACACGAAGCCAAGACCTGATCGTCCACTCACTGAGTCACATGCTCCCCTCATTCACCTCCGACTGCATGAACAATTATTACTGAAGCAAAATGCAAACCCAAACCCAAGTACACACAGATCCAATGACCGTGCCTATAACATTTTCTTTCGTGAATTTTTAGAAAATTACAAGGCACTGGTCTGTCGCTTGATTCCGCTCCAGTTCGCATCACGAGGCCTAGGGTAGATTGGGCTCATCTGGAGAGCTACTAACCATTCAATCGACCGAGGCTCAAGTGTTCTTCCATCATGTACATATCTCATCTACATCAACTTACAACATATTCACATCGAGAAAACATGTCGCCGTCATTGCCCCTCCATCATCGCAGCCGCCATGCAGTTTTGCAATAAAGAATTCGTGATTACGCCATCAATGTCCATAGATATCGTCTGTATAAATACTCATAGGCACTTTGCCAGATCTCAAACTCAAGATTTCTCTCCTTCTTGGCATTGATGCCACCCCTCGCCATCACCAAAACATCAACATGAATCAACAGGCCCACGACATAAAGCCAGGCATCATTGAAGAGCTTCACACAGACATGGATTGCCATTTCCTGGATCAAGACGAGATCGAACTCCTCGGCCGGAGGCGACCTCCAGTCTTTTCATCCTGGCTCATCGAGATGGGTTTCGTCTTTGCCGTTGTCGGATCCCTCGTCATGAGTGAGTACGCCATCAGTGGCTTCAACGTCGCCCTGCCGTCGCTCACAAAGACCCTCAACATACCCGACTCGGCGAGGACCTGGCCTGCTGCCGTCCCCAACCTCACCACTTCGGCCTTGCTCATCCCATTCGCCCGCGTCTGTGACCGATATGGGGGCCGTCTCGTCTTTCTGGCTGGCCATCTCTGGCTGCTCATATGGTCCCTCATCTGCGGCTTTAGCCAGAACCTGACCATGCTCATCGTCTGTCGTGCCATGCAAGGAATCGGATCAGCCGCCTTTCTCCCCGCTAGCCTGGCGTTGCTTGGGCAGACGTATAGACCCGGACCGAGGAAGAACATCGTCTTTAGTATATATGGTGCGTTCGGGTGTATTGGCTTCTACTTTGGCATCGTCATTGGCGCTGTGTCGTCCGAGAAACTTGGTTGGCGATGGTTCTTCTGGATAGGCACTTTTTGTAGCCTCCTTATCATCATCATCGGTCGCCTCTCGATTCCTTCCAACCTCGGCGGCTCGAACCCGGATGTCAAGATGGACTGGCCTGGACTCTTGACCATTGTGCCTGGCGTCTCGCTTGTTGTGTATGCCATCACTGACAGCGGCCGAGCACCTCACGGATGGCGAACTTCCTACATCCTCATCACCTACATCCTTGGCATGCTGCTGCTCGTCGCAGCGGTATATGTTCAAGGGTGGGTCTCCAAACACCCGTTACTCCCTGCTGAGCTCTTCCGCCCCAAGTATATGAAGAGACTTGTCGCATGCCTGTTCATCGAGTATGGCGTATTTGGGTTGTATCTCTTTTATGCCAGCTTTTAGTGAGCCCCTTGCCCATTGTCTGTCGGCTTGGCTAACTACGGATGATAGTATGGAGGAAGTCCTCAAAGCGTCGCCTCTCCAAGCAGCCGTGTGGTTCGCCCCATTGCCCAGCCTGGGGCTTGTGTTGGCACTTATAAGCGGATTCATATTGCATTTGGTACCCGGTCGCATCCTGATGATCATCTCAGGCTTTGGGTTCTTCGCTTCTGTCCTGCTATTCGCTCTCATGCCTGAGACGAGTGGATCGAAGTGGCGTGCGTACTGGTCATACGTCTTCCCTGCCATGCTTTGCTCCACGATTGGTGTAGACATCGTTTTCAACGTGACCAATGTCTTTATCACCACTTCGCAGCCTCGAAGGCTTCAAGCCGTGGCCGGAGCCCTGTGTAACAGCTTGCTGTATCTGGGCATCGCCTTTTGGCTGGGAGTCAGCGAGCTCGCAGTAGCTGCGGCGAAAGAGGTTCAACGAATTGACAAGATGGATCGGCGACAGCAAAACCAGATCGGCTTCTGGACAGCCACTGGCCTTGCGTCTGTGTCTGTGATCCTGGTCTTCACCATCAAGCTGGGACAGGCGACAGCTGAATTGACGGCGGACGAGAAGATCGAGTTGCAGCAGCGGGAGCCCAACAAATGCGTCGACTTTGAAGACACGTCGGCGGGAGTAGAGATTGGTTGAGGACCCATGGCACAAGGTAGATAGTTGGATTAAATGAGTTTATGGAATTTTGACAACGTAGAGGATTGAATGACTGTTCATTTGTTAGTCAAGATCTGTCATACAAGCAATGGATCATGTTGCTGGACAATGCTTACCGAGTAAAGGCACTGCATCACTGCGGGCCCTGCTTTCCCTCCTCCCAGTCCTTGACTGCAGCTGCCAAAGCTCGTTTCGCCTGGGCTTGACGTGCGAAGAACGTCGCATTGAAGATGGTGTAAAGAGGTAGGTTGCTGTTGGCGTGATCGTCTCCGAACTCGACGACACAGTTTCGACCCTGCGTCTGCTTGGCGATTTTGACAGTCTCGCGGAGCATGTCTCCACCGAGTCCTCGATGTCGATACTTGTTTTTAGTGGTCCATCCCCGGATGAGGGCTTTGCTGTTGCCATTCTTGCGGGACGTCTTGTCAAAGCGAACAATGACGGCGGCGATGATGTCTTTGCCGAAGCGGGCACCAATGATGGTGTCCTCAACACCGTCCTCATTCTTCAGCCATCCAAGCCAGTCTGTGTCCTCAGCGATGCGAATGTATGCGCTTGACAGATAGCGGGTTGCGACCAGATATGTGAGGATGATGCTTGGGTAGGTGATCAGCATGGAGCTAAAGTCGTTGCCAACTTTGGCGGCATAGTGCGCAACAGCGAGAACAGCCGCAAAGACGGCCAGAGACACCGGGTGAAAGATGATGGCCCTCGAGGCAATCTGTCGCTGCTGTGCGACACTGTCTACCACGAGCTTGAGGGCATCCTTCTTCTCGCTGGGATCAGTGAGAACCTCAAGCGACAAAGGAGGGGGCTCAGTCGAGCTGACTGCAGGTGCGGACATGGCTATCGGTCGATCGAATCCAAACTTGGTGTGAAGAAAGAATGAGAAAAGAGTCAAGTCGGGCGCATGTCGCAAGGCAGAGCTGAAGACAGTCGGGAGGCAGCACCGATAACCGACAAGACGGCGACCGAGGGGCACAACGAGAGGATATGCTTGCTGCCAAGGTTGCAAGGGAACCAGAGAACCGGCTCGCTAACGGGAGTAAGGCGGCAACACGGTCGTCGCCTCTCGAAGCCGTGATATCCGGGTCTCGAGGTTCTACAGGACGCGTTCTGTGGAGTGCTCGGTGTCCCAAACAGGCAAACTCAATCAGCAACAAGCTTAGTCGCACGAGCACCAAATGGGGCGCTCGGCCTCGGTCACTGAGATATGGTTAAAGCCAATAAAGGGGAGGGTCCAAACGATGCCACCGACGATGCGAGGCATGAGATGCGACAGCTAGATGCAGCCTGTAGAAGATTCGCTGGATCATGCCAAGGCGGGTCGGAAGCACGCTAATTCCGTGCCGTTTGCCGAGACCCTAGCTCAGCGTCGCTCCTTCCCTGAGCATCTTGGGAGGCCCTGCAGCCAAGGCTCTTGGCATGTGGAAGCACGTGGGGAAGGAGCGACCCGTTGATTCGTCTGGGGTCCTCGACGTGCTCGAGTGTCTCGTGCCTCATCCTAGACCGAGCATGGTAAGAGAATGAAGCCCCTCGAGGCGCGGCCAAAGGCAGAATTTGGAGATTCGATTGCCCATGGAGAGAAGGGAGCATGATGACTGGGCAATTAAGAAGTGGGTAAGAGCGTGATGGGCAGGAGCCATCGGTTCGGACGGATCTGTTTGATGGAACACGCCGTATAATCTGCCTGGCAGCGAGGCCGTGTCTACAGCACTCGTTTCATACTTATATCCAAGCTCTTCTTCTGTTGTTTTCTTTTCTTGGCTCTTCTTTTTCGACAGGCGCAAGGTTTCACTTGACTCTTGGAAAGAGCTCTCGCTCCTCAAGTATACGAATATCAAAAACACTTGCTTGTGTCTCTTTTACTTCACCAGTCTTTTATTAATACTCCCCCTTATAATATCCCTGCCAACAATGGCTGACGAGGCTCGTGCCCCCGCCGCCGTCGCCAAGACGAGTGGTGGTAACAACGCCTTCCACAACTTCCACAATGACTTTGCTCACATCGCCGACCCCAACGAGCGTCGTCGTCTCGCTCTCGCAGAGATCGACAAGGCTCCCTTTGGCTGGTACCATGTTCGAGCCTGTGTTGTTGCCGGTGTCGGCTTCTTCACTGACTCTTACGACATCTTTTGCGTCTCCATGCTCACCATCATGCTTGGCATCGTCTACTACCCCGGCAAGGGCAAGCTTTCGACCCCCAACGATAACGCCATCAAGCTGTCTACCTCTGCTGGTACCGTTATTGGCCAGCTCGGCTTCGGTATGCTGGCTGATATTGTCGGTCGAAAGCGCATGTACGGTCTTGAGCTTATCGTTATCATCTTTGCTACCCTTGCCCAGGCTCTGACTGCTGGTTCGCCCTCCACCTCCCTGATCGGTCTTATCATCTTCTGGCGTGTCATCATGGGCATTGGTATTGGTGGTGATTATCCTCTTTCTTCCATTATTACTTCCGAGTAAGTTTTATTTCATCTTGTCTTCAATTCTCATACTGACCCCTGACCCTAGGTTTGCCACTACCAAGTGGCGAGGTGCCATGATGGCTGCCGTCTTTGCTATGCAGGGTATCGGCCAGCTCGTCGCTGCTCTCGTCATGATGTTCCTCACCCTCGGCTTCAAGCACGCTCTCGAGGGCGCCCCCGATACCAAGCACTGCACTGGTGACTGCCAGGTCGCCGTTGACAAGATGTGGCGTACCCTGGTCGGTTTCGGTGCCGTTCCCGCTTGCATCGCCCTTTACTGTAAGTGATCAAGTTTCTTGGCTCCCTTCTTGGCATGCATGCCAGTGACATGGGCTAACATCCGGGGAACCCAGACCGTCTCACCATCCCTGAGACCCCCCGCTACACCTTTGACGTCGCCCGCGATGTCGAAAAGGCCGACGAGGATGTCAAGGCCTACATGACTGGCAAGCGTGAGGGTGAGACTGATGAGGTCGCCCGCGCCCAGGTCCAGCAGGGTGCCCGTGCCAACCTCCAGGTGCCCAAGGCCAGCTGGGGTGACTTCTTCCGTCACTATAGCAAGCTTAAGAACGCTTCCCTCCTTCTTGGAACTGCTGGTTCATGGTTCTGTCTTGATGTGGCCTTTTATGGTCTTAGCTTGAACAACGGTACCATCCTCAAGGTCATCGGTTACTCCTCCAAGGATGCCCACAACGTGTACGAGTTCCTGTACAACACCGCTGTCGGCAACATCATTATTGTCCTTGCTGGTGCTGTCCCTGGCTACTGGGTTTCCGTCGCCACTATTGATACCCTTGGTCGCAAGACTATCCAGCTTGGCGGCTTCTGTATTCTTACTATTCTCTTCATCGTAAGTTGTTCCCCTTGCGGGTGCCACGTGACACTAACACCTTTAGGTTATGGGTTTCGCCTACAACCACATTCCCTCCAACGGCCTGCTTGCCATTTACGTGCTTGCCCAGTTCTTCTTTAACTTTGGTATGCCTCTTTTCTCGACACTTTAAAGATAGTCAACTGACATGACCAGGCCCCAACACCACCACCTTCATTGTTCCCGGTGAGGTCTTCCCAACCCGCTACCGTTCCACCTCCCACGGTATCTCTGCCGCCTCTGGCAAGATCGGCTCCATCATTGGCCAGGGTGCCATCTCCATCCTCCGAACCCACGGTGCTACCGACAAGAACGAGGCTCCCTGGATGGATCACGTCCTCGAGATCTACGCCCTCTTCATGCTTCTCGGATGCCTCACCACTCTCCTGATCCCCGAGACTGCCCGCAAGACTCTTGAGGAGCTCAGCGGCGAGGATGACTATGCCAACCCTCGCGACAGCGTCATTGACAACGAGTCTCACAATGGCAAGCCCGAGAGGTCTAGCGTCTAAAAGTATTCGACAAGTATCCTGTCTGTAAGGACAGTTCCGATGTTGCATCGGAAAAGTGATCAACTCATATGTCTGCACCACAGTCAATCATGTGCAAGTATTATGTACCTACCTATATCAACATAGTTAATATATCGTGTCTTTGACAATGAATTTCCCTAAAGTATCCCGCCCAAGGTATAGATCGTCTGAAGTGAGAATGATGTGCCATTCAATGTAACCTCAACTGCACACAAGAATCAAGACACCAATCACTGCCCTCATCTTGTAACCGAGTCTGATATTTTTCAGCTGAGCTGTAGCCAAGAAGTCAAACAACCAGCCAGCGTCAGCAGCGACTGGCGGGGCTACAATTTCAGGTCGTCATTGGATTTTATTCCTGCGCAAATGCCTGACAAGCTGAAAAATCTCTCATAATGCCTAGTAACTGTTGTTCTTAAATTCCTTGCTTTTTTCCGATCTTGAAAGTGTGAACTGGTTCACCTTCACTCTCCCACCCAGTTCAACAAGCAACATCAATGTATCTACCACACACCGCAACGCTATCTGACCAAGAAACTTTCACCCTCGCCGCAAGGGAGGAAGACTGTGGGTTCGAAGGCAACTCGGACTTGTATGGCCTCGGAATCAGGCTAGGCATATACATGCAATGGGCGTCCTCTTTTATGCCGAGGCCTGGCTCCCAGAGCCTTGCGCTTCTTATGAAAACTTACTTCATTTTCATATTTGCCATTTTCGTCGCTGTCCTGGTCCTTACGGTGGAGAAGAGACCAACCTACATGGTTGAAATATTCATCCTGACCTACATCATCTTTGGCGGCGCTTATACTATCCTGATGGCTAACTGGCGGAATCGGAACACACCGACCGATGTTAGGGAACAGCTCGGGGTCTCTCGGGTTTCTTTTTTTAGCCTTTTTATGTCTTTTTGATGCAGTCGCTTTTTACTGCTGTTGGTTTTGGCTCCATGGCATTCGCAGGGACAACTTCCTCGCCACCCCATGTGGCTCGCACGCGTTCGTCTTTGCCAAAGCGTCACTATCAAACAGAGTTACTACGAAAGCTTTGGCAATCCTTTCTGGCCTAATCGGCGTTTCACCGATGGTCTTTATTGTGAATTTCTTGGTCGGCTTCTGCATAAAAAGACCATTGCCCGATGAGCTGGCTCGGCCGCGGCCAGACGACGACGAGTACAGGAGGGTGACAGAAGTCCTCGAGGAAAAGATGTGAGAATGAGTTCCTTGCTCTTTGTTTGGGAATTAGTATATCTCTAACAGGGTGCAGCGGCTTCATCGAAGGAATCGCTAAAGCCTTCTACCTAATCTACTTCATTCTGGGCATTGAGCTCACGCTGTATTGGAACAGAGTGACGCATGTATACTCCGTGGACACGGCGGGGCAGCTGATCCCCTTGATCATTGGACTTTGTGGATTGGCGCAATTCCTATACAAGCCTCCACTACGGCGTTTCATGGAATGGAAGAATGTGAGTTGTGGTGCTTGCGGATTGAAACACGTAACTTACAGATGTAGGGCAAGACGGAGATATCGGTGGCTCAGGAAAATGGGCCGAGGGATCATGTTGAAGTGGGCTGCGTTGAAGGAGGAGAGGATTAAGGGCGTGGAGGAAGGCTGAAGAGCCTACTGCGTGGAAGATGAATCTGCACTTTGCCTGCCTCTCACCGATTTGAGGACTTGCGGTACATATATGGGGCATTGAGTGTATACAGGCGTGTCATATCAGATGCTCTTTGCTACCATGCTTAACGCTTTATCCCTGTGAGTAAGGAAGCGGTATGCCTTGTAGGATCGAAGGTAAAGTAGTTAAGATGATTCCATGGGATGGCGTGTTCTTATGCCGCACAAGATAACTGTTGTCAAGAATCATCCCATTGTAGCTATCCGGTGGCCGTACTTCCTCGCTCAGGCTATTGATACTTGAGAGTATTGGTATGGAGGAAGCTGAGAAAGAGCAGAGCGAAGAAGCTCTCACTAGACTTCAGCGGGTATTTGAGGAGTACGGAAAAACGGCCTCGAGGTGGCTTTGCCGGACTGTTTTCTGGTGGCCTTTGATGTTCATTTCGGCTATCATAAGGCTACTACGGAAGAAGAGATCCGAAACCCTACTCGTGTTGGCTCATTTTGCCGTCTTGCTGCACTGGTGTAGGCAACACTGGATGTTTGCGTGAATGGGCGCCAGCCTCTTGTACGCTTTTGTTATGGAGGTGAGTCGAGGCCCTGGGAGATCGATTGACCTGCCCCTTGATTTAGGGCAGCGACAGATAGGAAACTTCGTCGTCGAAGGAATGTTGAGGCTGGGAATGATGGTGTTGCTTGATGCGACACTTATCTACTGTGAAGTCACTTGAGTTATCTTTTGTTCAAGAATCGTCCATTGTATACGTCCTAGCGTAGATACTATCGCTTATCCCATCTATCCCAACCCAAACTGGTATCATTCAAACATGAAAAAAAAAAACCATCAAGCATCATAGGAAACGTTTGCTCCTACTTGCCACCGCCAAGCAGTCCCCCAACAGCACCACCGACAGCCTTACCGCCATCGACGACAGTACCAGCTGCGTTATTCACGGCCGCAGAACCGGGGATATTCTCGGGTGTGTAGCCACCCTTGTCGTCTTTGCCCTGTCGCTCGGTACGGTTGATGCCCTCCTTGGAGGCCATATCTCCGACGGGTTGGAGGAGACCGCCTTGGCCGACCTGACCGGTGGCGAGGTTGTTGACGCCGTCTTGGAGAGTATCGACTTGTTCGACGCCCGTTACTTTTGTCTTGTTGAGGTTGTCTAGGCCTGTTAGTTATGGTTCTTCTCCTTGAGGAGATGGAACAAACCTTTGGTGGCGTAGCTGGCCTTGTTATCCTTTGTGAACCATTTGAGGTACATATCCTCGACCCAAGGCATCCACTTCTCATACTGATCATTGTACGTGTTCTTTGCCCACTCCATGTTGACGACTTTTGGTAACTTGGCTTCTTGGAAAGATTGTTGAACAAAGACTGACGAAAAAAAAGAGTCGAAGACGTTGGATTTATACCAAGTTGACTTCATGACAAGGTCGTTTATGGTGGGTACGTCATCCGAAACGTCCAAGCGGAACATCATAGGCTGCTCTGCGGCTGATGGTGGTCAAACTGATGCCATCTCGCTGTGGCGCGTGCAAGTGTCATCCTTGCTAAAACCGGTTCTCGTGGCGCGGCGACGTCATATTGGGGGGGGGGTCGTGGAGGGGAAGTTGGTGCCACACCAAACGGTCGCAGTGTCGGAGAAAACAGTGGTCTAGAATCGATCGAGTCGTAATCTTGGATTTTGAGGGAATGGATAAATTCCTTGCTGGCCTTAGGTTGGGTGGAAAAGAGTTGACTGAGCCTGACGTGGTCTTGGGCGTTGTCATTAATGCGCCGAAAATCGAGATTCACTCTCTGCGTCACTGACTTTGGAGGATTATGCACATTTGGGGTCAAGAAACAGGAAACATAACATGACTGCCGACTGACGTGATAAGCTGGCCGAGTGCTCGCACGCTGCAGAAACACAAGATCGATCATCATGATCGACAAGATGGATTAAACGTCCCTCTCAAGCTTATTTCTTCTACCCGATGAACCGCCCGTACTTGGACCACTCCTCATCCCCCTTCAACCTCTCCATATCCACATCTCTCAACGCGATAGTCGCCGTAATCTCCCCATCCGGTCTCTTTGGTAGCAAGTACATCAAGCACTCGAACGGCTCGAATAATGGCCGCCTGACCGACTCTGGCTTTCCCAGCCCAAAGCCAAAGTCGAGATCGTAGCAGCCCACCTTGGCCCACGAGCTGAGCATAATGTCGGCTGATGGGTCGGCGCCCGCTGTAAGCGAAAAGATGGACTTGTCTGGTGTGCGGTGGAGTTTTGTCGCAAAGGCTTGGGTGCGAAACTTGAGACGACCTGGTCCTAGCTCGGAGCGGAACGTTGATGCTACGGCGCCGAGAGGACCGTCTGCGATTTGCTGCAGTGTTCCGCTGTGGTAGGTCATGTTTTGGAGAAGGCCTGGGTATCCCTTTGGAGCACCGACTTGAGTGCGCACGTCGACTGCGCGAGAAAACTTGGTCTCGGCTGTGGGATCCAGACGGGCGAGGCGTGCTCGAGAAACACACTGCCAGATGAATGCAGTGAGTGCATCGTCGGTTGAAACAAATGGCGTGGATGCGACTAATGTGCTTGTTGCTTTGTCCTTGAGATCGTGAAGTGATTGGCTGCTGAAGGAGAAGAACGCCCAGCTGGCAGGTGCTAGCTCTTGGGGAGCCGGTGCGGGTGTTGAAGGAGTCTTGATGATTTGGTTTTGAAGATGAGAGTCCAACTCAGCTTCCTCAATGTCCTCGAGAAACGGGACAACTGTCTTTCGTTCTAGATTCATTGTCTTACTTTCTTCTTGTGTGAAATACTCATCCCGACATGCCTTTGATAGCAGGCGAATGAGCTCTCCCTGTCCAGTCATGTCCATAGCTCCATGCTGGCCGTTGACAGTCAAGATAAGACCACCTTCGATAAAGTTGAGTTGAAAGAGCAGCACAGGCTCAGGGTTATCAGGCGAATAGTCGGGCCCTATAGGCAGTGTCTTTCTAGGTGCAATGACATTCTCGTCAAACATGCTCATGGGAAACTCGGCTTTCCTGAGGCCCTCCATTGTGGGCGCAGAGGGATCATTGCGAAGGTCCTTGACCACGACAGGTGGTGTCTTGTCCAAGGGAATAATCTTAAAGGTTCCGGTATTTCCCTCGGTCGCATCGAAGCATTTGACTTGTCCGGCGACCCAAGGGAAGCTTGTCGAGAGTCGCTCAAGACCCTTATTGAAGGTGTCAATGATGGTGGGGTGAGCGGCGGGGTCGGGAACGGGGAAGCACAGGCTGATTTGGGTGTAGATCCTCAGGGCGGGAAGCTGACCGAGGATGTCTAGCTCGAGGGCTAGATTGCTAGTGTCTGGGGTATCCATTGTCAAGGTGAGATTAATGATGAGTTGTTGCTTCAAGGTTGAGGTTGTCCAGAGCCTGGCATTTGTACATGTTGAGGGTTCATGCGCTAGGACGTTTTCGGATTGTAAGGATGAGTCGAAATGTATCGTTGCCGCTTCAGGAATGCAATGCGAGGAGACATGAACCAACACATTTGAGCTCGCCTCTTTCAGCTACGCGTTTTTTTTTGTGTATGTAGGATCAGATACTTCACTTTGATAGATGTGACTCTTACCATGGAGTCTATCTCGATCTCTCGGTATAGAAGGCATTTGAGCTCCTGGGTTGTCTTCAAGCTCCACGTTGTACCTGGAATCTGGGGAAGCAAGAGGTTACTTGTCGATTGCAAGAAAGGAAGAGGCCTTGGTTTCGCTCTGGAACTCGGCTATATTTGACTAGGAAACCTTCGTGCTTATTTCCAAGGTATTTATTATGTGTTCTTTTGTAACCTCCATCCCGATAGTTGTGCTGGATAGAGCTCTTCAAATTTTATAACCCTAAAACGCATTCTTATAAAAACCAATGGGCATGGAATTGGGATCGAGGTAAATGGCAATAATGTTTTTGTCTCCTGATCTGTAGAACCTATAATTTTTACTCTCAACCTGTGTGCTGTGCAACACATTTCATTCTTCTTTTTGAGTGACCCCCATACCCTACAGCAATGCCCGATGCACCACGTTGACATTTCCCGTCACGATAGTCTTGACATGGAGATAGTCCTCAATGCCATACTTGCTTCCTTCTCGGCCCATGCCCGAGTGCTTCACTCCTCCGAATCTAGAAAGGAATCCCATGTTAGCATGAAAGCTTGTCAACATCAAAAAGAGGCAAACTTACGGAGCAGCAGCGTCGGACATGATGCCAGTGTTGACCGCTACCATGCCAAAGTGAAGGAGTTCTGTCACTCGAGCGACACGGTTGACGTCTTGTGTAAAGATGTAGGATGCTAGACCGACGTCGCACTTGTTGGCAATATCGACCACCTCGTCCTCGTTGTCGAAACTGAAGATGGGCGCCAGAGGGCCAAAGATTTCATCCCGCACCAGTCGCATATCGGTTGTGACGTTGGTAAGAATCGTGGGCTCAAAGAAGTTGGGTCCTATTGTGAGACAACGGTTAGTTTAGTAAAGACAGCATGTGCTCCGAGAACTTGACTTGCCTAGATCAGTTCGTCTCTTTCCTCCAACTTCAACCTTGGCACCAGCCTTTACGGCCTCTTTAACAAGGTCATCTACACGCTCAGCAGCCGCTGCTGTAACCAGGGGACCGTGTGTTGTCTTGCTATCAAAGCCGTGTCCGACCTGGAATTTGGACACAACAGCCTTGAGCTTCTCGACGAATTGACTGTAAATGCCCTTCTGGACAAAGATTCGGTTGGAGCAGACACATGTTTGGCCTGAACATTTGAACTTGCTGGCGATGGCTCCAGCAATAGCCAAGTCGAGATCGGCGTCGTCAAAGACGATGAACGGGGCGTTTCCACCAAGTTCGAGACTGAGCTTCTTGAGGGTGTCGCTTGACTGGTTCATGAGGATCTTGCCCACGCGCGTTGAGCCTGTGAATGAGATCTTGCGAACGACGTCGGAGGCGCAGAGGGTCTGGCCGATTTCTGGCGTGTTTTCCAAAGCGGCTATGCTGTTGATGACGCCCTTGGGGACTCCGGCTCTTTCGCCCAGGACGAGGAGGGCGTTTGCTGTGAATGGGGTCTCACCGGCTGTCTTGACTACAGCGGTGCAGCCGGCTGCAAGAGCAGGACCGAGCTTTCGGGTGATCATGGCAGCGGGAAAGTTCCATCTGAGAAGTTGTTAGTTTGAAGAGGACTGATGGTGTTTTTAGTTGGACGTACGGTGTGATGAGGCCAACGACTCCAACAGGTTCTTTGATGACTGAAACGCGGAAACCAGGTGCGCTGTGAGGAATGACGTCGCCATAAACGCGAGGAGCCTCCTCAGCGAACCACTCAAGGAAGCTGGCAGCAAAGAGGACTTCGCCGGCGGCATCTGGTCCAGCCTTGCCATTCTCCCAGGTGATAAGAGTGGCCAAGTCCTCTTTGTTCTCAATCACCAGTTCGTACCATCGTCGCAGAATTCTGGAGCGGTTGCGACCTGTGCGGGAGCGCCATTCTGGGAGAGCGGCGGCGGCAATCTTGATGGCTTGCTCGGCATCTTGGGCTACGGATTCGGGGCATGAACCGATGAGGGCGCCGCTGGCTGGGTCTGTAGACGAAATGATGAGTACATGTGATGATTGTTGCTGTACGTAAACATACCGTGGACATCGAATCTTTTCCCAGAGACAGACTCAATCCATTGACCGTCAACATAGTTCTTGCCCACAAAGAGCGAAGGATCCTTGAGCTTGGGAGCAGAATATGGCATTGTGAATAGTAGCAAAAGTACTGAATCGTCTAGACGAGATCAGTTGCTTTTTTTGGTGCAGCTATCGACGGCCGTTATCTCATTATGAAGCCCGTCTACCGGCTCCGAGGACCGGTTCCGAAGAGGATCCGATTAGGCAATTCACAGCGTCGGCGACCGGCACCGATGGACTCGGCTCCCGGGGACCCAAATCTAGACGGCAAAACGCGGGGGAATGACTCTTGGAAAATGCAGGCTTACTCAATCGAGGCTTGGAGGATTTGAAATCGGGTCTCATGTGATGAGTTGGGAGTGGGGATAAGCATGGTTTCTCGAGGAAGGACACTGCGAACGAGACCTTCCCCCACGTTGTTTGCCCTTTACTCGTGGAGGCGTGCATGAGATCGTCGATGAGGGGTCAAATATGCCGAAGACAAGGGAAAAGAAACCCATGGCTCGTGCTGATATGCAAAGAGACAACAATCTCTCCCGATGCGTGAACTGTAACCCCTGGTGAGGTGGGCCGGTGACGGCGGTGGAGACTGGTTATCTTCAATGGCAGCTTTCAGCGAGCCATTGAGAGAGCTTCGATT